ATAAATAAATATAAATAAATAAATAAATAAATAAATAAATAAATAAATTACCTGTAGGTTTTTCTGCATAAGTTTTATCATCAATAAATGTCCAATTTCCTCGTAAGAAATTATACCAATTATTATCTATACCTTTACTATATTGTTTATAAAAAGGGACATAAATATCCCACTGCATGCATGCATGCATGCATCCATGCATGCATATTTATTTATTTATTTATCTTATTTATTTTATTTATATGCATGCATGCACCAGGGGCAAAAATAGCAGCAACAGCAGCAACAAGAGGTAGGACAACAATTGTATTCAATAAAACTACATCTATCTGCTGCAGAGACATATAGTATATTGATATCAACAGCAGCAGCAGCAGCAGCAGCAGCAGCAGCAGCAGCAGCAGCAGCAAATAATTCTTACATTAAGATTATTGACAGGATCCTCGAAGATTTTATGTACATGTTTCTCTAATGCAGATCCAGGAAGAATTGCATTCATCTGCAGTGTATGCACACCTGATATACGAGGTGCTGCTGCTGCTGCTGCAGCAGCAGCAGCAGCAGCAGTAGTAGTAGTAGTAGTAGTAGCACCAGCAGCAGCAGGGAACCTTAAAGATCTTATACTACGTCTAGGATTATCGGCTGCTGCTGCTGCTGCTGCTGTTGCTGTTGCTGTTGTTGTTGGCAAACGGAAAATATTTATTCCATCTCCCCGCGCCTGCTGCTGCTGCTGCTGTTGCTGCTGCTGCTGCTGCTGCTGATGCCGGCGACGCTGCTGTTGCTGCAGCAGCTGCCGCTGTGGAGCCCCGGTGATGGGGTGTACTGATACGGATTGCTGCTGCCGCTGCTGCTGCAGCGGCGACTGCAGCAAACGGTGGTGTCTGCGCTGCAGCAGCAGCGGACGAGCAGCAAATGCCGGTGGCTGCAGCAGCAAAGATGCAGCAGCAGGAGCAGCAGCAATTGATGCAGCTGTAGATACACCTAACTGCAGCACATCACAAGAGAGCAGCAGCAGCAGCAGCAAGAGGAAGACGAATGGCCCCAGCAGCAGCACAAGCTTCTGCTGCTGCTGCTGCAACTGCTGCAACTGCTGCAACTGCAACCGCTGCTGCTGCAGCAACTGCAGCAGTTGCTGCAGCAAACGCAGCGGCCGCATGGCAGCTGCGGTGTCACTGCAGCTGCCACCGACTTAAAACATTGTATACACCTTATTAATGATGAATAAACAAGAAGAATAAATAAATAAATAAATAAATAAATAAATAAATAAATAAATAAATAAATAAGGGGGGAATAAAGGAATAAAAAAGAAAGGAATAAAGGAATAAAAAAAAGGAAGAAAGAAGAAAAGAAAGAAAGAAAGATATTTATTGTTGTATCTTAATAACTTTATTTGCTGCTGTTTTGCTGCTTGCTGCTGCTATTTATTACTACCAAAGAAAAGAAAAAAAAAAGAGGGGCCCCCCTTTTTTTTCTTATTTGGGGCCCCCCTTGTCTTTTATTCCTTTTCTTTATGAATAAAATAAACCAAGAAAAAGAAAATAAATAAATAAATAAATAAATAAATAAAATAAATAAAAAATTAAATATACAATAAAGGATGGTGCAAGGCAGAGGCTTCTTCTGCCTTGCAGTAGGCAATAATAATAAAGCCTTATTAATAATCCTGCTGCTGCTGCTGCTGCTGCTGCTGCTGTAATTATTATGCTCACCGCAGCAACAGGACATAGGGTACTCGTTAGAAGCGCAATTAAATAATATTGACGTTATTAATACAATTAATATAAAATAAAAGGAAAAAAAAGAGAAAAAAAAGGAAAAAAAAAAGAAAAAAAAATTGGTTACACTTCTCGATTTGTGCGTGTCATCCTTGCGCAGGGGCCATGCTAATCTTCTCTGTATCGTTCCAATTTTAACAGATGGCACTCCCGAAGGAGGCCAACCTCCAAGGGCACACCTTTTTGTATACGTACGCCCATTATCTACCAGGGTCACCTGGTAAATTTTTTCAATTCCTTACATAATATATATAAAATTTTATCTTATTATTTGTTTATTTTATATTGTTTATATATTTAATGGATTTATTATTTATTTTACGTCGTTTTAATCGCAGAAACAATATACCCGTGCCCACCACTCTCCCCCCCTGTACAGCATAGTTTGCTAGGCAGGTGCGTATGCTACAGAGAGTATTTAAATAAATTATTTTTCATCGAATTTCGTGTTTAAATTATAAATTCTAATTAAATTCAAATTTAAATGCAATTTTTATTATTAATTAACAAGAAAGAAGTGGCGGGAGTCGAACCCTTGCGGTAGCCTCCAGACAGGTAGCGTCAAATATTTTGGCGGTATACAACGGTTATACGATTTCCTTGGAAAAAGCTGCAATTATAAATATGTATATATATTTTATGCTTTATTTTATTTATTTTATAATATATACTGGGTATGAGCCTTATTCTAGTGTATACAGGAAAGCAAGAGGAAAGCAGGAGGAAATCCTGCAGTACTGCGTTCTTAGAAGAATATTAAGGTCACAGCAATGCTCTTTCCTCTGCAGGATTAGAAACAACAGCAAGACTTCGTAATAGAAAATTGAGGCAGCAGCAACAGCAGCAGCAACAGCAGCAGCAACAGCAGCAGCAACAGCAGCAGCAACAGCAACTGCTGGAGAGGAAAATACATTTGTTTATTGGGTGTTTCTGTTGTTAGAATGCGCAGGGAAGAATGTAGAAAATGTTTTTTTCCCGTTAATTCCCTCTTGTGCTGTTTATGCACAATAAGGCAGTATTGCTTACTAGCACACCACCAAGGAGTTCTCGATTGGTTCTTCATGTCTATAATGCATAAATATTATTGATTAATTAAACAGAATAGGAATAAAAGGAAAAAAAAAAAGAAAAAAAAATTGGTTACACTTCTCGATTTGTGCGTGTCATCCTTGCGCAGGGGCCATGCTAATCTTCTCTGTATCGTTCCAATTTTAACAGATGGCACTCCCGAAGGAGGCCGACCTCCTATGCCACTCTCTGTGTATGGAAACGCCCATCACGGACTGGCAGGGTCACCTCGGTTATAGGGTCAATTCCTTAGACTCTTTTCTGCATTTTATTATTTTTTTTTATAGTTCTAATTAAATTTAATCATTATGTTTGTTTTTTGTCTATTAATCACTTTGTTTAAATAAGGAAACTGCCCGAGGGTACCAATCGTGCAGTCGTGCACGCCTCCTATAGGGTAACTGCATTAACCCCTGCCGGGTCCTCAACATAACAACTGTTAGGGAGCGCAAATGAGCTGCTCGTTATGTTAAGTATACATTTATATTTGTTTTATATCCATTTAATGAGGGTTTAGGGTTTAGGGTTTATCCAAAGTCAGCCTCCTTCTTCCCTCGCAACTGTAGACCTCGACGTGTTCCCTTCTACACAACAGGTACACTTCTTATGACGCACAACTTGCTTTGTCTGCCTCTAAGGAGGACAACAGAAAATCCTTTGCATGCATTTGTGTCTATTACATTAGCTGCCTATACACCACAGGGAGTATTGTTACACCCTTTCTTGTTCTCCCCTAGACAAAAAAAGTTCCTTAAGATGTAAACTCTTAGGTAACGGGAACTTTTTTGCTTTTTTTTGTGTCCCCTCGAGGACAGGCAATCTTTAGTGCCTCCCCAAGTCTAAAAGGAGCATCAAAACAAGCTGCAGCAGCCTCAGGTGTACAGACACCTAAGAGGAAAAAAATGCACGACTGGGCCCTGTTGCAGCTCTAGTACCATTTAACTTCCTGTTGACCCTTCCTTGTCAACATCTGCTGCAGCAGAGTCTCCTCTTCTGTCTCTACAGCAAAGTGTCCCCTCTGTTCCCTCCGCAGCAAACTGTCTCCTCTGTTGTCTCCTCTGCTGTATTATGCATGCAGCATGATGAGCCACCGGCCTATAGGTGTTGTGTTACGCTGTCCTTGTGTGTTCTTTTTCTCTTGTTGCAACTACGAAGGAGCAAAGGGAACTATTAGCTTATTTAGTATTTATTTGTTTATCCTTTTGTTGTGTTACGCTGCCTAAGGTAGCATATACACTGCAGATAAGAATATGGACTGCAGCACGGACAAAAGAGACTGTTGTTGCTGTTGCTGCTGCTGCTGCTGCCTGTTGCTGCTATATAATAAGGTGTCTCCTTTCTTGTTATCTCACAGACAAACATATCGAAGAAATGCAGTTTAATTGATTACTTAGTTGCATGCGTGCACTCGAGTGTATGTATACCCCAAGAAGAACAAACAGAAAAGAAGAAGAAATACCCTTAATGGTGTATTAACAATAAGTACTAAGATTTCCCCCGATGTTTTATTTATGTATTTATTTTAATTTAATAAAAGTTTATGCATTTTCCTTGTTGCTCCCCTTCTTGTTACTGCCTGTGTGTAGGTATATATGTATTGTTCCTTATTGTTTCTTTGTAGTAATAATAAACAAATGAATAAATAAATAAATAAGTAAATAAAAAGAAAATAATTATTCTCATTTATTATACGACGGCGGCAGGATTCGAACCTGCGCGGGCAGAGCCCAGTAGATTTCTAGTCTACCTCCTTAACCACTCGGACACACCGCCATATTTTTTTTTCCTTTCTTTTTTTTATTTTTTTTTTTCTCCTCTTTTATTATTTATTAATATTTACTATTTAATTTTATTATTATTATTATTATTATTATTATTATTATTATTATTATTATTATTGTCATTTTTCCTTCTGTTAATGCATGCGCCGGTATTTCCTCTCCTATATATATCGTTCCCTCTGTTATCTCCTTAAGCAGTCTGCTGCATGCAGCATATGTTGGCAAAAAAGGTTGTTTAGGGTTTAGGGTTTGGGGCTTAGTGTTGCTGCCGCTGCTGCTTCTTGCTGCACCCTCTTGCGGTGTCTGTCCCCCCAAGGAGACACCTAGACGCAAGAAAAGACTCGGAGCGGAGCAGCAGCAGCGCAGCAGGGCCTTAAGTCCCCTTTTTCTTGTCCTTTGTTATGGGACGTCGGCTGCTGTCGCGCTCAGCAGCAGTAGGAGAAGGAGCTGCTGCTGCTGCTGCAGTTGCCTCGTAAGCTCTGTCGAGCCGCTGCAGCAAGACCTCTTGATCCTGCAGCAGCTGCTGCAGCGGCACCTCAAGGAGGGACAGCTGCTTCAGATCAGCAGACAGAGTAGAGGCACCGCAGCTCTGTGCTAGCTGCTGCTGCTGCGGTGGCTTGCTGCAGTTGTCTTGCTGCTGCAGCAAATCTCCTGCAGCAGCACGCAGTTCCCGCCAGTGTCCTGCTGTCTCCTCCATACCTTCCTGTTGCTGTCCCCTTTCCTCCTTCTCCTCCCTCCTTGTTAAAGTTAAATCATCAAAGAGACCCTCTACTGTCTTGTACCGCAACTCGGAAGCTTGCTGCTGCTGCTGCTGCTGCTGCTGCTCGTGATGATGATAGTGATGATGGTGATGCTGGTGTTGGTGCGGATGGTGGTGCTGATGCTGCTGCTGCTGCTGCTGTTGTTCTTGTTGCTGCTGCTGCTGATGATGATGATGATGAATGCCTACCCCTTCTCGGGTGCCTTGGAGCAGCCCTGGTTGCGCGGACATCCAGTGATCTGAAGTCTGCTCTTGCTGTTGCTGCTGCGCAACAGCAGCAGCATCAGCAGCAGCCATTGCGCTTCCTCCCTGTTGTTGTGCTGCTGCTACAACAGCCGGAGAGGGGCCACAGTGTTGCTGTTGCGGCTCAGCGGTCTCTGCAGATTGCTGCTGTCTCAGGTCGTGTTGCTGATGCTGCTGCTGATGCTGCTGCTCAGGCTGCTGCTGGTGCTGCTGCAGCAGCAGCAGTTGATCTATTTCCCTTCGGATTCCAACAGCAGCAGCAGGAACAGGAGGCGGCAGGGGCAATCCCCAGGACCCTGGTGTTGCTAGTGGTGCTGCTGCTGCTGCTGCTGCTGCTGTTGGTGTTCCTACGAAGTGTCTCCTCTCAGCAGCAGAGACAGCTGAGCAGCAAGGAGACACTGACCTCAAGGGGACATCTGACGGCAGTATATGCTGCTGCTCCTGTCTCCCTTGAAGAAGAGGAGACGCAGCAGCGCATGCAGGCAGCCCAGCTGCTGCAGAAATCCAGTGTCCACACACACTCTTTGTAGCAGTTGCAGCAGCAGCAGGAGCAGCAGGTGCTGCAACAGGAGCTGCAGCAGCAGCAGCAGCAGCAGGAACAGCAGCAGCAGCAGACAGCGGGCGCGGTTTGCCCACACTTGCATTTGAGAGGAGAGACGATCGCTGGAAAGAATTCTCTTGGGTGTGGGGCAGCAGCCCTTTGCTGCTGCGGCTGCTGCTGCCGCTGCAGCAGCCGCAGCAGCGCCGCACCTCTGTTGCAGGACGCCCTTCCAGTACCCCCTCAGCAGCAGCAGCAGCACGAGCAAAAGCAACAGCAGGAGGCAGCAAGCTGCTGCTGCAGGAAGGACCTGGTGAGGGCACTGACACACACGGAGCAGCAGCAGCAAGGTAGCCATCATAACGAGGAGCTGCGGACAACCCCACACTCCCCGAAACCAGTAATGCGTGCTGCCGCTGCTGCTGTTGTTGTTGCTGCTGCTGCTGCTGCAGATTGCTAGCAGCCAGAGGCCGCAGCAGCACATCTATCTGCTCCTGCCTTCCCCACAGCCCATTTGTGCTGCTGCTGGTTTCGCCGCTTCTGCCAGCCAGCAGCACTTGTCGCTGCCAGTCCTGCTGCTGCAGCAGCGGCTGCGGCTGCTGCTGCAGCAGCGGCTGCGGCTGCGGTTGCTGCTGCTGGTGCTCCTGATGCATGTTTGATTCTCGACTAACGGAAGACCAGGTCTTCAGTGGCAACTGCTGCAGCTGTTGGTGCTGCAGCTGTTGGTGCTGCAGCAGCTGGTGCTGCAGCAGCTGGTGCTGCAGCAGCTGGTGTCGCTGCTTCTGCCTGCCTTGCTGCTGCTGCAGCTGCTGCAGCTGCAGCCCCAAGCGCTCTACCCGCAGCAGCGACAACTGCAGCAGGGGATCGACCTGTCCTAAGAGCTGATCAACTAAAGAAGCAGAGTGTTTCTGCAGCAGCAGCAGCATTTGCTGCTGTTGCTTCTCCTCCTGCTCCTTTATGTGTTGCAGCTGTTGCTGCTGCTGCTGCGGCTCCTGGGAACCAACCTGAAGGCAGCAGAACAGACACCATATTGGTCAGAGCATGCAGCGAAGAAGCCCCAAACAGCAGCAGCAGCAGCAGCAGCAGCAGCAGAAGCAAACAGCAGCAAAAGCAGCAGCAGCAGGACGTGTGCATCTATGGAGGGACCGGCGAGCAGACAGGGCAACAAGTAACAAAGAGACGCCTTCGCTGCAGCTGCTGCTTACCTGCTGCTGCTGCTGCTGCAGCAATTGCCGCAGCCTGTCAACTTCAGACTGCAGCAAGAGGAGCTGCTCCTGCAAGGCAGCAGATCTTTGCCTCTCCTCCTGCAGCAGTTGCTGCTGTTGCTGCAGCAGCTCCTGCTGCTTGTTGTATGAAGCCGTGGCCGCCGCTGCAGCAGCAGCAGCAGCAGCTTCTCGGGCTTCTCCACTGAAACACAAGCAGCAGCAGCAGCAGAAGCTTAATACGTGCATGCACAGCAGCAGGAAGCTGCAGCCTACATGCATGCAACGAGAAGCAAAGGGGACTGAAAAAGGAGACAATAAAGGAGACAGCAATAAAAGAGACAAAAAAAAGGAGATAATAAAAGAGGAGACAATAAAAAAGGAGACAATAACAAAGGAGACAATAAAAAAGGAGACAATAACAAAGGAGACAATAATAATTACCTTAATGCTGATACCTGAGCAGCAACACGAATAAATAGTTGTTTTGCTTCTTTGTCTCCCTCTCTCCTTCGCAGCTTCTCTAGCTGCAGTTGCTGCTGCAGCAGCATGCAGTTGCTGCAATGCTGCTGCTTCCCTCCCTTGCTGCGGCTGCTGCTGTCGCTGCTGTACCCGCTGCTGCTGCTGCTGCTGCTCGTGCTGCTGCTGCTGCTGCTGCTGCTGTGGAGGTGTACACCACGGCGACACCGCACAGCAGCACTTTTTGCCCTCTTTCGCAGCTGCTGCTGCAGTTTTGCATGCAGTTTCCTACCACGCAGGGCTTGCTGCGGCTGCTGCTGCTGCTGCTGCTGCTGCAATTGCTGCTGCAGAAGCAGTTGCTGCTGCTGCGGCGGCTGTGGGTCTTCTTTAAGCAGCAGCAGCATCTCCATCGCCCGGTCCTTCACGTGGCTGTCAAAGACAGCACCTGCAGCAGATGCAGCAGCTGCAGCAACAGCAGATACCCCTCCTTGTGTTTGCTGCATAGTCTCCTTCTCCTGTATTAATGACGAAACCCTTTCTTCTGCAGCTGCAGTTGCTGCTGCTGCTGCAGGTGCTGCTGCTGCAGGTGCTGCTGCTGCAGGTGCTGCTGCTCTTGGGGAGGCAGCCAAGAGTTCATCGGTTCTCCTCCGGAAACTAGCTAACCCCAAGTCTGCCAATCTGCTGCTGCTGCTGCTGCTTGGCAGCTGCTCGTGCTGCTCATACATGCTGATCCTGTTTTGCTGGTGCTGCTGGCTTTCCATTGTTGCTGCTGCTGCCGCCCTTCGCTCCTCGCAGCGTCATTGTTGTTGCACTGCTGCTCTCGCTGTTTGACTGCTGCAAGTGTTGCCGCTGCAAGTGCTGCTGCAGCAGGTAATAGTGCTGCAAGGGCTGCTGCTGAACGTGCTGCTGCTTCGAATGCTGCTTTTGCTGCCGTTTGTAGATGGAGGGTGCATGCGCTTGTGCTGCTCCCTCTCTTCTTATTACTATCGATGAAGCCTGCGGATGCCACCTGTCCTGCCCAATCGCTTGTGCTGCCACTGCTGCTGTTCCTGCATCAGAAGCTGCTGCTGCTACTGAAGAGACTGCAGAAGCAGCAGCAGCAGCAAATGCTGCTGGTGTTTCCCTCCTTTTTGCGGTTGCACCCCCCTTTCCCCCTAGTACCAGCAGCAGAATGGAGCCTCCCAGGGGTATTTATGGGGTAATAAAGAATAATTAACCAAAAAGCATAATAAAATGGGTTATTTCAATTATTAAAGAAGAAAGACAAAGACGTAAATTCCCGTTAAACCCCTTCGTGGTGTACTAGGGGGAGGTAGGGGGCCCCCCTGATAGTCGCAAGGGCCCCCTGCTGCTGTGCCCTCGGGAGAGGTAATAAAGGTAATAAATGTACTAAAATATACTGTAGAAAAGGAAAATATATATAAGAAGAGAGATGCAGTAAAGATTCAGCTGCAGCAGCAACAGCAGCAGCAGCACACACTCACGTGGGGCCCCCGGCACAGCCCGCGATGCAGAGGAGCAGCTTCCTTCTGCTGGTGCTGCTGCCGCCGTATGCTTGCCATTAGTGTGACTTATGAGTTTGTGTTAGTCTTTTATCCTATGTTGAGGGTCAATAAGTGCCGTTCTTCCTCCCTCATCAGCTGCTGCTGCTGCTCGTGCTGCTGCTGCACGCTTTCACACAAAGACAAGGCTTGTCTTGAGTCTTGCACCAAACGGGTGTAACAACAGACGCAGCAGCATCTGTCAAGAGCAGCACACTAGTAGCACAAAGAAGGCCCCAGGACCAGGGGCAGAAGCAGCAGTAGCAGCAGTAATCAGCAGCAGCAGCAACAGCAATGGGGAGCCGCTACTTCTCCCCTTTTCCAAGTGATGACGGTAAAGAGATCCGTCGTGCTGTGATAGAGGCTGCTGCTGCTCTGGGCTCATGTGGCTGGTGGGGTCCTGAGCGTGTTGAAGCAGCAACAGCAGCAGCACAAGACATACGCAGCAGTAGCAGCAGCAGCAGCTTGCTTCCCCTTGCTGACCTTCTTGATTCAGCAGCGGAATATATGGAAGGATTTGATTCCAATGATAACTCAAGGCCAGGGTGTATTTACTCAGGAGACGCGGGGGTTGCCTATGCATATATTAGGTCCGTCTGTTGCTGCTGCTGGATTTGCTGCTGCTGCTGCTGGTGTTGCTGCCGCTGTTCCTGCTGTAGCTGATGTTGCTGCTGATGACACTGGCCGGATGTTGCAGTGCCTGCACCTGCTGCTGCTGGGTATTCTTCGGATGTGCATTGCTGCTGTTGCAGCTTCAGCTGTGGCATTGCTGCTGCTGTTGCTTCTTCCGCTGCTGTTCTGCTGTCGCTGCTGCTGCTGCAGCTCTGTGTGCTGCTGTTGCTTTGTGGTTTGAGCTCAGAAGGGCCGAGCGGTTGATAGCAGATGCAGAAGCAAAGAGACGCTGCCTCCAAAAAGGCAGTGGGGAAGCAGCAGCAACAGCAGCAACAGCAGCAGCAGCAGGTTTGTCCAGAGGAGCAGAAGCTACTGCGATACCCAGAGCAGCAGAACAAGCTCTGCATGCGGCCCTGGCAATCGTGTTACCTGGTTGTGGGATATATACAGGTGGAGACACGGCAGCAGCAGCAGCAGAAGCAGCAGAAGCAGCAGAAGCAGCAGCAGCAGCAGAAAGGTCTTTGCGTCGCCGCTTTACCTTCCTTCAGGGATATGTCGGCCGTTTAGCCTTGGCTGCTGTAGCCCTCCATCTCTTAAAGAGAGAGGTAACTGCTGCTGCTGCTGCTGCTGCTGCTGCTGCTGCCGATGCTGCTGCCGATGCTGCTGTGCTTTGTTGCAGATGGTGCTGCTGTTGCTGCTGCCGTTCCTCAGCAACTGGTGCTGTTGTTGTTGCTGCTGCTGTGTCCTCTTCTGCAACTTCTTCTCCCGCTGGGAGTTGGTCGTTGCTGCTGCTGCTCTCTGCTGCAGAAAATGCTGCTGCTGCTACTAGTGTATGTTTTCTGCAAGCGCTTTTCCTGCCGTCAGCCTGTCTGCTTCGGAGTTCGATGTATTTCTAGGGTTTAGGGTTTAGCTGCTGCTGTGTTGTGCTGCAGCGGGAGGCATTTGCTGTGCTGCGTCGCTTGGCAGCAGCAGCAGCAGCAGCACTGCCGCGCATGCAACCAGAGGAATGCGAGCTGCTGTATGGGCGAGCGGGGCTGTTATATGCGTTGCTGTTTACCCGCTGCTTGTGGTTGCCTCCTCCACCTCCTTCTTACTTCCCGCCTTTGGCAGCAAAACAGACACAACCACCTGCAGCAGCAGCAGGCCTCTTTAGCGACTGCCATGAAGGCAGCAGCAAGAGCAGCAGCAGCAGCAGCGAGAGGAAAGAGGATGTGGATACCTGCTTACAACGTGCATCAACTCTTTCCTTGCAGAGCAGCAGCGGGAGTTTCAGGTATCCAATGTCCCTCAACTACGGCAGCAGCAGCAGCTTCAGCAGCAGGAGCTTCAGCAGCAGGAGCTTCAGCAGCAGCAGTAGTTTCAGCAGCAGCAGCAGCAGCAGCAGCAAGAAATGTACTTGTTCAGGTGTATGCATGTGTGGAGAGAGAGAGGCAACGCGGCTGCTGCTGCTCGCTCTTATAGCGCAGCTTGTGGGGCAGATAGTAGCACAGGGCTTAGCAACAGCAGTAGCGAATGAAGGTGATTGCATGCACTCTTTGGATATGCAGCAGCAGCAGCAGGTGCTGCTACCGGAGTCTATCCCTACTGCCTTCTTAAAAGCAAGACCCCTCGTGCTGCTGTACGAATGGCACGACAAACAGTACCTAGGAGCAGCACATGGGGTTTGCGGCATCTTGCTGCAGCTGCTGCTGGCTGCCGATACACTGTACCATGCGGCTGCTGCAGGGTGTTTCCCGGGTCCAACAAGTCCCGCAGCAGCAGCAGCAGCAGGAAGAAAATCGGCAGCAGCAGCATCTGCTACAGCTGCTGCTGCTGCCAGCTGGGTTGGCTGTGGCACTGGTGGCAATGGAGACGATACAGCAGCAGACCAGGAAGCAAAGTCTGCTGCAGCAAGGCTGCTAGCATGCTCTCCTGTTGTATGTAGCGGCATGCAGCCAATAAAAGGCAGTGAAGAGGTGCCTGTCTTTTGTCCTGCTGCTACAGAGTTCCTTTGCTGCAGCTCAGGTGTTGCTGCTGCTGCTGCTCTCCGTGACAGCGTAAGGAGACTGTGTCTCTCCTCCCTTATGTCTTTGCTGCGCTTCCATTGTACTCCAACAGCAAACCTTCACAGCAGCATCGGCAGCACCAGCGATCGTCTTGTCCAGTGGTGCCACGGCTCACCAGGGTTGCTGCCGCTGCTCTGCTGGGCTGTAGACCTTCATAGAGACAAAGCATTCGTGGTGCTCTCCCAGCAGCAGCAGCAGCAGCAGCAGGAAGGAGCAACCGGCACGGGGGGGGCGGGCACCAGTGCTCCGCCTTCTGGTTCGTCCTTGCGTCAGCAACAACAGCAGCAACAGCAACAGGAGGAGGATTGTCTGCCACAGCTGTACCGACGGCGTCGCTATCTAAGTGCAGCAGAATCAGCATCCTTACGTGTAGATAATTTATCTAAATGTTTAATGTGGCTAGAAGCAATGGGGGAGACAGTCTTTACGAGGGGTTTATTAAGAAAAGGTTTAGGTCTTTGTCATGGTATAGGTGGCAATGGATTGTCTCTCTTATGTTGTTATAATAGTACAGGGTCTCCTCGTTGGTTAAGAAGGGCTATTCTCTTTGCCTTAGAAGGAATACGGAGACACATGCAGCTATTAAGAATACCTGATAGGCCCTTTAGTCTCTATGAGGGTGTTGCAGGGTTCACTGTCTTCCTTAGAGACTGCGCAGAGGCACTACGAGCTTTTGCTGCTGCTGCTGCTGCTGCTGCTAATGATCCTACCTCCCCTAATGCTGCATACACACCTCTACCACCAACCACCTACTACTTCGTTGGCTATGAGCTGCCTCCCTTGCCTTGGGAGCGTTGCTGCCCTTAATGTGACTGTCTCCAAATAACAAAGCTTTAAACAGAGACAGGCAACAACAGAGACCGCAGTTGCTGCTGTCTGCAGCAGCAGCAGCATCTGTCTCATTGCCGATGGTCAGTTTGAACCCCAACTATCATTTAAGTTCTGTCTCTCTCTTGTGTATATGTGGACCATATAGACAAAAGAGAGGCGCAGCAGCAGCAGCAGCAGCAGCAGCTGGAGTCCCTTCAGAGCCCCGCTTTCCATTAGAAATTTGTCTCCTAGAGACGTATTGTTGTCTGTCCCTACCTACTACTATGTCTGCCTCTTTACCTATGTCTCGCTTTGTCTGTCTCTCCCTGTCCTGCTTCTTCTCATTGTGTCTGTTTCTTTCTTATGAGCAGCAGCAGCAGCAATAACAGTACCTACGGCAGCAGCAGTAGGAGCAACAGCAGCAACCCAAACAATGCATTAAAAGATAATAATAGTTTAAAAGAGAGGCATAAGAGACACTTAGATCCCCACAGAGGATGGAGAGTTCGTCTAGAAAAGGAGACGCCCAAGGGGTGTCTCCTTCTTTACGCACTACAGGCCTGTCTCCTTGTGTCTCCAAATGCATGCGGCCTGCTTTGTGTCTTTCTCTTCTGTCCTCCTTGTCTTCTATTTTGCTTGGGTTCTACTAAAACGAGAGACATTATATCAGCTGTCTCCATTCTCCATCCTGCTGCTGCTGTTGCCGCTGCCCACCTGCTGCTGCATGCAGCAGCAAAAAAAGACAACAATCGAACTCCCCCCTCCACAGTATTTGCCTGCCTGCCTCCATGCATGCATGCATGCATGCACGCATGAATGAATGCATGCATGCATGCATGCATGAAGCACTGTTCTCCCCTTTTACTGTAGTAGTTTTTGAATAAGGACCTGATACTGTACATCTTCTTCATCAGGGAAAAGACTATTTAAGACATCATCTGCTTCTTGTTCTGTTAAAGGTTCCCCAAAGGTCGTAAGACATTTACGTAATTCTTTTTTCTTAACTCTTCCTGTTTGCTGCAGATCCATAGCCTCAAAGAAAGCTAAAAGATCCTCTTGTGTGTCTTTGTGGGATGTCTGCATGCAAAATGCAGCAAACGATGCACTGTCCACAGTAGCCCCACACTTCTGGCCCCATGCCTTCACCTCCGCTAGTGAAGGAGATGCTCCTGCTGCTCTTGCTGCACTAGCTAACTGAGCCACAGGGATGGAACTTTGCCCTTTTGCTGCTGCAGCAAACGCAGACGCTATGCTGCCCTCCGTTGCCATCCTGATAATCCCCCGTACAAATGCTCCTTCGGTGTCCTATACGAAACGCAGGGCTCCCTGCTGCTGCTGCTGCTGCTCCTTTGGATGCACCTCCGCGTGCTGCCGGTGGCACCAGCAGCTTTTCCGCTGCCGGTGCTGCTCCTGCGGATGGTACTACTAAATTTTTGGATGTAGCCCCCAATGTGGTGGTTGCTATTGCAGATGCCGTTGGTGCTGTTGCTGTTGGTGCTTCTGCTGCTGCTGCTGCGGCACTTCTAGAGGGATGTGGCGAGCTGGATGGGCTTAATTAGGGTTTAGAGTGTAGAAATATACAGCTATGTGTGTCTGTATCCTTTACTTGTTTTTCCAGTGTTTGCTGGGGATCACACGCATGGGGCTGCTGCGCTCCAGGAGTGCTGCTGCGGCTTCGTTGCGTGTCTGCTGATCTGCTTCCCTGCAGCGCAGCACGGAGTAAACGATGGCGCAGCAAAGAGCAGCAGCAATAATACAAGAAAGAGGGAAAAAGACTGGATGAAGCCCTAGTGTCCTAAAGTAGAACAGATGCGGACCAAAAGGGAGCAGACAGGCCACCACTAGAGCAAATATCAACAGCAACTTAGGACCCGAACTCTCCGAACCATCCATTTCAGACAGTATGTTGCTGTTGGTTTTGTTGTTGTTGCTTCTGCTGCTCTTAGTGTCGCTGCTGCTGCTGCTCTTGCTGCTGCTTCAGCTGCTGCGGCAGCAGCTGCTGTCTCCCTTGCGCTCACCGCAGACGAATCGGCCACTTAAGATGCTGCAGCCGCATCCACTGCTGCTGCTTCTGCATAAACTTTCAGCAAATATATTGTTGGACTCTGTCTTGCCTCTTCTCCGAAGAAGACAGAGCAGCTGCAGCTCCACGCCAAGTCAACTGCAGCAGCGCCAGCTAGTAGCAGCAGCGTCAGGCCCGCTCAACAAGGCGTTGGAATGAAGACTTTCTTGCAATAAAAGGGGTCTATTTATACAAACATGTCGTAAGGAGTTAAACCAAATCAACAGACGACGTGAAGAAGAACACAAAGAGCAGGTGATAACGGTACAGCAGTTGCCCAGCAGATCGAGGCCTGGTCTAGCTGCGCCGCCGCCGCCGCCACTGCTGCTGCTGCTGCTGGTACAGTTGCTGCTGCGCTAGTAGTCGTCTTTGGTTGCATTGCTTCTCCTACACAAAACAGCAGGTTTTCCTTTGCACTTTTATACTCCTTTCCTTAAGACATTCTTCCTCTGCTTTACTCGGCTGCTTCGAAAGTAGCAGCAGCAACACCTCCTCCGCGCCGACCTCATCGAAGGCGTTACTCTTCTTAATCCAGTCGGCGGCTACGTGCAGAGCCTACAGCAGCATTTAATTACTATATTTATATCAAGTGAGTTTAGAGGGATTTACTTGCTTCAGGAGCAGCTCGAGTTCCTATTAATAACGCCTTCTTGCTCTAAAACCGCACAGCAGCGCCAGTCAATTGACGCCTCCCACCGTGCTGCTCCCGTATTCTCTCCTCTGCAGGCAACTCTCTTTGTTTGTTTTTCAAGAAACATCAAATAAGAGAAAAGTCTTAGGGTGGCACAACAAGCTGACCAGCCTACAGGCAAACGCAGCTGCAGCTGCAGCTGTACGGTACAGGCCGCTGCGGATGCTCTTGCTGCTGCTGCGAACCTTCTGCTGCTGCTCCGCTGAAATTTCTTGTAGCTGCACTAGGCGTACACATGACTCTGAAACCTGCACGGCGCCCAGCCTCTTCGCTGTTGCTGCTGTTGCGATTGCTGCTGGTGTTGCTGCTACTGTTGATTTTCTGTGCAGGCCACCAACAGCGTTTCTGCGTTGACAATATGGCCACCAGCAGAAGCAGCAGCGCACAGTACGTGACGCCACGAGGCAACTCTGCTGAAGACATTGAAGGAAACAGCTTTCTGAACCACTTCTCCTCCCGCCACAGCCTGCAAATGGGTGCCCCTAAGCAGCAGCAGCAGGACTCGCAAGAGCAGCACTGGGTAGACCAGCAGCAATGGGAACAAGAGCAGGAGCAGCAGCGTTTGCTATTACAGCAGCAGATGCAGCAGAAGCAGCAACAACAGGGGGCACCTGAGGGGCAGCAGCAACAAGGCGCTGGAGGAGCAGAAGGAGAGTATGTGGCTCCTCTGGATACAGAAAAACTTAACCAAGCGGTTTTGCAGCACCTGTGGCAGCAGCAACAACAACAACAGCCTTCCGAAGACTTGAATAAGATGGTGGGGGAGGGGGAATGGGAAAGTCCCCGAAAGGGTGCCTCCTGGGTGTATACACGGGCTATGTCCGATTATACGGGTTTCATGCAGATGCCAGCAGCAGACAGCGAGGAGCCGCCGGAGAAGCAACCTTCAGGCCTGCAAGCCATCAACTCCGGCATTTATGTGCCTGGGGTTAAGCAGTGGAATGCCGCGACCAATACTCCAGTTCTGCCAGTGGGGGAAGAGAGTAAGAAAATAAGTAGATTGAATAAATTATGACAAATATATTATTGAGTAAATTCTAGAGCTGCTAATTTGTTATATATGTTATTGGAATCCCGCTCCCGTTCCATCCGGCCGATTGCTTGCTGGCGCTGTGGGCGTGCGTGTCTCCTTTGTTCTGCGGTTGCATTTGTCCCTTTTGCTATTCTTCTGGGGAGACTCTGTATGTGGATTGTTGCTGCTGCTTGCCGATTGCTGCTTGCTACTGCAGCGCAGAAGCTAGAGAGCCGCAAGTTTACATATGACTCTAGGACGGGGGAATACGTGAATGCTCACGATGAGCGGGACAGGATCCCACGGGAGCAGCTTCAGGAACTCAGCAGGGCCCTCTCAACTGCTGCTGTAAAGGAGACAGTTGTAGATATCATGCAGAGAAGAGCAACGCTCCGCAAGATGTCCAAGGCCTCTCGCCTCTTCCTCCAATGCAACAAAAAGGATCTTTCAACCCTCTCGGTGAATACACCTCAACTCCCCCCACCACAAGCATGCATGCATGTGTACATGCGCGTAGCTCTGCTTTATGCATGCAGCCACACGGATGCATGCTGCGCATGTTGATATAGGTGGCCGCGCATGCCTAAAGTTCCATGTGGGTGCATGCGGACGGAGAGCAAAGCTTCTTCCCACTTGTCTCACTTTTCCCCTACATGGACTGAGTGCATCTGGTGGTCTTTTTTGGCTATTTCAGAGTTGCATGCACCAGTGTAGAAGCGTTACATTTGTGGGATGTGCGTTGTTTTGCTGCTCCTGTTACTCAGGGCTCTCAGGGCCGCTTGCCTCCCGTTGTTATGGCGTATCTTCCCGACAGATATATCAAGACTTACGACCGCACGAACTGCATGGGGCAGCGGATTTCTACAAGGCGTCACGAGCCCAGCAGCTGCTGCAGCTGAGCTGTCTTAGCTCTCTCCCCGCTTCCTCCCCGCATTGCAGCAGTATGTGCATCTTAGGCTCTTGTTTTTCATTGAGGAAAAGGATAATTGTTTAGCCGAAAGGCAAGGCAGTTGTGCAGTGCGGCGTTTTGCAACGTAATGTTTGCATGCCTTCGAAGGGCGAATGTATCAATTAAGTCTGTCTGGTGCCGTGCCGCCTACGATGGCTATACGGAGGCAGGGCCAGCTGCCTTTCGCCTCGATGGCAATCCACAAGCCAGGGGATATCTCACAGAGGGTCCAAAGGGTGCTCTGTGAGATAGCAGCGTCTGCTGTCCCAGCTACTCAAGGACAAAAATCCCAGGCCCGTCTTTCTCATATGCCGGATGAATATCTTGTTTAGCTAGCATAATTGAGCATCACCGAGCATGCATAATATATATGCATATATACATACACAGTATGGATACATACAATATATATTATGTAGTATGAATGTGTTCATATATGCATACCTGGACGATATATTATACAGGCATATATACAGTATACCCACCTATATTTGTGTTTACCTATTTGAATGCGCATACCTAGCCGGGATATTCATATATGTACGTGCAGCAGATGATTAATTACTCAGCGTATCCGCACAGTGACCCAAGCAATGTCGAATTTAATTGTTCTCCTTCACATCGCTGGCAGCCCCAAAGTCTAACGACTCGTTACACAGCTGCATGAGCCATCTTTGCACTGCATTCGAAGCAAACTAGTAGGCAGAAGAAGAATATATGTGTAAAGCCGACATCAGCCAGCTCAGGGAGGATCAGTATACGCTACAGGTGTCAACGTATGCCTTCCGTGTTGCAGGTGACCGCCTGTCTCTGCACTCTTTACATCACGCAGAGAGAGTAGAACAACTAGCACATTCTAACCTTGGAAAACGTCACTTTATGCATGCATACCATGCATATGATAGATAGGGCGAATGTCAGAAAGCTAAGAAACACTCCTTTGGTTTTCTGTGGGACGCCCCACAGCAAATGTTCCACGCCAGGCTTACTCAGAAGGTGGAGACGCCCTGAAGACCTATGCCTCAGTGGGTGCACTGTGATGGGTGTCCCCAAAACTACTATCGCTCCACCAGCAACAGCAGCATCAGATGCTGGTACTGCTGCAAAAAGCAGCACCTGCTGCTGTTGGACGCTGCTGCTGCTGCAGAGTCTAGAGGACTCTAAGGCGATTCGCTGAGGTGTGCGTCCCCAACGGGATTAGGGCCCCCGATTAGGATGCCCATGTAGCTCGCAGTGCTGCTGCTGCTGCCGCAGCGAGACAGTGGGAAAGAAACGAAGGAGGCAAACGAGACAGGCGGAAGGGCGCGCAAAGAGGTAAAGAGGCAAAAAGGTGAATCCAGCGGCAGGTGGCTGGATATCTGAAAACGGAAGCACAAAGACTATTCAAATGCCCGCATTGGGGGAGAAATGCAGCAAACGACAAAAGCAAATGGGCAAACACTTGCTTCTACGGCAGTCATTTGTTGCTGCAAAGGCACCTCTGCAGCAACAAATGGCTGTGCAACTGCTATGCAACTTCTTCAACCGATCTGCTTGCTGGTATCGTTCTGCTATTGCAGAAGGGCAACAGAGAAGTCCAGAGGGGCAAACATAGGTGAAGTTGCACCCATCAGTTTTGCTTCCTCCAAAGAAAAAACAGTGACCAGGTCGTCTTGTGGAATTTATGACCTGTTGCTAATGCTATTGCTGTTGGTTCTATGCTCCTCCTCCTGTAGGTAAGTGCGTCACTGCTGCTCCCGCAGGTACATCTGAGTCTGCAGCGGCGCCAGTTGGTTCATTTAGACTTCCTGCTTTGCTTCAGCCATTACGTCGTCATCAACCACTGTGACGACTTTCTCGGCCTCCTGTTTCTTCCCTGTGTCCTTGGTCCCCGATGCCTTCTCTGGTTTTTTCTCTGAGCTTCCGGAGAGGAGTCGGGCCGTCTCTGTCTCTTCACCTGCAGGCGGTGGCACCGCACAAGCCACGAAAAGGTAAGCAAAATTTCAAGTATTGCTCTCCGTAAAGCTATTGCTAAGCCGCGCCAGTGAAATGAGCCGGAAATACGGTGATTGCAGCTGTAGGGTGCTTGTGCCTATGCTGCATATGAGTAGCTCAAGTTGTAAACACCTACCTTTTTGAGCTGCCGTCTCGCGCATCTCCTTTACTTCCTGCCAGGATTTCATCTCCGTTCCGTCGCCTCCCACACTCATCACTGCAGATATGTGCACAGCATCGTTCCTCTTGTTTTTGTGCGTAAATATCGGGTATTAGTTAGACAAAGTTCTCTCCTTGCATACGAACTAGGCAGCGGGTCTACTTCCACAGATAGCTGCAGGCATAGTGCTGGAAACAGATAGGACCCTGACTAGTAATAGAAGCAGTGGTAGTTGTAGTAACAATAATAGCAACAGTAACGGTAATAGTAGAGATAACGGAAACAGTAATAGTAATAGCGATAGAAATAGTAGTAGCAACAGCTGTGGCAAAAGCAATAGTAATGGCCGTGGTAATAGTAAATATTAGAAACTGTTGTCGTAATAGTAGCAGTAGTGCCAGACGCAATCACAATAGTAATAATAATACTAATAGGCATTGCAGTGGTAACAGTCCTTCTGGGGGCCACTCCAACTGTGGGTGCAGCATATGATTCCGGACTCACCGTAGGCGTGACTAAGCAGCAAGTGGAGGACGTAAGGTCTGCAAAGCAAAACACAGCCAAGCGATCAGGTTAAAAAGACTTCAGCGGTCTCTAGCCAGCTAGTTGACTTGCTATATCTAACTAGCTCGTTAGCTGGTCAGTTCAATTTAATAACTAGCTCGCTAATCACTCAGCGCCCTGTCCACAACCGTCAAAACCCAAAAGAGGGTCCCATGCCCCAAGCGCGTCCTATTGCTCTTACCCCAAAAACATTTGCCAGCCGTAGAAGACGAAGGGCAACAATAGCGCGATCTGAAGGCAGATGCACAAAACCAATACAGCAATGCGCACGAAGAAATACAAAAAAAAAAGTCGAATGGCACATGCAAACTGTGGAGTTTATCATTAGCCTAAGACTAGCGGCGACATAAATGTAGCAAAGGTACCCGTTGCAACATTAGCAACAAATGAACAAGAGTTTAGGTCTAGGGATTATAGTTTAGGCTTTAAGGTCTATAGCCTCGCACGGATTGAAGCGCTGCAGCTTACCGGAAAAAAGTACGCAATATATAGGGCGTTGATTACGGCCATGAAGATTATGAAGAGGCAAAAGTCAATGATGAAGTCAAACGCCATCATCCCAATAAAGACATACACGAATATTAGCTTTTGTTTGTACCAACCCAGGACCCACAGGACGACAGCAACTGTGTCAACGAGTCCTGAAAAAGCATTTAAACGACCAATGTAAAATGCAGTAGGAGGCATGCACCAACCGCACTTAAAGATGTACTACAGAAAAGCCCAAATGCTGCTTGCAAAGACTGCAATGACGCTAGTATGAAATGGCAAGCAAGGTGCCTACCGCGTGTTGTTGTTAGCAAGCTCATGCCCCTCCAAACAGCAGCCAAACTGTCGGCAATGACTCCGTAATACTTCAGCGCTGTCGTAGGGTCCTCAAGCTCCATGATTCTGTCTCTGATGTCCCTAAGCATTGTATCAACTGGGGTCAGGTATGAAGAAAGATATGCGCCAGCAACAAACTGCAGCAAAGCAATAAAAACGCCTGACGACCCCGCACAAACACACAAATCCACACACACACACGCATACGCCGGGGAAGAAAGCACATAACACGCTCGTCGCCGTTAATAAAAAGCCTGCAACTCAGGGCTTGCTTAAGAACGACGGAAACACGTAAACCTGTGCATGCATCCATCCATCCATGCATGCACTCATGGAAAGGAAGCGGTAGCAAGGGAAGTATATGGGTGAACCGGTTGAGAATTATCTTTCAACAGAAAAGGCAACGCAGCAAAGCGGGCGTAAGCGTCTCTCACTGATCCCCAGCCAGGTGAAGGCGAATGTGCGCAGAGAGCAGCAGCGGAACGCTTTGCTGGCACTGCCACAGCAGGCCCCCAGAATCCCGCACATCTTGAATCAATACGAGTTGTGTGGTGGGCAGCGTTGAACCCCTCACAGAACCTTCTGCAGCTTCTGCAGATAAATCAGATTCAGCAGCCGGGGGGGGCGATTAGTAGTACTTCCGCAAATTCCGGGGCTAGTTGATGCAAACGCTCCTACCAGCTGCACACCAGAGAGATACGCCTGCTTTGGGTGGGGAACATGTGAACGATCGCCGCATTGGATATTAAACAGCTGCAATATAGGTTGATTACTGGAGCTGCTGAGTTTTTGTTCGCGAGAAAAAAAAGGAACAAAAGAGAATGGCCCATCCAACCCAGCGGGTTCCACTTGGCGAGGCAGCTTGCCTGACCCCACGAAATCCCTCACTTTTTGCAGCTAGCGCTCCATACAAACTTTGCCAAAAACAAAAGAATCGGTATTAAGCAAAAATATATGCTCTTATGGGAGGTAGATGGCACTGCACCATGCGTGACAGTGTAGGAGCCTCATGCGCCAGCCACAGCAATCGACGAAGGTTAGCGCTCGACATAGCACAGCATAAAACCTACAGTCCCTACCTTTTTATCTCACATAATAAGTACTGGAACATATTTAATTAATTTATTCCAAATGACTTCGCTGAATACGCTGTGGTGGTCGCACACCTCCGCCAGTCGCTGGCCCACGGGGTTGTTCAGAACATACGTTGCACAGCTCCGATTTTTCCGGCTACACAGTGGCTGTGTTTGCATATTTGTGAATAGTGAATAATTTGTTGACTGAAAAGGCTTATGGTTAAAACCTTGAAACTATTTCGCACTCGGTTTTCCAGGCTGAGGTCCAGTGGACTACCGTCGTCGGCTCGCTCACAATCGAAACACATCGTCCACTCCAGTCAACAGGAAAATTAAGCGCCAAAACAAATATACCCTCTCGCTACACAGTTCGTATGGGAAGCCAATGATCTGACAAGAACCTCAATATTCTTTCGTTTGGCGAGCTCAAATTACGGTTGCCATCAGCCCGTACCAACGTGCTAAGGAGAACCTCTATGATTTAGCTTTCATGCTCACTGCACTTGACCAAGTGAACCCACCCATGTTGCATTGCACCATGCATATCATTAGATGAGCAGCGAATACAAGTAAACATCAGGACAGCACGCTTACAGGTTTGGACAACTTCGAGGCAAATTCTGAGGGGAACCCAAAAGTCGGCTACACTCCCCGCATCGTGAGAATGCCGTAAAGGCATTAGAGCTTAGCTATGGTATTTGTATGCAACTAATGCAAAAATGTGCCCACCGCTCAGACCTAAACAGACAGCAATATTTAACAGTACATCTCCCTCACACTACACCAATAAGGAGGTCTGATAAAGTCTACAGTAGCAAGAGACCGGCTTCGTGAGACAAAAGGGTTTAGCGTGTATATAGATGCTAAGCTCAAAATAAAGTGCTCTCAACGACGATGCTGAGAACGGTATCAACGGGTCATACGAAGCGATAATGGCCACACGGCCTGCAAAAAAACCGCCGTTTGGGTGCAAATGCGTATCCTTTCCGCGGAAGCAAATGCACAAGTCTCCTAATGCCCAGCACAAGGTATAGCACCCCCAACGGCCCCTGTGGAACAAGAGGTGTTTGCGTGCTTGAAATGGGCACAACGAATGCCGACACAAACCCTGCAAAACCAGCCTCGCTTTCAGGATGTGGTAAACTCTCGATGTAGGCAGCACAAAAAAGGATATACCCTTAACATTTCTTCTGCGATCGCCCAGCAGACTTCATTGTACATTTTACGTCTATCAAGGAACAGTCCTGCTGACGCAGCTTCAACACAGCTGCGCGGGAAAACACAAACTGCAACTGCGGCTGCTATGCTTCCTGGCAGCAAACCCTCAACGCTATTTATGCCATCTCCATGCCCTCCCAGATGGCATATACTTGAGGCATCGCCTCTTGGTTCCCTCATCGTTTTGATGATCATTGTTCAAACTGTTTAGATATCTTGCCGCCCCGGAATGGGGAAGCTCCGCGCGAGCGCCTTCACCCGCTCTCGCAAGTCGACTATGCGCGGATGCGAAGGAGTGACGTGTTTTCTGAAGTCCGCCAACTTCTTACCCGACTGCTCTGCAGCGACACAAACGTCACAAGCAATACAAACATATAAAAAAGGCATGCGTACAGATATTTGGCACACGGCTTAAACACGAGAAACGCAAGCATCCGTATTTGCAGGTTGCTTGCCGTCTGTTCCACAACAATTATGGACATCTGCAACCTGCTGCACTGATGCAGGGCACTTGCATTTTGCAGATGATTTCATGGGCGTAGGCGTGCGTAAACATGCATTCTTTGTGATGCTGTGGTACCTTGTATCTCGCAGCAGATGTCAATAGCCTCCTTAAGGAAGCTAGCGACTTGCTTGAATTCTGCTGAGCTGAACCCTCGAGTCGTCATGGCCGGGGTCCCAATGCGCACGCCTGCGAAAAAGCGCCAGCTAGTCAACACCTCATCTGAACTCCCGTAGCTCTAGGCTCAGCTGTAAGCAAATGCAAAGGGCTTTTTGTCGTCCTTCCCATTGTTCGTTCCTCACCAGTGGGAATGCCTGGAGAATCGCCCGAGATTGAGTTCTTGTTCAGCGTAATGTTCACGGCGTCGCAAACCAACTGAAGTTTCCCCCCTAAGGACAGACTCATAGGCACAGTCCACACATGATTTGAGTGAGCATTCAGCCCATCGAGCTGCCTGTGCACCAACGAGCGATGAACAAAATGACAGTCACAAGGACACCCGGTCACAACCTGTGTTAAGGAGGAGAGGTTAGCAATGTGTCGCAACAACAAGGCCCATGCATAAACAGTCACTGCTTCCCCCCGCAGTGCATCAAGCATGCCTCCGCTACGCACCTGTCAGCCCTTGGGGCTTCAAGTCGAGGAGCAGCAAGTGGTTGTCAGTCCCGCCGGTGACGAGCTGTAGGCCGTAACTCTGCAACTCAGCTGCCAGAAGCTTGCAGTTGTCCAGCACCTGTTGCGAGTAGACTTTCCATTCCGGCGTGCACGTCTGGGGGGTAAACCACATGCGAACAAACACCTCAATACGAAGATGATTTCATTTCTTAGCACAGCGTGTTAGAACTAGCGACAGCAGCTAAATGCTTGTATGAACCAGCGAAGCATCAGGCCTTCAATTAGTTAGCGTGCTCCTGACGTCGCTGAGAAACAGGGCACAGCCGCCCTTGGGTGCGTTATGCAGCAAAAAATATGTCCTGCACATCTATCTACGCCTTCGGGATAGGTCAACGCTTGCCTGCTTTAGCTGGTGAGCTACAGCGGCGATGTGATTCTCATGAGGTCCCCCTTGCAAGCCTGGGAAGACCGCTGCATCTACCTTGGAAGCTCCATTGGGCACTCGCTTAGTGTTGACGAAGATAAGGCCACTGCGAGGTCCCCTGCAAGAAGCGCGCATGCAAGCAAGCGACATATGAATGGGGAGTAATCGAGGGTCTAGCGTCAGGCAAAACCATGGAGTCACTATTATATAGGGACACCGGCAAACGCAAAGTGAAAGCACGATAGAGCGCAGGGGCTATCATACACAATGAGGTGTGGAAGAGCGAGAAAGCACTCACGATGTTCATGCATGTCAGAAAGGCATGCACATGTATTATCGCATCTATAAACAAGTTCCAGACTAAATTGAGGTACCCAAGCTACGTACGATCAACAGAACAGGCGCACGAAGGAAAAGGAAAGCAGCTGTTCGCTGCTCAGACACAGCAGGTGCCCACGCACCTCATTGTTTTGTGCGTTGTTGTAGTAACGACATCGCAGTAGTCAAAGGGCGACTCGAAAATTCCTGCAGCGACGAATCCGCTGAAGTGGGCCATGTCGCACCAGAGGAAGGCCCCAACTTTATCCGCAATGGACCGAAAGCGTTTATAATCCAGCAGCCTGAGCAGCCACAAGCATGGAGGTGACACGATGTCCAGCGCGTAGAAAACAAGCTACGTAAGAACGCGGGAAACCTATGCACGATTCCATTCTCTCAGTACGGGGGGCATTCATTCATAGGAGCGCCAGCTTCAACCTACCTTGGATAGGCAGAATGCCCACAGATGATGAGCTTCGGCCGGAATAGGGTCGCCAGCCTGTCGAGCTCTTCGTAGTCAATCAGACCCGTTTGCGGGTTTAGGCCGTAAGGAAGCGACTCAAAAAACAGAGAACTAGCACTGATGCGACGAGATGGTGTGTATGCCCCATGCGTCAAGTGACCCCCTGTGCAGAAGGCAAACCAGCATCGGCATCAGGAACAGCGATGCAGCACCAGCAGCCGTTAGGTACCCACAAGGCGCTCGAGGCTGTGAGGTACTTGGAAATCCGCTCTCGTGGCTGACAGGTTGCAGGTGGCTTCTGTCCTGCATGCAGGCATGCATGCATGCCGAGTGCAACGCATGCACACATGCCGAGTACATGTATGCATGCGGTGTGCAAGCCTCCATCAGCATTACCATCATTGAGACCGAGGCCCATGAATCGATCGTGGGGTTGGAGCAGGGCCATAAAGACAGCAAAGTTGGCTGGGCTTCCCGAAAGGGGCTGTACATTTACATGCCATTCATCTGGATCCAGCCTAAATGCCTCCTTGGCGCGCTGGATGCAAAGCGCTTCCACTTGATCTACAAACTCCATGCCCCCATAGTAACGAGCGCCAACGAAACCTTCGGAGTACTTGTTCGTCAGGCAGCTGCCGAGACATTCTTGCACCGCTGTGCTCACGAAGTTCTACGGCCATAGAACATGCGAAGAGAAAACACAAAGACTACTCGTCAACTTATGTGGCCGTCAGAAGGAAACAGCTAATTCTACATATGCCACGGTGCAGTCCAAGCAGCCTTCAAGGGAGCTCACTTCAGAAGCAATTAGTTCAATGCAGTCTATTTGCCTCTCCTTCTCCTTCGCAATGAGATCATACAGCTGAGGATCTGCGTCCTTGAGGGGCTGCATACACCCGCAACAACAGCTCAAATTTGCTTCTCCCTCCCTTACTCCAGCCTCAGCCCTACGAAATTATGTCAATCTCTTCGAGAAAGCTCACACAAGTTCAGGTGAGTATTAAACGTATGGGAGCAACTCCTGTTCCGTTCAACGAATGCCGAAATTTTTGGTGTATTGCCACCGTGTTACCCTGGGGACTGAGGGGACTGAGGGGCTTCAGTGGAAGAATTTGGTACCGAACTATCTATGGAAAACGTCTTAATGGGAAATACTTGCCAGATCGGTTGGTGGTGATGCCATCTTCGCCCGATTTGTATAAAGAAGGGCAAACGGTTTTGTGCTTAGCTGGTCAGTGGCCTATAGCGCTGGGTAGGCAACCCAGTGTCTAGAACATATTTGTGGATGGGCTGTTGTCAAAAATTCCGAATTTCTTATTGATTGAAGCCAAAATCTGCTCCTGGGAACACTTGTAACAACCAAATGGAACACCAGCACAGCCATGTTGTGCGAAGGTGGGGTTGTTCGTCCCCCGCTTATCACTAACGTGTGCGGACAGATGGTCAAAGGAGTGGCTTTTTGATGTTTATAATAAACCATTTCAGGAAGTATGCATGCATTCACTACTTAAACGAGAAAAGCGTGTACACAGAAAAGTGGCTTATGATGAGCAAGTGCGGGGGTCACTGCTTGAACAGAACAAGTATTGCAGCGCCCTGCTACCTTGCGTAGGGCTTCAGTACACTTTATAGTGTTGTCTTTTGTGGAATGTGGTTCCGTCTCACATTTATGTGCGCAGTACTGGACTGCGTTTCACTGGTAACTTGCGGCGTACCTGGACACGCCCAAGGTGTGTGTGTGTGTGTGTGTGTGTGTGTGTGTGTGTGTGTGTGTGTGTGTGTGTGTGTGTGTGTGTGTGTGTGTGTGTGTGTGTTTGTGTTTGTGTTTGTGTGTTTGAGTTGGTGTTTGTGTGGCCTTTTAATAGCAACTTTAATAATTTCCAGGCAAAGTTATTGCTACGTTGATGCAGCGAGTCTCTTCGTGCGAATGTTAGGTGTATTGCGAACTGCAACAGAAGCCAAACACCTCAGATAAACGTTCACCAAGAAGTTCGTCCCCCCTCCTCCCCAGTTTCGAGTAGTGTGCACAGCATTTCGTGCTCCTGGGGCTGCAGGGGACGGGGGAGTGCTGGCAAAACAGTTGTTGCAACGGTCCTTACAAGTCCCGCGTGCATGCACAAACAAGCCTGCTTGGCTGTATGCATGAACATTCTGGAGCATTGCTGAAAGCTTGCGCTTGCTATACGTTTGCCTACTAGGGCAGGGTAATCAAAGCTTATCTTCTTCGACAGTCCTCAAATGCAATAATGCAATCAAGACAGAAATCGTGTTCCCTCTATGGGATCTCATCTGTTCCCAAAGAGCAGATGAAGGCACACCATGCAACCTACCAGCGGAAAGGGCAGGCTGGAAGCTTAGGCACAGTGTTCCTGTTGCACCTGCTCGGCTACAGGAATACCATATCAATCATCCTTAACGACGGTATTTACGTGTGGTTTGGATGGCTTTTAGGAGGCTTACACGGAGCACCCAATTACAGGAATAGCGCCTTATCCGTGGGCCAACACTTCTGGCTAGAAGATGGGGAACTACCAAATTGCTCTTCACGTATAAACGGCGAACTGCATTCATGCTACCATACCTACCATATCGATGTGATCAGCCGCATTTATACGAGAGCGTATGTATGCATACGCATATATAACTATCCATCTACAGATATAAATTACAAACAAAGTATACTTCAAGCAGCTGGCCGGAGAAGCAGCCAGTGTACAAGTTCGAAAAAACCGTTTGCCCTGCTGGCGAGCGCCAGCTGCGTGGCTCCCTGCCATAACGGAGGTTCGACCCCTACGTCTCCTGCACGAAGGAGAAGCATGTGCATATGTAACCCCTCTTGCCAATGCGCGGCAAAGCGTGTAGAGATCCTAGCGGGGAGAGGGGCCCGTGTGCATGCAGGCAGCCAGCAGTTGTACGGCTCGCCTGCCGTATTCCCTGACTCTTGGTAGCAACCAAATCGATGACGCGGTCAGTTCTACCCTGCCGGTATCGACCTCGCTGCCATATGAAAAGTAACTGTGAAACGTGACTGTCCCATCTACTCTCCCATGTGCTCTCCCATCTGTTCGGCTTTCCAACACCCCATACGCAAATGAAGTGGTGCACTTGCGTGTGCACGAGATAACCAGACACTGTCGATGAGAGCAAAAAGGCTGCATTCGCTGCACAATCGTCGATTGCTCTCTGCTCCGCACTGGGCGCGCTGCTGTATTGTGCATTCGCAGGAACTCACTGACACGTAGCCTAACGCATAAATAAGTTAGGCTGGGCTGGTCATGAGTGATAATAATCAATTCTTCCTTCGTCCCTGTAATGGTGGACCAAGGATCGTGCCTAAGCGCCTGATGAAATGTTAAAACGCGTCTGGCGAGATGCTGCTGGCGCCCTGTCCTCGTGTTGCCGTGGTGACTGTGGATGTAGGTGCTGCGCAGGTTTAAGATATTTGTGGGTCGATTGAGGGCCTGCGGCAGTGGCTGTGGCATCATCACTTGCCTCCGAGCTAAGCCTGCGATGTGTGTTCGATGCATGCACTGGCTGCGAGTTAACCTGCACTGTAGGCCCGGCAACAACCGGTGCGACAAGGGTTGCGCTCTCCTCCCTACGGAACAACTGTTGTCGACGTTCACTACGCTCAATCGCCTCTCCGTTGTACGGGTATGTATACCACTGAGGATGGTTGTGCAGGATGTGCTGCCTTAGCAGGGATTCGTAAACTTCGAAAAAAAGCCTGCACACAAACAAACTATGCAGAGGGAGACCAAATAAAACACAGCTTCTGTACCCGTTTCTTACGACTCACCTAGGTGCCCGCACCACGCAAGGATGTCGATAAATGAACGAATCAATGCTATACGCAGCAGAAATAGCCAGAAGCACTTGCAGTATCTCTGCGATTCTGTAGTGTCTACGGAGGCCGAACAAATTGTGCTCACTTCAGCTGAATGTGTTCGCAGATAGGGAAGCCACGTTCGCTTATTACAAATGCACACAGCATGGAAAACACACGCATTTACAATGTGGATGAATACGCTTTACATACACTATATGCACAGCAAGCCTCACTTTTCAAGGCGGCCGTCTCGCCAGTCTAGCAGAATGACGCGACCGCTCGAGTCCGTCAGACTCCAAGTGCTTGTCGTTGCGGAGGGTTGCTTCTTTGGGCGGCATCCGGTGCCCCGTGCTGTTCCGTTTAGCCTGCACATGGACAGCAGTCAAGAGAAGCATACCTAAATGTGAGCCTATGCAACCCAGCATATAAATCACATACACGAATTCTCACCAAAGCACAACCGGTGGCACAACAAACAACAGACATACAAGAGAGGCGCCACATGCTTCGACCTCATTGTGTACGCTTTGAAGAGATGCTGCACAATTTCGTACTGAAACCATGATGGCTCAAGCAGAGCGAAAAGATCGCTTGACTATTCACATGACTATTACTCAACCATGGACAACGTACCGTCTCACTGTGCCCTTAGTGTGTCTGTTGCCAAACACATCCGGTTCATTGCGAGGCACAGACGGGACAGTGGCAGTTGCATCATCTGTCTTTGTCTCTGTCTCTGTTTCTGCCTTGCGTCGTCGGTTACGGGACGTTCGGCGTTTACGGCGCCCTGAAAGGCGCGGTTCCCCCGAAGGGTATCGGAACAAAGCAGCGCTAGGAAGGTGCCTAAGGGGTCCACCAGCCGCTCCGGGTGCTTGGAAACTGCCGAATGTAGGGGTTGCCAGTCGTTCCTCCACTTCGGAAGCCGACTTGCTGCTGTCCTCGTCACTGTCGCTGCTCGTCCAGCTTGTCTGCGTCCCGTCGTTGCTACTTGTGCTCAGACTGTTGCTGCTTAGGTCGCTGTCGCTGGTGCTGTCTACTGAATCGCCCTGACCGTTACTGCTGCGGCGTTCAATTCTTTCACCACATCTGCAGGGGACGAGGTCGTCAGCATTCCGTCGTCCATCTTCTGCATCTATCACTGCAGCCCCAGAAGGCGCAATTTCCCCCACAGTTCCAGCTACGGGGAGCCTCCCTTCGGATGGTGAAACTTCAGCACGGGCTAGGGCTGCAGCAGCGGTGTTGCGACATGCTCTTGGTTCGCCACTAGTACCCTCCTGGGCATGTGCCCCTACTGGTGAGCGCGAATCACTCCAAGCCTCAATGGTCGTGCAGGACCTGACGAGGGGTCTCTCCTCAAAGTCTTCACTGTCTACTTCCCCGTCAGCGTCAACTGTTGACGGAACTGTGCAACTGACTGACGTGTTGCCGTGAAGGCCTGTTGTGGCTGCTCCAGCTGCGGAAACGATGCCACCGCAGCGCCTGCAAACCCCATTAGCGCCAACAGCTGCTTCCTCCACAGTTCCATCGTCTACACCCTTCTTCTTCTTCCGCAAGGCTTTCTTCAACTTTGCCTCGAAAGAAGAGCGCCGCAACCCCTGCTGCTTCCCCGGATCTCCCTGCAGCTCGGCTAGATCCATAATTCCAAAGCCTAGCCTGTTGGTGCTCATCAACGACGTAGAATCCAACGCAAGGTAAGAAATCTCAAGGCTTCGCCGGATCTGCGAGGACCCCAACGCATGCTCACACAGAAGGCAATCCTCTACTATTTGCAGACTGTCGTGCAAGTGGTACTGCATTCACAGAAGACCCTGCGAACTGGTAGCGCCCATGAGATGAATAAACATAGAAGGAGTGGTTGACGCCGCGTAGAGACGGATGCGTTCCACGATACGCCCTCCACAGGAAGAGCAATACCCGCACCACCAGCAGCTCACCAGGTGCTCCAAGGGTGAGGGTATGTCAAAGTCGTCGCGCACGGCAATCGTCGCCGTCTCCCGAACCGTCAAGTGATGCCGGGCACAGATTTGCAGCAGTTTCGTGGCGAGCCGAAGGGTTCTTAGACAATTGTCCCTCAAGGCAACCCGACGCGACAAGCGCTCCAAGTCCTTATCCACGTCGAATGAGTATATCAGACGTAGTTCGCTTTCACTGTATGGCTCCTGAAGGTATGCACCACACGCAGCGCTGCATCCCAGATATGCAATCATCCTCATCCACTGCAAAAAGTTGCGTGACAGCTGGTAACGCCTTAAACCTATCTCCCAGCCAGCCAGCCATAAGTACAGTTGTGCAGGCGACCACCCCTGTGGGAGCAGTTCTTATGCAGGATCCGTAGATGCCAACAGTCAGCATGTAGCCTGCTCATTCGCTCAATACACGTAGTTGCTCACTTTGCTTTGGGGCCAGTCGAACCAAACAAGGTCTAAGGTCGCCACATCCAGAACGTCCGTCAAGATCATCCCGTGGTCAATGGGAATAAGGCGAAACCTGCGGTTGGACCACCTGAGGCAACATCTCACGGTAAATGGCTCTACGCGTGTCGTGTGGCTACGGCTGATGGCAGATATATTTGGCCAGACAAACCTGGGCACTCACTTCGTTGGTTTTCCATCAGGCGTCAATACCCCAGACGCTGCAGAGGCTGCTGTTTCCGCGCCTGCCACTGCTGCTTTATCAGCAACGCAGAGCTGTGTCCCGCAGGAGCCCACCGCAGAAACGCTGCGTAGCAACTTGCTCTGTATCTGCTTCACAACCCCACCTGAGGCACGCAGGCTGCGGGAACTGCCGCCAGCCGACGGCTCCTTTTGATATCCAACCACAGGAGCCACCAGAATGTTGCTGTCGTTACGGTCCAGGTTCATGACACGCAAGTCAAATATCGCAATACGGTGCACATCTCCTACAGAGAAGAGCCGCGCGTCAAAGTTTCCGACACATTCCTGTCACAAACGAACATAACAATGAATTTACAACGCATTTACTTACGCATTCGCATCTGAGAGGTAACGGACACGCGCATACAGGCGCAGACACCGCAGAGAGACTCACCTTGGCCTCTACAAAGGCCTGAAAGCTCCCAACTTTCCAAGATACGCTGGGCGACGATTCGCTGCGGACGTATGTGTTCATCATCACGTCTCCATCGACCTGAACCCACCGTGCCACACCAAACAGAAAAAAATTGTCCAGGCAGCGCACAAACAACTTTGGTGACTTCGTGCTTGCATATGCACGAAATGGATTCAAGCACCGTCACACAGGCACGCAAACGGGAACAGACGGAGCGCAAGAAAACTGAAACTAAACCCACCTCTATCTGCCCTTTGCTGCAGAAGGCCGGGTGGCACGCCTCCACCATCATAGTTGCCGGAACGCCGGCAAACCCGCCATAACTCGCATCCAGAAGGTATGCGGCAAACTCGCGTCCCGCCCCCTCTCCACTCAGCACTCCTCCTCGCAGTCCTTGCTGACCCAGACGCCCCTCGTAGCCCCGCGGGTTACACGGGGCGAAGGCTTCTTCGTCCTGATGCCGTAAACGACGCCGAACGAAACACGACAGCACAGTCATTGGGATGCGAAGAATAAAGCCCACCCCTTCAAGTCGAGTGCACAAATGATTGCTACTTCTAATATCGCCGTCGAAGTTGTGTACATGTGCGGAAACGGGCGAAAGGCGTCCAAACAGATATATAAAGCATCGTGCCTACCACTTTAACTGCTGTGGCCCTTGAGAAGCTAACGCTTCTGATGGGCCTCTCCTCACCTCAGGCTTAAACACGGCCACTGGACGCCGACGGCCGTCAAACAAAATGTAGGTGCCACCAGTGCCATCCATAGTCAGCTTTGGAGCCACGTTCCTGCGGAAGCCAAGGCGGACCTGTTCGCACGGCGGAAAGCAGAAACACAAGCACTCTACCATTCGGTGACAACAGCAGACTCAACGAACACCATACAGGAGAAACCAATCACGTGCGATGAGTAAAGCCATGTCTCTGTGGAAGGCACACGAGCCCCTTCGTTGTAAAAATTGCATACCACAAGCTGGTCCCGTTGCACAAGGTACTGCAGCGATGTTGGCTGCAGTTGGAAACTCACTTCCTCAAGAATCCTGAGGAGTTCTTTGCTGCGAAAGGTCTGGCTGCGCGCGAAAGGCCTGATAGATGCCTGCGCACTGCCCCCCCTCACAGCCCATAGCAACCGTTTAACCGGGTTTTCGAAGAAGACTGTCATGGGCCTCCAGTTCGGCAGTTCGCTTCCCCTGAATATCAAACGTACGTCTTTTACCTGAATCCACAGGAACACCCAACCCTGGCGTAACCGAAAGTGTTCAACGGGAGTATGCGAGTGTATACGTGCGTATACGTCGACTGTAGATACTCGTACCCAAAACAATGTACCTGAACGCACGTCTACTCATATACCTATTGTACAGCGGGACGGCCAGCGACCTCAGCATACACCGTAAAACGTTTATGCAAGTCCTCCCACTTAAGCCATATGCTACGCAATACTGCACGGCAATGGACCGGTAGGGGCAAGGGTGCATGCTGGGCACATATCCAAGAACTTGCATACACTGCAAAGGGTATAGCTACACATACTGATGCATGAGTAAGTTGCATTTCCATGTATTACCTGCATAGATGAGGGGAGCCTAAGTTTTTTGATGAGCAGCCGTTTGACCATTTGTACGTCGTAGAAGGGGTAAACGTCCAGCTCGCACGAGCGAGAACCATGAAGTTCTTCGAAACAAACTCTAAAATGCAAATCGTCTCCATCCGCTCCCCGCAAGGCGTTGTGTGTGGAGAAATAATACAGTGGGTGTGACGGCAGCATCATCACCCCGCCTCCTCCTCCCCCACCAGCGGCGGCCGGCCCTTCAACAGCAGGCATCCTGTATGCTGTTTACAAGCAGTGGACGGTCCGTTGCAATTGTTTCACTTGTGGTGATAGTCGAGCCAATCAGTCCAAGCAATCCTTTAAGACGTCAACGCACTCTGCAGAGTCTGGGGGCCCATCGGATGCGGTCGGTGAGTCAAATGTACGGTGCATGCGATGTTTCCGTAGCTCCTGCGCAGCTTCAGCTACTGTTAAGCTGTTGCCCGAGAGCTAGCCGCTACTGCTGCTGCAGCACGACGACGCAAGTGTGGCGGTCCCTGGAAGTTTAGGGCCTGCCTCTGTGACAGGGATGTTTGGGGAGAATTGCCTGAGTTCAAGATGGCGGAACCCGCAAAGCAGCTCCACACACAAGCCACGAAGCACTGCTGATGATGTTGCAGCACGTGCTGCTATCGCCTTAAGCTGCTGCTGCGCCGGAGCGGCATTGGGCAGCTCAACCATGCCAGGCCAGAGCACCTGATGCTGCGATCATCGCTGACAACTGGCCCTCGGTTGGTCTGCATATGGGCCCGACTTAGAATGTTGCCTCGGAGGACGCTTCACACCCTGCGAGGTAGCACTGCTCCTACGCAGGACGGCCCTGAGTGTTCTCTACAGCTCCGGAAAGCATTCGATTTGGCCTCCACACCCATACACCGCAAGCCCCGTCCATGCACTGATTAGGTGTTTACACCACCGCTACCGCTACAGGCGAGTCCCAACTGTCCAGGTCAACACGGGGGTGGCCTACAAAGACAGTCAAAGCCAGAAATTATGTCAGAGGCTGAGAATCGTAAAGGTGTGGTAGGGGAGCTCTGGAAGCAGCAGCAGTGGTGGCGCACCTGTTGCGAGCCCTCTGCTGCTGGGAGCTGACTGCGAACCCGCTGCAGACGCGACGGGCTGTGCAGCTCCGAATCGCCAGAAAACGTCAGCATGCAGGCGGGGAGGCGGCCGGGAGGTGTACAGTGGAGCAGGCGGGTGAGTGGGGGGCGGAGACCTGGAGTTGTTGTGCAGGGGTGGAGGGGTTTGAGTTGCTTCTGCTGGGTTCGCCCCAGAGCTTCTCTTGTTACGTGTTGGTCATAAGGGGTGATAATACCCCAATGGTACAGTCGGTGGTATGGAGCGCCCCACGAGAGGCGAACGTCAGAGGGAGTGTTCAGCAGACACGCAAGAGCCAAATAACAGACAAAGAGTAGTTTTGAACAGAAACTCTGCTTGCCATAGCGCACAGCAGGTGTCAGCTCTGGCTGCTTCCAGTTGTTACTCCTGCGGCTGCTGCTGAAGGACACGTACAGCCGCATCCACGGCTACCGCCTTCTTGCGAAGTCCTGGCTGCTGCTCACGCACCGTCCCCGCCCCATTCATAACACCGTTACTCTATTTCTTTATAGCTCAGCTTCCTTTTTTATGGGGATTCAAGAGCGTGTCTCTGCCACACGTGCCGCTCTCCTGGCAGCGTTCCACTGCTCGCTAGGGCCTTAAGGAGGCAACGTGCCCGACAGCAACCCGCGTCCAAAAATCGTTAAGTGGAGGGTTATATAGGCATTTCAAAGAGTATTTTAGGAAATTGGATTGAAAGTGAAGTGCTTGTATTGCTAGTGTATCCTTACTTACTAAATTTGGCGAAACATCCCGCGTGTGCGTGTCGTGCGAAGGCATGTAAGTGCGGCCTTCCACCAGCGTAGCACGAGTAAGTGAGGCGGTTATGCACTTTTAAATAATGCTTTTGAGTAGGCTGCTGAAGTTCCACTTGCTACAAATGCTTCTTGCCTCCACACGGGTAGGTCTTGTTGCGCACTTGTGTGTGTAAGAGGGGACAAGGCAGGCACAGTGTACAGGGCTGGAAGTACAGCGTTTCCTAATAGAGTTTTTTCTGCATAGTGTTAAGGATTTGGTGCCAATGCGCTTGATACGTTGCTTGTGAAGGGTAGTAAGGGATGTAGGGTCTTGCGGCTAGCGAAGGAAAGCACAATAGCTAGTTAAATACGGGGATTCCCCTGTTCCTTATCCGGCAGATTGATGCGAAATATTTTCGGAGGCGTTGGTGAGGGGCTTCGATAGTTCCATGATTTTTCTTGAGTAGGGCGCATGGCAGCATGGCAAAGGTCCTGGCCTTTTCAACTATACGTGGGCCAGTCCTTTTACCCGATAAATACGCCACAATCAACGTTACGAAATGAATGCCGCCTCACGCACGTCTACCTCGTACCCGGCATACAGTTCATCAACCCTTGCCAACAAAAAAAGCATGTAGTTAAAGTCTAACTGAGAAGGGAGCGAACGCCAGTCTTCTTGGGCCATCGCGTGAGAAATAGGTCGGTGTCACTGTCACTGAATGATTGAAGGTTGCATGTTGCGTCGTTGTTAACAGGTTTATTCTAGTGGCAAGAAGCCTCTACGAGCAAAATTGAGGCAGTTGTCAGAACGGGGTGTTCCCGGCACATTCCTAAACTCCGCTAGTCCCACCCGTGCTGGCAATATCCTTTGAGTTGCTTTTTCACATATATGTGGACAACCACAGGAGTTAATATATGAGGGACGTGTTTGATGCATCCGTTTCAGTCTAGATATAGAGCTCACGCTTGCGGATGAAGGGGAGTTACAGTGCTACAGTTTGATGCTTTGGTATCATGACTGGTAAGTCGGCAGGAGTTTGTCCTGGAGTTTGCTACAGATTGTTTGATTTTAGCACTTTGATGCCAACTACTTCATCAAATATGTGTTCTTGGAATGCAAACTCATAAGGTCGTTATAATAAAAAGGGGTTATCGGTGGAGACGGCTGCTTATATGTCCGCACAAAATGGGATGGCGACAGCGAGACTGACTGCCCCGATTACCTGTGACTTCAAAGCAATTCGGACCTGTCACTTATGCTGATCTGCAAAAAAATTTTATCGATTCATGTATGAACAATTTTCTCATTCGATCGGCTTTAAACTCACCGAAATAAACAAATTATTTTGATGTATGAACAATTTTCTCCTTCGATCGGCTTTAAACTCACCGAAATAAACAAATTATTTTGAGATATTAAACGTTGTCATTCATCGAGCTTAGCAAGTATTGCCAGCGACAGGATGCACTTGAGGAACTCCACAAGAGCACTGGAATCATTTATTCTGAAGGTAGAATGGGCTCGGGGGCACCACTTGGTTCTTCAGCAGAAACAGGGCTGCTGATTTCTTGAGGCGGTGCAAGGCCGCCAAGCTCTTCGCGGAGTTTGTTGGCAGTTGCCACTCGGATTGCCCTCTCCTGTCCTTCAGTAGTTGGACGAATCCGCCGCACGATAATCTTTGAGGTAGCGGCAATACGCTTGAGGACAAGTGGTTTAGGAAACCTCCGCCTCTCGAAGATTCCTGAAAAAGCGGAGTCATTGCAACCCATAACCGTAATATGAACTGGTTCCTCTGTGAGATGGTGGTGCCGAGCTGCTTATGGGCGTTGGCATTTAAGGTCTCACCAGATTGAATGAATGCCAGCATATCAGCAGCGATTAGGATAGGATTGAAAAATTTGGGTCGGGTGTCTTTGTTCAGGCTTCTCTTGCGAAGTGGACTACGCTCGGTTAATGACCATTTTACTTCTTTCAATAGTTGCAGCCGATCATTCAAAGAATCCCAATCGCTGTGCTGGGCAATGGCCAACACGACTTCCTCAGCTACCCGTTGTCCAAATGACAACACGGGCGTATAAAGAAGGTATTCAAGCCCTCTCTCCAAAGCTCTTGGTAATTCGTTAGGGCTGCTCAAAATCAAGTTGTAGAGCTCCCCCGCTTTTGCAGCATGTGCTGTACCCACAAAACCCGAATCACCGCAAGTGTGAGCTTAACAATACTAAATCAAGGTGTGCATGCAGTCTCCTGCAGAAGTACCGTTCCGGAGCAGTGTGGACAACCCTGTGTTTTACCTGTTTCTATTGCGTTGAAGGCTTCCTTTAGTAACTCCTTTGATATATTTTTAGCTGCCTCTGGTGCTGCTGCGCCATCAGCTAATTTTTTATAGAAACAGTCACATTTGTAGAGATACTGCTCCTGTCGAGTCAGAGGCAAATAACCAGTTATATCGTCCATTGCCTCCTGCAGGCAGTCTACCTTTGCTTTCTCGGCTAGCTTAAGAAACCCGGATACAAAAACAGTGAGCCCAGCCCTGTCAAGCAGTGGCAAGCTCTCATTGCCCATTAATATATCCCGAGCTTTTGCAATTATCGCATGTGGCCGCAAGGTTGACGATTGGCGCATTATGTAGAATACATCTACGAGGTCGGTCAAACGGTTCGACGCGCTAGCATCGGCTAGAGCTTCTCCTGTCAAAGACGTAGGATCCTTTGTGAGCTCTTCAAGCTTTCCATGGTCAAGTAGCGTGTACCAGTCGCCGAGGCAAGGTGGGTCTGAGCGAAGCACATGGAAAAATGTGCGGAAACGAAATCCATATATTTGAGTTAGTCGAATCTGCTGCAGTGCACTGGAGTACTCAGCACGTACTGCCTTGCAGCTGCGCTTGCAGCTGGCGGCTTTACTCACATGAGACACTTGCAGCAACAATTTGAGGAGAGCCTTCCTCAGTGGGATTCTCAGCCCCAAGCGCCAGCCTAGCGGTTTTCCTGAAAACATCTGCCGGCGTCAAAGGGTTAGCTGGATTGGCATTAGAAAACTCAATGACATTTGCTATAATGAAGCTCAGGACTCCAGTAGTCAAATCCACGGATGCAAACTGGGCCGCTGCGAGGTGGCCTACTTCATGACCCACGAATGCAATTAACACGCCACGAAAAAAAGGAGACACAGCATTGGCAATCGTCAAGCGAGCTTCAGTTTTAATGCTGGTGTTAACCAGATCTTCGAGGAAAGACCCCACTGGTTTCCCGTCAACACGTGTGCTCTGCACAAGATCTTGGGGGCTTATCTCATCTTCTTTAGTTTGCTGGAAATTGAGAAGCTCAGATAGGATATAACACAGGACAACGTGGTCGTCCATATTCACAGAAACCATCGAACCATTGAAAAAAATCTCAGGAGCGTTCCTCAGAAGGCCATCACATAATTCAAACATCGTCCGTCCCTCCAACTGAGCAGCACAGCAACACACGGAAAAAAAAATGGTACACGTCTAATCTCAAACATTGCAACGTTAATAAGCACCAAGCCTAGCGTGGATTGTTTGACTCACTGGCAGATTCAGGAGCTCGAGGGCATCTAATGTATTTGAAATGCTTTGGACTACCGAATACTTTGTTTGCAAACTCATTGCAGTGCTTCGGGATTCAGTTTGAGCAGAGGCTTTGAAAACTCCAAGTGCTAAAACCGCAACAGAGGCAAAAAAAAACACTAGTATTAACACTCAGCCAACTAAATGTTATGGCATATGTAGGGACTGGAATATTTCCATTGGCAAGCCCGCCCTACAGTGATGCATTATCTATGGCTATGCAGCTGCACTGAGCAATCACAGTAGAGGTAGCTCTTCCTCACATATTCGAAGATGAGCCATATCCTCTGACGTGGCCCTCTCGAAGAACTCTAGTACATGGGCAACGTTGAGGGAGCTGTTCAGGAAGGTAAGGACTTCAACACCCGCAAAGGACAGTTGGAGAGCTTTGCTTAATTGCCCTCCCTCTGGATTCTTAAGAGCCAACATGCCAACCGCAAGCTCCATGCCTCCTTTTCCCTCGCTCAGGTACCGGAGAGCCCACCCAGCAGCTGCTTCCACTGTTTTCATTGGTAGAGTTTCTATCCGTGATTTAAGTTTCTTATATTCGTCTGGGGAAAATCGCACGAACATGCATGGCTCCATGAGAAGGCATTAACAGCTCGACTCCCCAGGAATGTTTGTTTTCTTAACTCTCAGTTACCTCTTGCTTCTATTGTTTGGACAGGGACGGAACGAAGTTCGGACAGGATGCTCTGCATGGAATGACTATCAGAAAGTAGGACCGCCAGCTCCTCAAAGGCAAGCTGAAGTCGGCCATACTCAAGGAGGTCTAGAGCTTCGATAAAGAGTCCACTACGGAGCTCAGGGTTGGGGAATACTCGTCCTTCTGCTCCCTGTACTGCAGCAAAGAATGTTGTGCCGTGCAAAACGTTCGGTCGACTGCAGCACAGTAGGAAATATAAACACCAGATTGAATGCATATGTACAAAGTACGTTGATGGGCCCATCTGTCCCCTAGTTATCAATAAAGTTTGGCGTTTGAAGCCTGAACCTACATTTTTCTAAAGAGGGCAAGCTGCTTTGCTCCCACAAACCGCCTGAGCTTTCCATGGCAAGCCCTGATAAAAACTCCCAATTTCTTTCGAAGGCTTTGGGGCAGGTGTTTTATGTTCTCAACATAACTGCGCAATGCAGTTACTAGGCTCTGACGCTCCTTGATGTATCGCTTAGGCCCACCCAAGGCCGGATGAATTTCAGTGTACATTTTGGCAAGACTTTCTCCCTCTCCTGCTTCTGCATATTCCACACTCAACTCCTGCAGCAGTTTATCATATGAATACTTCGCAGCCGTTTTGCCGTACAATTCAGCCTCAGCTGCAAATGTGTCAATGTTTAAGAAGTCCATCCATCTCGTTGAACCACGCACGCTGTCCAGAATGTCGGCGAATGATGACACGAAGTTACGTACATGCTCCTGCAAATTTTCCGTACAACTCATAGTGCAAACCAGTGTGTTGGAAAGAAAGAGTAGAGAGGTGCAATTATTTCAGATGTTTGTGAGACAATCTGCATGAATGTTACTGACCTTATCTGCTTCTTCAATATTATCGACACTACCCATCTTGAAGTAGCGAAGTGCTGCGCATTTAACAATGAATTCATCTACAGTCTGGGACCCTTCTTCTAGCCATGCGCAGTGAGGTGCTTCTGTAAGCAGCTCCCCACGTTGTTGAGCCATATGCAAATGGAGGACTTCCCTTTGATATAGGTTCATAACCAACGTTTTGCCAGTACGGTGTTTCTGGATCTTTTGGTATGCCATATAGGCCACAGTCATCATAAAAACAGATATTATGTCTTTAGAATCAAGGCTGTGCATGCGTACGATCAGCCTATTTATGGCTCCTAAGAAGATGCTCTTCACAGTAACAAAACTTAGCGGGAAGGTGTACAGGCGACCTTCCAGCATCACGCTGGTTGGTGGTCTTGTTTTTGCTGTGGTTGAGAGGGCGAGAAGTGTATCGAAAAACATTTTCGGAGTAACGTTTTGCATGAAGACGGATGGGCTGTGGCTCCAAAAGGATTCCGTTTTGGAATGGATGAGAAGAAGTAGGCTCGCCATCTGTTTAAACATCCACAACGAAAATCAAGGACCCAACTTGGTAGTCTTGCCAGCTGGTGCCAGTGAGTGCTCTCTCCTTAGACTCATTTCTTTGATGCATGTACAGAAATGTTGTTCCCAGGAGGCTTACCATTTCTGCTGGAGCCCTTCCGTACACGTCGAAAAACTTAGCCACAATCACGTCACGCACGGCTGCAGGATCATCCTGTATCGATGCGAGTTCTTCCCGTGGATCGTTGTACTTGATATGTCCAGGGATTTTGTGGGCGGGAATGCCTTCTGCCGGAGCTCCGGCGCCTGTCGCTGGCTGTATACCTTCTATTGCAACCCCTTCTGATACTATTGGGAACTGCAGTGTGCCCCTATTACCTTCTTCGAGATGGAACCAGCAACTGGTATTAAGGGGAGGAGGCCGAAATTTGGTGGATTTGCCTTCTTGACGTCCGCTTAGAGCTGCAAAAGCAAGGTGCAAAAGATGGACACTTCCCACTGTTTTCCGCCAAGTAGGTTTTGACTTGGGAAGAGGGGTTTTATACCCACGCCATACTGATAAAATGCGACAGTCGTGTTCTCAGATATTTGCAGTTTACCTCTCACGTCGTCAGCATCATCCGCTGAAACGCGCACAACAGTTCGCAAAGTCAAACAAAGGTTTTGCATTTGCACACACTAGTTCTAGGCAGGGCTATTTTTACTGTATCGAAACCGCTTTTTTAAGCATTTGTTTTGGACTTACGCGTGAACTGTATGCTGCGACCGTTGGCGTCATGCAGTGTAAGCTTGGTAAACTCGTCAGTAAAGTCGAACCGGATGAATACAAGCTGGACAGTGCACATACACACAATTGAATTCATTTCCTGCCAGCATGAACACAGAAGGATCTACAGGCAGCTTCTGATGTGACTGGGTAGGTTTGCAACCTGTCTTACACGGCCAACGATGGTCTGGCGGAGATGTTGAAGGAAGGCTCCCATGGATTCTGAACAGGAACCAGAATTGTGACACATTTTCAAAGCGTGTTCTGCTTCTAATGCAACAATTCACCCGAGTATACCTCTTTCGGGAACAAGGTGGTCCCTACTTACTGCGATCGCTAGCTCCGTCAGCAACAGCTTGGTTGTCTCGGGAGAGCTTTGAAAAGTCCCGCCAACGGGCAAAAACATCGCCCACAGCAGAATCGTTAAGAGCAGCTATGTCATCGGGGGAGACCGCCATAGGTACCGAAAGTGAGTAAAGCGCTTCCTTTACAAATAAATTCGCATCCACTTCTGCTGTCACCACTTTGCCGCACACTTCAGGATCCGGAACGCCTAGTCGTGGGTTGCATTTAGAGATGAAGTCTTGCACAGTCTTTACCGATTTATTGCTTTCCAACCGCCTTATCAATAAGTTCGCCTCGAGGAATCTTCCATAAAGGGATTTGACAGCCTTACGCAACTTCTGAGCACCTTTGTTAAGAAGGCTAAACGCTGCGCTGTCCCGGCGATTTCTGAGTGTTTCGTCCCCCATGTCGTCCACAACAAAATGCAGTGCGAGGCCAGCACCTGAACGCAAAGCCACAAATCACTAGCCAGTTTCCAGGAGGTGTGAATATGAAGATACGCACACCGCTATGCTCTTTTCTGGCTCCCAAAACAGTAGGTTGTCTCGCATGTGCGCGCTACCACTAATGCGCAATTAGAGCTTTAACAAATCGTACCGCTTTGGAAGAAACCATGTGCCAAAGAAGTCCCAGACTCGACGAACCAAGGCTCTCTAAACATCTTCCTGGGAAGGGATGTCTTGCCAGCTTCAGCTGCAGCCTCCCTGTACCGTTGGAAGTTTGCCATGGCAGCTTGGATTTGATCGCCCGCAGACTCAAGAGGCAACTTCTCGCTCAGAACGTTTGTTATGTCGGCATTCAGAAGCACATATGCAGTCTCGTAGAAGATTGACATCACCTCTCCGACGTATGACTTAAAGAACTTGTAGTCGTACTCCAGAATTTTAACCATCTGTCCCACCACTGTCTGGATGTGCTTCAGAGGGTCTCTCCGGAAAGATTGTACAAACTTGCGGTGTCTCCGGCACTGCGCATACATAAATACAGAGCAATGGACAGACACGCTCTTGCTCGGTTAAACAAGAGGACAGTGTGGCAATATATAGGTCTACAGGTAAATGCTGGAACTTACGGAGGTGTCTAAGCGGCTTTTAGTTTCTCCTGGCGACACTTTGACACCTGGCGCCTACGAGCAGACACCATACGCAAAACTGCTAGCATACTAGTGCAAATCCTTTCACAGGGGGCATTAGCACATCATACTGCAACTCTAATTAGCAAAGCGGAGATTCTTACAATTGCGTGAAACGCAAGCAGTATTTCTTCCTTCAGTGGCTCCTCCGAAAGACCTCCCTCGGATTCATTATCCGATGAGCTCTTCGTTCCATCTGAATCGGACCCCGGCGCCGTCGATTCGTCGGATATCAAATCTATCATTGCCTGTTCTTCTGCGGTCCCAGGTTGGCTTCCCATAGCCTGAGAAGCAGCACAGCGTTGAACCCGAGAGCAGTTACATCGGCTGGCGAGGCATCTTTCTTCAGAGCCAGGTTGCTGTGTAGCCCTGTAGGCCATTTCGGATTAACGAAAGCAGTTTGGTGCTTACCCTGCCCTCACAATATCCGACAAACGCTTCTGCACCCTGTTTATACGACGTGAGGGTGCTGATGAATGCTCGACCGAAGTCAAAAGCCCCTATCCAAAGACCGTCCGCGTAATTCCAGGAAGCCGTACCAGCAGAAAGGGCTTCAGTTACGCGCTTCCCTTTCTGTGTAATATCCTGAACATTGACAGCGTATAGCTGGAACAAAAGGGTGATCATTGCAGGAGAAGCATTGCGGAGCAGGTCCTGCAGAATCGGCCACGCCACGGGATCATTACGGACGGCTGAATACAAAGCATATCCAGAATAGAGCAGCACATGCTGACTTCTGTGTATGCTAGAGGGTGGAGAGGAAGGAAGCAAAACTTGAACAACCGAAGTTTCCACCACATCATTCACTTTAGCTGCACTATGTAATCATGAGCTATAGTGGCTTACCAAACCGGCGGAACAAAATTTGAATGCCGCGTAGACCCAAGCGCGTGACATTGGCCAACGCTTTGAAAAGGTTCTTGGCAGCAGCGACCACTCCAGTTTTACATATTACACCGATCATCAGGGAGAAGATGCCTCTGAAGCTTGCATAGGCAGGGTAGAATACGAGCATGAAGGAGCGAGAAAGAGACTTCAGCACGGAGCCGAAAATGCCACCCGGAAGTACGGCGGTGTAGGGGGCTATGCTATTCATACGGTAGCCAAAGGAAAAGCAAGCACTCTTGACCTCTCCAGTTGGAAGCCCCAAGACTCCCTCAAACGTCTCGTCGAAAGCAGTACTAACCACGTTAGAAAGCGTTGCCAAGGGATTTGCCCACAACGACATTAACCAGGAGAATATTGGCCTGCCTAAAGAATGAATCACCGCACAAGTAGCGCAAGGCATTGGAACACCATTGCATTTTGCCCTTCTGCTATGCTGCAGAGTGCTCATCAGGTCTACTAGCCCACCTTTGTTTGCCAGGATTAAGTCCAATGCATGTCCGCCAGCGTTGACTGCTCGAAGCGCCGCAAGTATGTCCCTTCTGGATTGCAAATATGCCTTTCGATCGAGCAGGGACGTCCGCAGTGTATACCTCTGTTGTAGGACCAATGAGGCCATGACCTCCTCAGCAGCGACTGCCTTGTCTGCGAGCACTCATTAGCAATTGCACAGGTATTTCAACTGATGCGTCTATTTTCGCGACTGTCTTAATGTTCTTGTTCCTTGTTCCTGTCAACGGGGCTTACCTTTCCGCGCGGGAGTCCATCTAGTGGCGGCCCTTTCAATTGCATTTACAATCTTCACCCGTTCGCTGTAGCGGACTGTAACGAACTTCAGGAATGGATTTTGAGCAAATAGCAAGCGCAGAAATCCCAGAGAATTCGTAAATTTGCCGTCTGAAAGAGAACACATGAGAGCACCAGGGCTCACAATCGAGGGAACTCACCAGACTATGGTGCCCTCTGCGCAGCTTCCATTTGTTAAATGTAAATGAAGTCAGAATAAGTGTTGTGCTTACATTTTTTAAACGCCTGCTGGAGGTTTTGGGAATATGCCAGCATCTGTTCGTGTTCCAGGAGTCCAACAAGTTTCGTCCTCTCCTTTCCAGTTTCAACCAGCGAATGCCCGTAGCCGGTAAAATTTTCCTCTAGCTTGTGTATATTAGACCCATATGAGAAATGCGTTTTAGCAGGAGGGCCACCATTTTCATCTGAAAGCACATAAGCACAAATGAGAATATGCATTTGAACAGTGAGACAACACATTGCACTGTAGCAGTATTATTGCACTGTAGCTGAGGAGTCGGCAATATGCATAGCTACATGCAAAAGACAAAACATGAGTTGCAAGCTATCTTTCTCGGCAAACGTTTTGGTCTGTGTTACTTACAGGGGACGGTTGCCCTCCATTCCGCTTGCCAAGAATGGGGCGAAATGCCCTGCTTGCGACCAGTCACCGCGGCGCTGTTTACTGCCCCATGACATATGGTCAGAAAACTCAACAGAACGAATATAATAGAAATCCCCGACGCCATGCAGAGAGAGATCGAACTTTTCGCCATTGTGGCTTCTGAATGCCGCGGTTCGGTGGCCTGAATGTCTTGGCGGTTACTACAAAATCCCCGACAGGCTCTGCACGCTCACTTGAACCCTGTCAATTCAGACAGCAGGCGAGCTTATATGGCTATACCTCGGTTTTATGGACCTTTGCAAGAAGAAATTGTATAGATTAGGTGGACTGGTCCGTCGATGTGTTGTCGGCACTGCCTGTTTGTGGCTCGGCTTCAAGCGGTGCTGTAGCCAACTAGGCTCACAGGGGTCGGAGGCAAAATTGCAAAGAAAGAGAGAAATCAAACACAGAGACTCATTTAAAAACAATCACATGAATGACTGAAACTGGGTAGCTTGAAAATCCCTCACTGCAAACGTGGCACGCCATCTGGCTGGCCACGTCCCGATTGGCGGCTGGGTGACCTCTACGGCTGGCTGCAAAATTCGCGTTTCACGCCTAGTAATCCCAAACAATGTTTTTTAAGCTCACATTTCACCTTAAAATATTCTCTTTAGGCAAATTTACTTTTGTGTAGCGGTTCAATTGCTTGAGGTGTTTGCTCTTGCCTCGATTAGGACAACTGCGGTGTCTTGCCAGGCGAGCGAACACCGCGCAGTTTTGTAGCCTGTTGCTAGACGCTCCGAAGAAACCCAAAAGCCACATACAAATGCATTTCCAAAACCAAAGCCACTTTTTATATACTAACTATTATACAGAATGTGGAAGCATACAGGATTCATCGACACCGCTCCCCTCTGCTTAACCGTGGTCCACACCGGTGGTGTATGCTATAGGCGGGAGCTATGCCGTTGATGTCGTCTGGTATGCCCAAGCTATGCTAGCAAAATTTATGGAATACGTAGGGAGCAGTAGTTGTGCGGGCCAGACATTCGGTGCTTCTTTGCTGTTCCTGTTGCCCTGGCGCATCGCCCGACACCAACGCAAATAAGCTCGAGACGCCGTTTTCCCGTCAGCTTTTAGTACACTGCGTTATTATGGCGTCATCTGCCCAAAGGGCAGTGTAATTGGATTTGTGTTCTATTTGATTGTATTTGCCTGGCATCGACAAGCCCCATGCATCATGGTGGTGTCTTCACTTCAACCGGCGTGTGGAATTGCCAGTGACACAAACTGACACGTTTTTCTGAAGTCATTCAGAAACATTCTGACTGATTAGGAGCAGCACCTATGTTTCGTAATCCGCGTGTCTTCAATAACCAAAGGCCGACCGGCTGCCATACCATGCTGGCCTGCCACTCTTCCGGCCTATTTTCGCCACATGAAATTTGTCTAAAAATTCAGTATTGGTAGCTCCAGCTCATCGAAAGGAACTAGGAGCTCCTTCTTTTTGGAAGCCATTGGAAATTTCCAGGTGTGTGCCTCTGCGCGATGGGGTCCGAACAGGGAACCGATTTCCCAAACTACCTGCTGTTCGTCATTGCAACAAATGTTAACTAAACGGAAAAAAATTGAAGGCTTTGCTTTCTTCTTAAGAGACACGATGACTCTTTGCAGTCTGGCCAAAACTTCAGCTCGCTAGCACTCATGTTGCAGCGACCTGTACAGACAACTGAGTTATGGTTACAACGGTTCAACGGACATCATGTATCTGAAATGGCACATACGTTTACAGGAGAGTCAGCACGCCAAAGGTAGGTAAGAAAAGAGTACATTTGTCGTCTCACGTAGAGGGTGGGTACAAGTAAAGCAAGAATGCATATTTGTGTGATTTCATAAACACCTTGCGTTCTACAGGAAGTATCTAGGTTATCGATTAACTCTGGAAAAGTCGTGATGTGTGTCTGCATCAGATTTGCGGCTGGAAGTCTACCCCTCTGAGAGAGAGAGAGAGAGAGAGGTAGTCTTCCAGCCGCATATTCAAGTGTAGATGCGTAGAGGCGTGCTCTCCAATAGCGCGCCTCTGAAAGACGTGAGCCCATGCAATTGTTTTATTACTGCACTTGCCAAAATCCCCAAATAGTGGGTTACTCTTTGCAGGAGCATTTAGCTCACCTGCCGAAGGTCAGCAGAAGCAAACAGCGCTACACAAAAAGGGGTCTAGGAGAGTACAACACTTCAAATTAGCCCCACGCATAGTAGAGCACACGTTCACACGGCCACTGGTCAAACGTTCGTGCCCAAGGTCATTAAGGAATCTTTTTACAGGGATTGGCCTCTAAGTTACTATGATGCCAGCTATTAAAAATTCAACTGATTCCTAGTACCGTAGTTTGCTTCATGACATCCCAGTGAGGCGGACGGGCTGAAAGCGATTGCATTGTGCAGAGGCGAATAGCAGAAGCAGCTGCTAATGCCGAAATAGTGGAATACCTGTGAGCTACTTCACCAAAGAAGTAGAAGTGCAACTTTTCTTCAACGAAACATTAGGTTGTAGGAGAGAGTATGCAGCTTTGGCTGCGGTCAATCTCGTCAGCTGAATACGAGAAAACTTTGGAGGTTTACAATGTATGTGCATCTCATTCCAGCTGTTCGGCGAAATCCACATGGGCTCACGGTAAGCTTAGCTTTTAGACTGCTGAAAGGAAACTGAAGGTGCGTGGCCCCATGTTCGAAAGTTCGAGCACAATTCAGCTTTCACCGAGCAGGATGGTCCGGGTAGGTAAAGCCATTGAACGATTCAGATGCACAGTGTATGAGCAACAAAGGTGTAGTGGATAGGATTGCAACCGGGAAAATGGAACTTCAGTAGGCAAGATGGAATCACCTACGGTACAGTTCAGAAGACCTCTGTAGAATGCCAGCTCAGGCCACGCAAGGTCTGGTTGGGGTTTTCGGAACTTATTCCTGCTGGAGGTTTCGCCGCCGTGCAAGATTGTGCTTCTACATAGCTGGCATAGCTAACACCCAACCAGAATTACACTACTGGAAACAGCAACCAAAGCAAAATATTGCTGAAGCTAGTGGCTTTGATACTTCCGCCGATTGCTAGTACCTCCCGATCAGCTAAAATATTCAATCTGTACGATCTTAATAGCTCTGTTGGAGGTTATTTTCCACACGCTATTTAAACAAGTTACTTGATCTGCAACTTGAGGGTACTCCGTTATCTGCTATTGCAGCTCATGTGAAACACCGTAAGTGTGCGAATCCCCTGCGGGCAATGAGATTCTTGAATGCCCTACAAAAGGATTTCGTAGAAAAGTGCCCGCGACTACCGGCAGCGGTATTGTGTTGAGCTGGGCCTAAACAGCAAGGTACCCTCAGTTCAGCAGCCGCAGCTGAGCAAAAGCGGAGTACCCCGTCTACCCACATCCGTCAGATTTTGCAGACGGCCGTTACAAAGCAGCTGGCCATTTACTTCAGTTAATAGCCACGAAATAGCTAGTAAAGAAAGATATACAGACTCTGCCAGTGAAATATCACAAGCAGGCGCGGCTCCTACCAGGGAGCATCGAGTGCTCACAGTGCAAGCCGAGGGGCACTTGCGCTACCTCATAACAACACAGAATGCAACCTAGGGAGCCTTCGGTGGCTGGTAATCTGGATTCTTCCGGAGAAGGACAATACCCTCAAGGACGCGCGCAACTGGCAGATCTGACGAAACAGCGCAGCCGTGCCAGAAATTCAAAGCACGTGACAAACTATAGGCGCAATCGGCCCATTCAGAAAGTGCACAAACAATGTTGGCAGAAAAAGCGCACTGGCAAACTAGGCCACAGAGCTACTGTAGAGGAATATATGAGACTGCTCCGACAGAGCAACAGAGGGCATCCAGGGTGCAGTTACCTATAGGTGGACTTACACTCATCTGTTGCCAGTTCAGCTCTTTCGCTGAAATTAAGCAAAACCGGAGATGTATGCGTCTGGAATCCTGTGATGGTCTTCGGCTGCCTGCCTACCTGCGCAACAACATCAACTGCCTCCCCAACGCGGACCGGAATCGGAAGCATCTTAAGGTCTTCATCTCCCTCCATTGACGGGACCTTGCTGTTCGTTGCACCATCTGTTTCCATGGCTGCGTCTATGCCTGCTGCTTCGGCCTCATCCTGGGCCAGCGCGGCAGTCTCCGCCTTCAGAGCAAGGTCAGGTTTTTCATCTGGGCCTGCACCTTCCATGCGCTCGGCAACTGTCACTAACCACCGTGGCTGTACTGCAGGGAACAGGTAGTAGAGCATGAAATGGAACTTCCTGGAGCAACAGCAACAAGCGCACAAACAGAAACCCCCTTCTCTCAAGAACTTTCAAACTATCCGTGGCACGGATGCAGATCATTCTCTAGCTCCCACTGATTTCAGACACCATCCTGGACTGGGCAGGGTATACTCGCGCTGGCGGAGCCTACAACCGTGAAGCAGCCGTGTAAGCACTGGGCGTGTAGAGGTCAGAATTGGTGCTGACCCTAGAATTGTGTGGCGCATGAGAAGTGCCGAGTAGGAGACAATTGCCAAGGCTCCCAGAGCGACGCGGCAGATGAGCTGCCGGTCAGAGTGAAGAGCGCCTATGTGGAGCAACCCCTTTCCCAAATATAGGAGGCCTTGTGAAAGGCGAACCTGCAACATGACACAGAAGCTAGCACGGGTGGCTTCACTAGTTGCCACTCCACAGTGAAACGTCTCATCTGCATTTACGTCGCAAGGAATCCCACCACAAATAATGCACTAGGATCCTTCCCGTAGTACGATGCCAGCTGGCGAAGAAGCGACGCAATGCGCGAGTGATTCGTCCCTGAGACGCGAGCATACAACACAAATGCCAGATGTTTAACCGGTTGCACCGCTTTGCATTCACTTTCCCGCTATCCCCAATTTACAGCTTTCCTTCCCCTCTACATGCTGGAAGTCGCAGTGGTACCTCCCCTGTTGCAACCTACCGGCGCCAAGAATGCCCATAGCAAAAATAGCATTCAGGGCAGTATCAGGGTCAGCATCGTGAGAAAGTTTGCTCAACAGGTCGATGAGCTGCGGCTTGGGGTTGCTTGGATGCTGCAACGCTACAGCTAGGGGAACAGCCCGTTTCATATGTGCATCCGCGTACTGAAGGATGTGATCCTGATATTGCATACAGCACATGCAAACGTTTACATATATGCACCAACGAGGCGTTAGACACTAATGGCGCGTGTTCAGAGACGTTCGGAGACCAATTTTGACTAGTAAAAAAGCTAGAACATCGCCGCAAGCCTTACGTAAAGTCTCAGGGCCATTTCTGCGCCAGTTTCTTCAGCAAAAGCAATCAATGCAATGTTTAGAACCGCAACGGCCTGGTCTGTATCGTCCGGATGGTCCTCATCTTCATCACCTGTAGTGGTGCTTGTTGTATTTGTTGCTCCAGATGTAGAATCACTGGCTGAGCCACCTGGAGCTGCCCGGACCCCTGATACTGCAGAAGCACCTTCAGTCCTCGTCGACGCAGCACCGTCCGCCGCAACAGCATTATCTCCTGCAGCTCCTTCTGGGTGCTGCTCGCTGTTGAGTTCCTTTTGTTTCTGTTTCCAGTAGCCCTCAGGACGGCTTTCGGCACACACACCAAGCATCCGTTGCACCTTCAGCACGTCTCCGCTACCTGCAGCTGCAAGTCCCTCGATAATTCGGGTGGCAGCAGCAGAGAATGCGGCATGTGGCAATGCAGCAACGGCGCACAAAGCCCCTTCTGCAGCATCTCGTGTTCCAAGGAACACTAGGCCCAGACCAACAGACAAAAAGTGTCCCAAAGGGGAATCCATGCCCTCTGCAGCACACAAACCACCAAAAACGTCACGCCGGCGCAACTGAACAAGAAGTGGTGTCAACGGGGAACGATGCTCATGGTCTGCTAATTATAGGAGTCAAGATGAGTGTTAGTGTGCACTCGAGGAGTAAAACACAACAGTACTACAGTCTCATACAGACAAGGCAATAACAGGAGTCTCCACGATTGCTTGGAATGCCTGTCAAACGGTGAGAAGCCTCACTAGCAGTGGTGCAGCGGTCCATAAGAGCAGTGAGAATAGCTTCGGCTGCATCCGCCGATGCGCTCCCAACGAAGCACAGGCCCAGTGAAAGGGAAGCAAACGCCGAACACACCAGTGGTAGAGACCCATCCAGCTGATACACAAACAGAGCATACGGGCGGCTTGTCAGGGAGTCAATGGAAAAAGAGACCGGCAGACAAAACAACATAAGCGATGCTCCTTCCATTGCAGTGCTTTGCCTTCACACGTATGCCTGCATCATATGGCACAATGACCGACAAAGTTGAAATCTCCCAAGAAGTTAGGGATGAACTCACAATGGCAAGCGTCAAGAGCTCCAGTACGTCCTCCCTGCAGCTTCCTGCATAAGCGCAGCCCAACCCGATAGCGGCTGCAGCCTTGAGAAGAGGCGTTTCGGCTGTCATCTCCGTTGCCTCTAGGTGATCCTTGAGCAGCGCCAGGGCAGCGTCGCACTCATGACGGACATTGCAACTGGCCACTCCAAATCCTGCAAGCCAAGCGAGTACAGATATAAGTGAGTTGATGTGCAGCGCAGCCGCCGCCAAAGGCTAGCACAATTACCATGTAAATTCATATACTATCTCCATCCGTGAACAGAAAAATCCAGGGATAGCAATGCTGACTCGACAAGCAACAGTACCACGTAGTTGGAGTTAACGCTGGGCCTGGCTTGCTGACTACGAAGCTGATTCCCCACGAAAAAGTCTAGCTACACATATACGGTGCAGATATCCCTCAAGGACGGGGAACATGGTGCACGCACCGAGGAGGGCGCCGGCCTTGATGTTCGAATCGCTGCTGTACTGGTGTTTATCGAGGTGCTGCAACGCCTCATCCACGTTCCAGAGGCAGAGAGCACCAAGCGATGCCGTAGTTGAGAGCAAACCTCGGTCTTTGTTCTTATATAGCCATCCGTTACCTGCAAACGAGTGAAATGGGACACTAGGGGCACAGATTGGCACGAAGGTGTCTAGAGTAAATGAGTTAACACCACTGCATAGGATAAACTCCTTTCATCACTACTAAAGCAAGCAGGAAGTGAAAAGCTGCCAAAGCCAGCATCAGTCATTCGACGGGGTAAGGTGCCAGTAAAGACCAATTAATCCAAACTTCAGGGTTATCCGGGCGCCAGTGAGGCGACCCGGCGGCACAAACTGAAAGCAACCGTAATAATGGATTGACTGTGGATATCTGGTTGTCATCAATAGGACGAAAACCTTGAATGCTTAAGTGTGAGCATCGCGCTTAAGAGGGTGATATGTATCCGATATGTCACTGACCGTCAGCCGTCATAAGCTTGTCCGTCCCGAAGCCACAGTTGACGAAGGCATTCACAAAAGAAGAAGCAAGGTTCTGTTGCGCACTTTCCAGACCAGCAAGACGAGCTCGCCTCCCGTGAGGATCCTCCAGGTGTCTCTTAAAAACATCCTCAGGCTCCTTAGGCTCTAGCACGTCCAGTTCTTTCGCCAAAAAGCGGAAGAACGGTGAAGTCTTGCTGCCGCTGACAAGTCGCTGAAGTTTTTCATCTTCAAACTCCACGTCTACCCGCTGTCGACACAGCAACAGCGCTAGTTGCTGCTGCACCAGGGGGTCACTGCAATCCTTTACTACCTTGTCTACTAGGGCACGGTCCCCCAACCTCAGTGCCACGCGCATTGCATCAAAGTGTTGCTGTTGTTGCATGAGGGCGTCAAATGCAACCATCTGCACTCTGAAGGCCTCTTCGGGACTTGCCGCATAGTTTGAGAGACTCAACAGATACGCTACGACCCGTTGGTAGTTATTCGCATCCAGAAGAGGCAAGAGAGACTGGGGTCGTTCCACCTCTGTCAGCAAATCAATCGCGTCTACTTCGGCATTGTGCTGCATGTAATAGGGCACAATCTCTTCCACTAACTGCAGTAGCTGCTCCACCGTAGGAAGAGGTACTGACACAGAGGCAAGCCCAGTCGTTGGTGTTTCTGCTACTGCTGTTTCCTTGGCTACGCCATTGGTTGTTTGAGGTGCCCCTGCGGGGCCATCTACCTCAACACCATCTGTAGGCGCGGCAGTTCTGCTGTCATCTGTTTCAGCCGCTGTGCTTTGTTGTTCAGCACCTGACAAAGCCTCCTGTTGCTGCAGCTCTGCAAAGGCCCCAGCAATTTGCCCCGAGAGGTTCCTTAAGTACTCATAACCCCAGGAGGTTACATCCTTACACTCCGCCTGCACCCCACAAATATCACGACAATACCAACCTCCAATGTGGCAACTCAACAATGCCCATGGCTGGAAAATGCACGCCCTACACTGGCTGCGGTCGCTGCTGTAGTGATTTTGCGCATATATGCCACTAACCTCCAAACAAAAATGCAAGGACAAACGCCGTGAGTCCCCTGATGTTGTGCATGTAACTGACAGTACCATCGCAAAATCGCGCTGCAGACAGCACAAGTACCGGAACATTATATACGTGTGTGTACGCCTCGCCGCTGTTACTGCTGCTCTCATGCTAGTTGCAGCAGTGGCTGCCCTATCAGTGTGACTTAGTTAAGTGTCATTATATCTGCTACGCAGCCAAGCAGATGAAGGGGACTGCCAGACAGCCAGACGACCTTGAGAGTAGTTTTATCTGGAAGTTGATTGTAGCGATCGACGAGTCTATCCACGTGGGGCCTGAGGAACTTGAGTGGCTTGGGGACACTTGTCATGGAGGAGGTTGCAGCCTTGAGCTCGCGAGAGAGTGTCTCCAGTGCCAGTGCCACAATCTCTGAAGCAAGTCGCATTCACTATATAGGAACTCAGCTAGCTTGCATTACATCTCCCCATGCAAACTCTACAGATGTGTTCATACGGAACGAGCAGCCTGCCCCACTGCAATCTATGTTGCTGCAGCAAAATCAATGGATACATGGCACAAGGGAGGCCGCACCGAGGTCACCGTCGCATGTTCTCTCCACAAGAAGTTCGATGTTCTCTTGTATCTTTTTGTCGTCTTCAGTCTGAACACAGCGCTGGGTAGCCAGTGGTTGGCAGTCCGGAACGACTCGGGCACAAGCTAGACAAGGAAGCGATTCAAGATTGTCTTATAGAAGAACAAACAAGCTACAGATCGGGACGGAGTCCCAAGCACCCACTGCATTACTCTCTAACGAATGCCAACCCAGAAGCAGCAATAGCAGTAGATGCGATGCAGGCCGATAAAGAGCGGAAACCGCCAGATTCAGTACCAATGCAGATGAGTGCCAATTAAAGGCAGCACATGAGCCAGAACAACCACAAATAACTATACGGAAGTGAAAGAGTGAACGCACCATCTCCTCTACCCCCCTTGTTTTCTTCCCATTTTTCTTCGGGTCCTTCGACGGGACAGCTACCTTCACGGCCTGGCGCATTCGAAGAGCACGCAACTAGACATAAAATGTGGCAAAGCCACAATAATCTTGAAGGTCACTGGTAGGGCCGAGCAAGGGCGGCACTAGGTCACAACCTCGACTATGTGTCAACACCGACGAAGCCAACAGACATGCTACACACTGAAGGCCCTACCTCCCTATTGTCGCCCTCGACTGCCATCTTCACCTACGATGTCTCTCAATCGCAAAGAAAAAATACTCCAGTAGAAAGGGAAGGAACAAGAAATGGATGAAAGTGGCCCTGGAGGACCTGCAAGGAGCAAACGCAAGGAGCGATCCCAAGGAGGCAAGTTGAGGTGGCATAAATTCATGCGGATCTACACCCTGCCCACCCAGTTGTAATCACATGCTATTGTTCCCCAATTCTCCTTCTGCAGCGCCTGATGGTTGCTAAGGTAAATGCGATATTGCGCCAAGCACGAGTTGCTCACATAGCTCACCGGCCTACCCTCTGCTCCTCTCGGATACGACTGCGCCCAAGAGCACAAGAAGACCTCGAATTTGCCACTCCGACACACAAACCCGTGTGCCTGCAACAACGAGACAGGCAGCCCCTAAGCTTCTCCCTGGGGTGCAGCCCGCGTTGCATGCGGCTATCGCCGGGCGGCACAGGGAGACCTGCGGCTTCGCAGACAGAGGTACGGCCACGCTGATGTTGTTGCTGCTTCGTTGTGACGAATTAATGGGAAAGACGATTTTCTATAGCTTAGGAAATATGAGGGGAATGGTCTGCTGTAGCTGCTAGATTGTGTAGTGCTAGGGACTACGACGGGATCGGTGCTCACAGAAAAAGTAAAAAGTAGCAACAGAAAAATACATAAATGTGTAAATGAGCTTAATATCCTAACTGCATGACAAATGGCCTGAGTCAACTACTAACAAGGCACTGACTGCAGTATTTGGGGCTGGATGAGCCCTTCTGCATACCTTGGCAACCCGCTTAGGCAAAAGCCTAGTTCTATTTGTCTTGGAAACTCCCGAGCCTTTGAAATATGGTGTGTGGTATTCTTATAAATGTTTTTCATAAAACACGGTATTTTGCTGATGTTTGCACCAAACGACGGGTTCGGTCCTAGGTTGCTGAAACGGCTCACTCGGCAAGCAGCTCTTTACAAATATCACAGACTTCACCAGCTCTTTCTCACCCTTTTTTAGTAAACCATATTGCTCTAGAGCCTTAGTCACTTGTGAACTAGGTCGGCCCAGCTCGCTGCCTCGTGACATTTTACGATAGAGATGCATCGAATGTGCAGAACGGTGTGTGTGGACCGAGCATGGCTGCTATGAAGTCATCACATGCATTTGTCCTTGCTTGTAGGTTATATAATCAGTACTGAGTGCTGATAAGTCACTTAACAAATAGGTACAGTGAACCTGTACAGTGTTATTGTGTGCATCAATAAGGCACGTGACCACCTTGGCATGTGGGGTTGTCTTGCTAGTTGCACAAAACTGCAAAGCATCTCATGCAGTGCCTTTTATACTCCATCCCCTGGCATTTGGGCAGCTGGGTGCTGAGCGCTCGAGGGCTGGAGGGAGATCAGGTATTTTTGCATGGACCAAATCCAATTTGTATGTCTCTGTAACCGGTTAAGACGGTCGATGACCAAAGTAGTTGGAAACATCGCACCTTGCATAGGATTTGGTGTGAACAGCTACCTCCACCGAAACAGGTGTGCTGCATGGTCACACTATTCAAGTGGGAAAAGTGGGGGGAAGCTTACAAATATTGTCGAAGATAATATAGTTACATACCTTATAGTACAATGTAAGGTGTTTATCCGAATTTCCTTTTTGATGTAAAGGCGATTACCCATTACATCTATGCATGCACTGGCATAATCCCAGTACCAGAGTCTGAATTTAGCGAAAATGTATCTGAAGCAAAGCAACACGCGAAGGAATTCCCCTTCCCTTGCCGATCGATTGAGTATGACTGTTGCCTCGGTTTGAGTATATTGGAGGGAAAGCATGCTTCTTTGGATATTGTTCCCCTCTACAGTGCACCAGACGAGTCAGAGCTCCCTGTGGCATTGTATTATTGGACGGTAACCAGGACGGCGCGCCAGGTCTCAAGTGCCGAAGCACGTACGGACCATGAACTATGAATCATGCTTCCATTGATGTTGATATTCTTCCCAAGGTCAGCAAGGGAACATACTACGGCATATGGAAGGAAGCTTTAACAAGAGAAGCTTTCGGAGGAGCATTACAGCGGGGAGTAGCGCTCGTTGGTGAAGTCCAAACGTGGATTTGGTGCTTCTAAAAGAATGGCTTATGGCTTGCCTAAAAAGAGTCAATCGGTAACTGGTTGCGTCGTATAATGGCAGGTAAGGTGTAGAATGGTGAAATTAGCCAAGAATCTCTTACCAGGGGAAAGAAAACGAGAGCAGACGGATGCCGGCGGCTTCCGGACAGTCGGGAGGTTGCGGTAAGGTCACACAACTTAGGAATGCAGGTCCATGAAAAAACGTAACAAATCGGAGAAGCAGGAGTTTGGGTAGAGCCTAACAAACCTTTGCGGCCCTGATGGAGCTTGCTGACCAGTTGTGGGGCAAATAAATGTAATTCTTCGACACGCAGTTCCTCCTCTTCCGTGTTCCCCTACGTTTATGTTAATGGGTAGGAGTACTTAGACCTCATTCACGCTGCCTAAGAAGCGAGCTTGACACCTAATGTATGGGAACCATTTCTATTCGTTGAAACAGTGTCGTCAAGTATGCGTAGCCAATGTAAGGGGCATGAAGGGAATATAAATACGGGCTCAACGCAACTCACCCCACAAACTGAGCAGGGAGGTCAGCAGTATTTATTGAACTCTCTTACGTGCTTCGGCTCCGCTACAGCTCGTAACAGTTTCCAGACATTTTGGACCAGGGGTACAAAAGAGGTCTTCTCCTCTCACACCCGTAGGCCCCTGGGCTAAAGTACACACCAGAAGCCAAGCAATATAGGGGACACATTCGGGCTTTAACAATATTGTTCCAGTAGGAAGTTGGATAAATGAGTATTTTGTATAGGAGGGACATCCACAGCAACATAGGTGGCACCATGCATGGGGGCTTCAACCTGTCGAGCCAACGGCAGCACACCGGTAGGTGTTGCATATCTTTTATACATTGCAGACTAAGCTTCGCCTGCTCTGATATTCTTCAATTTTGCTTATCGCCAGTTGGCTCCAACCCGCAAGGAAGGCGTCATTTTGTTGTTCGCTAACAAGCACAGCCCCAGCCCCAGCCAGTTTAGTCTGGAGAAGGTACCCTCGTGAGTGGTTCCTTGTGCTGTTTCTATTCATGAACTCGTATTTATTACCTTCTACAAACTAACCAAGGAAACTTACTCCAGGAAACAGTGCAGACACTGCCAATATCCCCCGTCGCAGCTGCACGCGCAGCTGCAACAACGTAGCAGCGTCTCCGTCATGGTGGCTCCCCTAGGTTACTCAGGGCGTGGGAACCTCGCAGCAATCAGGGGCCGTACGGGTCAACGCCCTTTCTTGGTTGCACTTCAGCAGCAGGCCCAGCGTGGAAAAGTACTACAGGCGAATAGGCCACATGAGCATCGGCAGCAAAACGAAGAGCAGCGCCACATACAGGGAGGGAATCCGTTGCTTTTCTTGCCCAGTTGTAGCCGCATTTTCTTCTGTGTGGGCCCCTCCCTCCGTTGCAGTTCCACAGTAGCACTAGCAGCAAACAGATGTGCATCCCCCGCACCAGCGATAAAGCCAGCAGATGCAACTGCAACAACTGCGAGACAGCCCTACAAATTCAAATCTGCTGCTCATCGTGACATGGTTGTCCTTTCAACGCGTCTACACTTGCAGGATTTGTTGCTGCAGCGCTTTGGGCGACTGAGAACAGCAGAGTGCTGCTTGCTTCGAAAGGTCTCTGGCACTCAGCAGTTGCTTTTGCTTTGGGCGGACCTTCTGGTGCAGCAGAATCCGGAGAAACCTCCGGCAGACGCCTATTTCGTTCCACCGGAGCTCTACCGCTTGCCAGATGCCAAAGTAAGCAGCAACACCACCAATAGCAAGCGACAGGAGCAGACCAGAGAGCACAGGCGTGTGCGCCCGTGGCCTAGCCCACATGGAGTAATGCGGTTGTTGGTTTTGACTCAGGTTTTGCTGCAGAGGGACAGGGAGTTGCGCTGGTTAATGCAGCGGATCGATCCAAGAGGTGTTGGGGGTCACTGCGACTCCTCGAGAGACTGCGTCCCCGTCCCGCACTTCCCTTCTGTGCTACAGCAGGAGGTGCCGCGCTTTCCATACGAGCCCCAGCAGCTGGAAATGTTGAGAGACACGTACGGGCTGCTGAAATGGCCCTTTAGGCCGGTCCGAGGCGCAGCAAAGACAGCGGCAGCAGCGGCTGTTGCCACGGGCAGTGCAGAACTGCCCCAGATTTCACAGGCTGAGCCCACCTCGGAAGGAGTTGCTGCAGCCGTTGCTGCCGTTGCTGCAGCAGTCGATCGCGGGGATGTGCGGCGTGCCAACAGCAAAGTACGCACACGTTGCTGCACCGATGCAATCTATGCACCGGATGAGACAGAAACCGGTGCTTATGTGTGGTAATCCGTACAAGTGACACACCTTCCGCAGCTGTTGCCTTTGCTGCAGTTGGTTATTGTTGATTTGGCATTCTTTTTCCTAATATCCGACTTTCACCCGAATGTATTTTTTAGTGACAGCTGTATTTGTATGGGCCAATGCCTAGGGAGCAGCAGGCGTGGTACTAGACCCACAGCACCGCCGCAGCACTGCACACCGACGCGGTCTACAACAGGAGTCGCTCGCGCAAGCCCTAAGTGTGGCGTCGCCAGCTGCCAAGCTAGGTCTTTCGAAGAGCTACAGGGATGAAGGCCTATGCCACTGAGGAGGCGAGGCGCCTCTACCCATGGGTCGTACACACAAAATACGCAACTCTGCCAAGGTACCTATCCTGCGTCTGGAGCAGACGGCACACATACCAGAACATTCCAGAATATGAAGCGTTTTTTAAAGACAACCCAATTTTATTCCAGCTAAATGCCTCGCATTGCCGCGAAACAATGTCCTCAGTCCACTGCAACTAGTGTGCTGCAACTGCAGCTGCTGCAGTTGCTGCGTTCACCGTGGAGCAGCAGCTGCTGCAACGTTGGCTAGTACTGTTGATGGGGTGCAGGCAGCCCCTGTGCATCCTGCCACGAACATGTCGAGAGAAACAAATATTCAGTCCTGCGGAGGAACACACCGTACACCGCAGGCGTTAGTGCACTACGACTGCCCTGGTGAGTTTACAGCAATCTGCCGCTTCCTTGTGTATTGTTTCGTGCTAATTTTCTTTCCCTATCACCCTGCTTCACACCCACGTGCCTCCCTAGCTCTCCCACAGTCTCTACTGTCACTCTCCATCTCTAGTTGCCATCTGCTGCTGCTGCCTGCGCCGCTGAAGCAGTGCCCCCAGTCCCTTGGTGTGTGTCCGGTTACGCTATGTTGCTAACTAACTAACCATGAATGCTGATCCCGTGAGGGGCGACATCTTGCGGGTCTCGAGACCACCTTGCGGTGTCCCTCTAAAGGCCCCTCGACCTCCTCTGAAGTTAAATCCCGACGTGACCACGTTGGAGGACTCCTGTCCCCGGTAGAACCCATCCCTGGTTGCATCACCTCCTCCTCGAACCCATCCGCGGCCTCTGCCCCTACCCCTGCCACCCCCTGCAGGTCCAAAAAAGAAGACACAAGGAACCAACCGCCGCATAACGAAAGAGCCCCGCAAACCTTGAAATATGACCTAGGACGAACAAGACAACTTCAAGCGCGTGCAGGTGGCGAACCTCGGACAGCATTGGACTCCTCATCCTTGTTGTATCCGGGCCTCCCAAGGTTCTGGATAAGCAAACTCGTGCGCATTCCCAAGTTGCGGGTCTTGTCTGTCACCAACTGGTACAAACTGGGGGGGGTCCCTGCCATCTGAACACGATTCTTTTCGCTGTCGATGCGCGCCTCTGCAACAACAACAAGCTGACTACAAGCTGACTAGCATCATCGCCTCATGCAGCAGCAACGGCACAAGAGGGAATTGGCCAACAAACAGCACGGCAGAAGCAACAGGGAAGCAATACTCACCTAGCCTCGCATGAAGAATAAGATTGACAATCCAACGTTCTGCAGCTTCCGGCACCATGTTGACTTTCTTCGCGATCATCCTGTGGAAGCATGACAAGGGACGGGGAGACGCAGTGCCCTCATGCAGAAATGTGCGCAAACGCGGTGACATAAGCACGCTGACGAACTTCACAAAGCACAAACTAGAAGTTGAGATACAACCGAGCTGCGGATACGACCAGTAATGTACATAATTTAGCGCCTAGTGAATAGCAATTCGTTCATATCATAGACAAGGATACGAAAAGGACCGTGGAGTCGTAGCAGTGCGAGGCAAGCAAAATGACGCAGCCTACTCGACATTAATTCGCTTGTGGATGCGGCAGTAGGTCTCGAAGATTAGGAGACGAGCGTGTTCGTTCACTGCACCCTTTAGCGGCTCCAGGAAAAAGTCCGTCTCACACAACTGCAAACAAGCCAACACCAGACGCACTCGACTAGCTACAGGAACGAAAGGGCATCCAGGCAGTAAGTACATTCACCACCATCCTGAAACGAGATTGAAAAATGCGATGAGCTCAATGTGGCGGCACACAGCAAAGAAAGGCTGCAGGAGAAGACTGAACGGCAGAAGGCAGCACAGGTTAGACCGTGGACAGGAGGCCCGCAAGGCTAGTACGAGCCTAGCAAAACCAAAATGCATAAAGGTGACAAGGCTAACTTCAGAGATGCTGGTGATGTGCTTCTGGGCCTCGTCAAAGTTGAAATCGAGGAAAAGCGCCTCCAGAAGCGACGTGAATGCGTCGGTGTACTTATTCTTTGTGTGACCAATAGCCTGAGAAACGACCGTCACCGGAGAAGGCACACTAACCAACAGACAGTCCAGAAAGGGCACGACAGTGAGCAGCATTACTAACGAATACACATATCTATCTGTTGGCATCTAGGGGCCGCTCCCATCCTCCGCCTCTATGTGCTCTGAACCTAAATGAAAGCCCTCCCTCCGCCCTGCAGGACGTGCGCAGTCGCTTACCCCCACAATGGCTTGGAAGTGGTCTTTCCTCTTGCGGTTCATTATAGCGTAAACGGCGTAGTAACGCAGCAAATGAGGACAGAGTAAGTGCACGCACGTTAGGTTCCTGAGCAAGCACAGATGAGAAACAGCCAAAAAAAAGTGCCAGGTACACATCGGCGAGGTAAACAGCCGTCAAAAATTTTGACAGCACCCAGCGGCCGCCACCATTCCATGCCAATAAAAAGCCCTCCACTAGTAAAAAAAGCGAACTCTGCAAAGTACAGCAGTCTCCTTCGCAGGTGGAAAATCATTCAGCACATGCACAGTCGACGTACCACCACCCCTGCAACAGCAGCGGCAGAAGCACCAGCTCACCGTTCCTGTACGACCCAATCTAGAAGAGCCGACCAGGCCTGGTTTCGACAGGACTGTCCTTTGGCATACGTCAGGAGCAGGTAGTAGCGCAGCAGCAGCCACATAGCCCAGTGCAGCAGCCAAGCCCTTTGCTGCAGCTGCTGCTCCCGCGAGAATATCTTGCTCATCGGATTTTCCGGTCCTATACCAGCCGCTGCCTTTGACGCAGCCGCCTGGGAGTGATCCAGAATGTCAGCAAGGCGCAAGATACAACGAGCAGCCTGCAACACCAGAACAGCAACAGCAGAAACTAACGGACCTAGGGTTAGTCCTGTCCACCGCAGGCACATGCCTCCTCCCCTACCCAAGGACCGAAGACAGCTACAGCAGGTTGGTAGCAGAGAAACTGACACCATGAGCTTCTATTGCGCCAAGGGCCTTGTCCTTTCCGTCCTCTCCGTCCTGAAGCTGCTGTAACAGAGCATCCTCGCTCTCAGCGTTGGATGGTTGACCCTTCGGATTGTCACCAGCGGGTTCAGAAAGCGTCAACAGCAAGATGCAACAGCAAATACCCCACACGCACGATACGGGGGTCTGCATGTCACCACCTAAAGCCGCAACAACAGCATTGGAGGACGAAGCACATGACAGATAGTAAGGAAAGTAGCTAGGCAAAGCCAGCAGTTGCCTAGTTACCACCGCTGTCCAGCTAGCCTGCATCCCATTAGCCTGGAATATATAGCAAGGGGCTCAGAGAAGGACTAGCTAGCAGGGCAATCAAGCTGCTGTGTGCAGTGCTCGAAAAGGGCTTAAAGTAGTCGCGTAGGCAGCACATGCGATGTGGGGCTGACTGTCACTGGTAAGCTCGGAAAGAGTATTCAGGTAGAAGTCCAGGTGGTGCAGCGCCTTCTTGTAGTCCCCCAAAGAGAACGCCACGCGGGCGAGGCGCACAGGCACCATCTCCACCCGTGGAATCTCCGCCAAATTTGGCGTCGAACTGCCCTCCTCTCGGTTCTGCAGTAGTAGAAACAGCAAAAGAAGCAATTGATGGACAAGAAATTCCTGCCCATAGAGTATCACCTACAAGCTCATTAGAGCTGCAGCACCTGCTGCAGCTGACGTGAGGGCAGCAGACCTGGTAATGCCACTGCAGAATATCTCGCAACCTCTTCCTCTCTAGCTGGTTGCCTATCTTCCTCTGCTGCTCCCCTTTGAACGCCTGGAGCGCCTCTTCCAAGGCAGCGCTCTGCTGCTCCCACTGTTGCAGTTGCTCCTCAGGTTCCTCCACTTTTCCCCCTTGCTGCTGTACGAGTTCACGCAGCCGCTGAGCAACGCCCTCGGGTGTCTTTGGGAGGATCGCTTCCAACAAAGCGTCCGAGCTTTTCTCTTCCAGCAACTGCAGCAAAGTAATGCACACCTCAAATCCGACGGCCTCCATACATGAACTACACCACTACCAGCTCCGTATGTATAATATGCAGCATCTGCCATGCAAAACCGGAAGGCAGCCTGGATAAATTATTTCGAAGCAGATGCGGCGGTGTGAAATAGCCCCTGCAAGGTGCAAACGGGGCGTCACTTGCTCCCCTGACGGGCAACAGAAAAACCAGTCACTACCTCGAAGATGCAAGCTGAACACGCAGGGACAAAAAAATCCACTACCCACCTTCTGAGAACGCAGCCAATGAATGACCGGGACGGCCATATGCGGCTCCCAGAAAACGGACATCCGGCGCACAAGCGCCAAGTTCTCTTCAGTCGGCCCCATCGTCACTTCACAATCAACAGCCAGGCGCATATACACCTGGCCTCGCCTATCTTTTGGTCAAGCTGTTTCTACCCTTGCCGGTGCTGCAGTTCCTGTTGCCGCTTATGCTACGGTGTGGTGGCGGTCCGCGAGGAAGGCTGGGGAATCCGCTGGTGGACAGCTGGGCCACAAGGCCTCCTTAGTGTGGCAACCGGAGAAAAATAAAAGGTTGCAGCCCCAAAAATGCAAGAAAGACTGTAAACTTCTTCTGGTTGTTGCCGCAGTAGTCCTCAGTCCAGGTGGGACTTCTGTGGGGTGGCGGATAAAAGGAGAGAGAGCAACAGGCTAAAAGTGAAGAAACCAGCTCGCTCTTGTAATGCAGAATTACTCTCCTGGTACTGCAAAACATGAAACCCCAGGGAGCAGAAACGAGACCCACCGACTACACCAACCGCTGCCGTCAGCCAGTAGAGCGGAGTGCATGCGCAGCAGCCCCGGCCACATCTCGGCTGTCTTTCATCATATAGGAACTTCCTGTCTGTGATCTGTTAATTGAAATCTGCAGATTGGCCATTTAAATCATATACCAAAGGCATTTTGTCTCCGCGACCTACACGCACAGGGCTAGGCGGACACCATTGTCCAGCATGGCCCCACGCCGTTCCCTGTCGTGAGTGGTTGGCCATGCTCTGCCCGACATGTGCGCTTACTTTTAGTTTAGTAGTTTTGTCGTGCAGTCTACCGAATGATGGCCAAGTATGGGTTTCAAAATTGCCTGCAGGGTTGTTGAATATATCAGAAGGCATGTGTAGCATCGTACATAAGGTTGTCGCAGGATTCCTGCGACCTCTAGTGAAAACCCAATAACTTTCGACAAGTGCCATCTAAAGCAGTTAGCGCCCATCCCCAATCTCCGCGTGCCATGGAATAGAGAGGCCCAAGGGTCGTCAGCTGAGGGATGTAACACGGGTCCTAGATCGTAGCGGAGGACTATTGTGAGCTGCATGGTAGCCGAATTACTTACATCACTCCCATATGAGAGCTCTACACCATTGGGGGTTTTTGTGTGCGTACATTTTGGACACTAAGCCCGGGTAAGGGCACAATGGCCAAGTTTAGACAGAAGTGCCAATTGTGGGCGGATTACGTTACACCTGGCTCTCCCCGCACGAGCAACATGCGCCCTTAAGGGAACTGCTCGGCAATGAAGATGGATGTATTGATATGGATTCACTCCTGTTGCATCCCATGCGCGGCGAGTCTTGGGTGCTTCTGCTCCTCCGTTCACTTCGTGTCTGTACAGCACCACCTGGCCTTGCACTTTTCACCCCGGAACCCTGATGATTCGTGTGTCATGCAGATCATCCACAGAGCTGAACCTCAGAGAATGCGCCACTGAATGGACTAGAAGGATGCATTTCTCCGGAGGTCCAGACATCAGACCCACTGTGTAGAGTTGACCTCTCAACTCGTGCCTGTAAATGCGAACTTGTACCGGCACAGTGTTCGCATGAGATCTGAGGGTGCGGCTGTCCCCTTGTTTTTGGCTACATTACTTTCTCTACGTTTCGTGAAGTATCCGGTGTTCTTCCGACTGCTTTGTTTGTTCACCGGGTGTAGCTGCTTAAACTGTTGCTTCTCCATGATCCGTGCTTTTTCCTTACGTCTCAAGTATTACGTTCCAGTCTCGAATTGTGTGACCATCTCTGTTGCAAAAGAAGCAGGTGAGCCTTGCAATACCTCCCCGGCCTTTTGAGTGTCGCTTCTCCCTGCTTCTGTCGGTTTCCACTTTTCCTATCTCGCAGTGTAGGTCCCAACATTCACAGGTACATATGCGTAGCGTCCCCAAGCGTGCCGCCTGCCTTCCCTGTTGTGGCAGTAGATGTCGTGCTTTTCCTCTCTTTGCTGGGTAATCATCCCATTATCTCCGCAAGAGCAGCCATTTCACCTCTTTGTTTCCTCTCCTGTGCCCATTTTTTGACGACTTCCCCTTTCTGGGAGACAGCCGCTCAACGAAGCAGTGGTGTAAATGTACCGATTGAAACTTTAGACTTCCGCCCACAAATTTGGTTGATATAATGCTCTATCTATAGCTTTGCTTTCTTAGATCCCTCAAATCTGTCATAACCTGTTCCTCCGCAGAGGTAGGATTAAATCTACGATGCAGTGCGTGCCGGAAACCTTCTATAGTTGGAGTGTGGGCGGGAAAAAGTAGTAACCTGGTTCAGATACAGCCACCTTTGTCGTGCTTCCCCCTCCAGTGGAGAAGATGGCAATAGCAACTGTAGTTATTCGGGTGTTTGCTAGAGGTGGAAACAGAGACAAGGAACCTCTCCTGACACTCGCCGCGATGGTTCACTCGCCGCGCACCACCGCGGCAGACCTAGAGCGGCAGAGGCGGACATATTCCTAATGAACAGTGATTGATGAAGAAACATCTTCAGTTCCATAGGATAGGGAAATTGAACTTCATCATTTTACGGGAAGGATAATCGCTGACGGGGATCCGGGGTCCCTTCGTGCCAGCCGGGGCGATTGTATGAAGGGGACTGAAATCGGCAATAACATGACCACCGCAAACAATAATCCGGAGGCAGACTGTCAAACAGAGCGCATCTGCCGCACGCTAGTTCAGTATTTGCGACTCCACATGTAGCATAGTCTGCAACGTTGACAATGCGTCGCAAGTGGGCACATGAACCTCTATTTCGTCCCATTACGCAAGCGATACGCAGGCAGAACGTTGTCAATAGTCCTCTAAGGTGTTTGTGAATACGACAAAATGGGTCGTTTGTACATGTATGTATAGCTGTCTTGCAGCCTGATGTGCACCAAGATGCGTTGCAGTTCGTAGCAAGCCGCTTCCTCTCCTGCAGTACCAGGCGCTTGAGCCACTGAGCTCATGGCGCCTGGAAACTGCAAAGGGATGTACCATGCTCTTAAGGAAATATTCTCTCCAATATTTTGGCTCCATTGCAGCTCACAATAATCCTCGGATAAGATTGATGCACTTGTCTATTGCAATGCCTGTCTGTTCCCGGGCATGACGCAGTACCAGTGCATTCACTAATCAGTAAGGCGCCGAAAAACACGCTGAGCAGCTTGAAACAACAATGTTTCAGGTATGGACTCCTAAACGGAAATAACTTTGTATCGAAGGGGACATCTGGCTCCCCGGTGCGCGCTCATTACGGCTGCTCGTTGCACCTTATCTTTAGGCCCAGAGGCAACAATCTTAGGCGAGATCTGTCCCCCATCTAACCTTCCTTATTTGATTTATTTGTAATTCGGCAACAATCGCTCCCATTCTGAATTTTCTCGCCTCGAATGGTTATATCTCCGCAATACTGCAGTGGTACCAGACACAAGGCGGCGGGGGCCCTGGATCCTTCTAGTCCACTCGCGCCAAGCTCAGTAAGAGCAGTTTCAACAGGAATTGTTGGATTCTGAATAGTGTAGAAGAAAAGATAAAGCCCAAGTGTGCTCATTAATGAAGGTAAGACAGTCAGCAGGTGGGCGTTACCTGTACCCGTGAGGGGCTACCCGAGGTCTCACGCCGGTCGCCGGTCCCACGCCCGGTCTGTGCCCATGGAAAACCAAGGTAGTTGCGTTTCCCACCAGCAACACGGTTTTTCATCATGGGAACAGTTGTTTAATTCACCCAAATAACTGAAGAAGTTGTTAAATGTTGACTCGCTTTCTGGTGTTCTCACTAAGTCGAGCGAACATCATTGGCCATGGTGGACGCTTGTCACTTGCTCTAGTGCCGTAAATGGGACATCTCCACCAGCGATGCAGTCAAGCGCCCTTCTACGAATTTTCCTATCCTAGAATTTGCAACGAAATCTTGTTGGCTGTGAAATGAAACTAGACTCATGGTTTTGGGAGCCTCAGCTTCTCGGGGACCAGAGTGATGATCCAGCCCATCACACCGCTTGGCCTCCGGAGAATCCCAGTCAGGTGGGGAACTTCTCTGTTACCCATGTTTTCGGCAGTAGACACCGTTTTCCAATTGTTGTCAGTACTGCCATGATAGCAGTTCTGTCGGCCCTTGTGGTGGTTTACGTTTGTCTCCTCCCAAGGGGAATGCGGAAATCGAGGGTTCCAATCATCCGTCGGCTTTCTTCCAGCGGCGATGAGGATGAGTGCCAAGATTTACTTGACTCAGCGAACTCAGCTAGAAAGGAAAGATCTGTGGGATCTTCTTACTCCAGCGGAAGCTCGGAGGGATCGGGCTCGCACAATATCGCCGTTTCAAGAAAACGGCCGTATCGCTTTAACGAAGCGGATGATGAAGTCGAACAAGCGAGAAAGCTTCTCAGGGAAGATAGACAGCAGACTGCAAGTAGCCCTCAGAGCAGTTACACGACATTATCATCCCCGGTTTCGACGCCCTCTTCCTCCAGCAATGGGCACGACATGCTTGGCGAATCGCTCCTTGTGCCACAAATATCTGCAGAAGATGAAAAAGCAGAAGGGGCTGAAATCTCCACACTCACCTCAGGTGATGCTGGATATGGCGAATCTGACTGGCTAGAGGACTTTGTGGGAGAACCAGAAAACCTTGAAGAGTGGTTCTTAGAGTATGTTCTCGATTCGTCGCCGCCATCACCGTCAGGCTTCGAAGAGGATCAGCCTGACGATGTCATACAGCATGATAACTTGGAAGGCGGCAAGCTGGCTTATTTGATGACAGATGAAAGCATGGGAAAAGGTCAGTCCATGACATACGTCAGAGAGCAAGAGAAAATAGTCTGCTGCCCGCTGAGCTGTGACACAGTATACAAGTCTGCTAGACTTCTTGTGGATGGCCTTTCAGAAGGAAGTATTATACAGGAATCACAAGTGACGGGTCGGAACAATGAGTTGGGAGAAGAGGCTTCAGGATCCGTTGAACGTGAGACTAGCGCGCAGCTGGAGCCCAATGCCAATTCTCCTGTACGTGTTCCAACCCTCGGGAACTTTCCCTTCCACGCAGGCTTTACAGAAGGCCTTTTTATGATTTGTACAGAAAACTCAGCCTACGTTTATGGGAGCTATTGGAGTTGCAACCCCATCACCCTTCTTGCCTAGGACGGTCTCTTCGGTTGGCTGCCACCGGTGAAATAATTAGCGTGGAGTTCCTGAAGTAAAACACCACCAAATACCGGTCTTATATCTTGATTGCTTTCAGGTACATCCCTCGACGTCTGAGGAAGTCCCTTCTGAGCCCGTGCCTTCCATTGATGAATTACTATTAGGACCGGGCGAACATCAAGTCTCGGATGGTCTCGTAAGCCGCTTGCCCACTTGCACCACATGCACCAAACATGAGCACCACTTGGCCACAGTTGCATTATTCCCCATATATTCCCTCAAGTCACCAATACCTTCCTTCGGCGTTGCTAATAGCATTAGTTTTAGCATTGCTGCATTTAAATTTCAGCTGGGCGTTTATGGGTTTTGCTTAACCGTTTTGTGTATTGACTGCTCCGCCCGTCCCCAAGTTGCTCTTATTGCTTTTAAGGGTACCCTTATGCCTTGTCAAGACTCGAGTGCAGCCGTTCCCTCTAAAATTGTTGTTGCTATTTCAATTGTGTCAGGAACGTCGCTCTACCACCAGTGCAGAACACTTCCGTGCTCCTGGAAGTTCTCAGCCTTCCACAGACACAACATCACCCAGAGTGGGTAGACTGCAGGAGATGCTGCCTTCCCGTCGCTGAGTGGCCACACGTGCAGCATGCGTATTTTCAAGAGGCTGTTTTGCGTCTCGCATACTCTTCACTGCTCTCCTTGTTGGTCTTCAGACACCTCCATTCTGCATATACGGTTTCCCGAGCACTATGCTTGATGTACATTCTGTAATGCGTACCATCATGTTTTTGCGTTGTACGTAGCTGTGGGTGTGTTTGTTAAGGATATTGGCAGCTACAAGGCGTCACCAGAGCACCCTTTCTATCGCATTCCAAGGGCTGTTCATTCGCATTACCTGGCCCCGTTTAATTTTCAGAGGGCGCAGTACTTCCCCCGTCTGAAACCTCTTTCCGAGATACTGAATCCGATCCGAGGTTTGCTGGTCATGCCGGAACTCCACCACAGTGAACTCCAGACCTTGATGGAGCTGGCCGAGTCACTTGTTAGAATTGCATTCTCCACGAACAATCGAAGGAAAGCATATTTGCCGTATCAATTACTCGATCCACTCGCGCGTAATTTTATCTTGGTGGATACCCTGTGGTGCATTTGTGAAGTGGTTGGTCCTCGAATGATGAAGGAGAGCTGGTGGCATCAATTTATGCTTCGGATGCTCGACAACTCCGCAGTAGGTGATGAAGCGGATTTGAGACGCCAACACCTCGCTAGTCGGTTATATTTGGCTCTAGAAGTGTACGCATCTGGGGTGCGGCCTCCTGCCAAATTGGTCATTGAGTTGAAACAAGAGATATTCTGCAGTAAAAGATGCCCACTTACATTCCGCAACAGTACATATGACGAATGGAGAAACGACGGCGGTTGCTGATTTCCTGTCGACTGCACGTCGAAACGCGTGTAGTTGCAGGTGCGCTGATTATCAATGATCGCCTCCGTGGAAATCACTGGTTTTTCTGCTATGGCATCAGCCGAATAGGAGTTATTATTTCTCAATTTAGGGTGCCGGCGAAGCAAGGTGTGCATGGCACATATACAGTGGATTACTTTTCTCCAAGGAACAATCACTGCCTGCCTGGAGGGCGTCCCAAAGAATGCGACGAGCTGAAGCACATTGATTATGGGACTTTCAGGGATACGTCGCCGTGCTAAGTGTTTCAGCTTGTGCAAATGCTGCTTTTGCGCTCGTTAAAGCAAATGTAGTGCGCGAGTGCGTTGCCTTCTTGTCTCTGCTTTCTGGAGCACTGCATTGATCCAGGGTTTTGCGGGATTTCCGTGCGGTGTTCAGGTTATTTGCCGCAGTTCCGTTTAGTGTTCGGGGTTTAGGCTTGGCCCCGTTTGGCATTTCGTCTGATGTCAAACTAGCCAGGAAATGCATCAATGCAGCGGGAAATGTTGTTGCTCCATTAGTATCAATGCAATATGGATACACGGGTAGCAGAACAATAAATGAATTTGCATGTAGGGGATGCATGGCTGAAATTATAGTGAGTAGGGTCATCGGAGGGATCGAAAACCCGTCAGATAGAGCCGTCTAGACTGTTGGCAGCCCACCACGGCGTAAACTGTCGCTAGAAGGTGGAAAACCATGATGCTGAGTGTCGGCGCCAATGTCAGCTGTGCCCATGCCGCGCTACCAATATATTTTTTCGTATTTTTGAGGGTGGAATGTACATATTCCACAGCACGACATAGCCGTGAGGTGCCTCATCCTCTCCTTCGAAAGTGCTGATATTTCGTATATAAGCTGCGGATGATAGGACCTGCATGCAGTAAACCCCCAGAGCTACATTTTGCAAAGAACGATTGGCTTTTCCCTGAGACTTCATGAAAGGTTTGCCGTCGATGTTGATCGCGAGTGCGAACTTCTTGACGGGCAACACTCTATTGCATATTTGCTTCCTTCCCGAAGCTGCATGACGAAAGGCAAACAAGTCTTCGTGGGCACTGCAGTTTGTGGAGACGCCGACCGCGCCTCTCGCGCGCTGCTAAGTGTGCAAGCTGCTTCTTAATGCTGGCACATTGTCCGTGGCACATGAAATAAGATGCATATAGACTTAGAGGAGGAAGCATGGATTTTATCTGGCTGCCAAAAACGCCAGAAGTGCGTGTGTGGCATTCCTGTGTCCAAGTATCTGCAGCATGAACAAAATGCTGCAACTTGATGAGGGCCACTTTCGCTCTCCAGCCCTTTTGACATGTGACGCCTGCTGAAGGGAAGGGAGGGAAGTTGCCTTTTTGGAAACCTTTTCTAAAGTATTTTTATTTTGTTCGTGTTGAAGTTTGTTTGGGGCCGAAGTCGATAACTGTCGTCACATCTACTGAAGGCGAAGCAAGTCTTTAGTAGTTCTCTACAGCATAGATGCATGCATGGAAAGCCGATTTCTTATGTTTGCATGCGGGGGTGCAGTAGCAAGGTCTGCTGCAACTGTGGAGAAGATGTCTTCTCTTCGCACCAGTCTCACGCCGTTGCACTTCTGTGGGGTGTCTAGGGCGCAAAATGACTGTAGGGGGATCCAGAAGCCTACTGGAGAACAATAATTCTAAGAATTTTAAACTTACTGTAGCTCGCCACGTCACCGCTTAAGACCGAGGTTTCACTTTGGCAGGCGTTGCTGCTGTGACGCTCACCTGCTCTAGAATTACCCTATGCAGCCGCCCGCGTAGAAGACATTTTTGAATGCTCTTCACTTCTCGCTTTTATTAAGTTCTCGCTAGATAAGCGCCTGCTGTGACCCGCGCAGTCGTTGCCCTCTGGCTCACAGGAGAGGAGCACCCACTTGACTGCCGAAACACGGCCAGTCCACAGACGCGACGCAAGAACGCCTGTTTCAATATAGAAAAGACACTCACTGAATAGGTCTTGAAACACCTCCGCTCCCTCTCCTCAGTAAACTTGTTTCTGCAGCACCTGACCTTAGGGGGCCCCAGGGTCAATTTCGGGGCCCTTGGGACACCTTGGCTTGAATGTGAGGCAATGGCCATCATCCGCAAGGAATTGTTTGGCTAAAACATAGTTTCGTCTACAGCCAAACAAGAATATTGTGTGTATGAGGAGGAAGTTTTGTAGTATCAGCAGGAGCGTACTCCCTGCAGTAGTTGCTACTGTTGCCGTCCCTGGTAGAGGAGGTTATCTCGCAGCAACCAGCACACTGGCTTCTGTCAAGTGGGGCTTGATATTTTCCTCTGTACAACAAAAATGATGATGATGCCTCTGTAGAGATAGTCAACAGTGGGGATCCGTGCGGATGGCGCAGCTGCAACAGTGCCAGAGGCTAGGACAGCGACAACAGCAACCACTAGGACAGCAGCGTTAGCTGTGCAAGAACTACTGCAAAAAAAAGGAATACCAATGGCAGCAACAAAGCTTTAAGACCCGCTGTAAGACCCTTGCCAGGGACCTCTCCTTAAATGCATTTCGCCTGACGCAGTTGCAGCGTCGGGAGCAGGAGCAGCATTGCTACGGAGACAACACCTACACATTGGAGGGTCCGCTGACGATGCAGCAGCGTACGCCGATATTGTTGCCTCGGCTATTACAGCTGTGTGGCAAATGAGGGACCCATGTGGTGATCCCCCATTTAGGGGCCTCTCAGCAGGAGGCCATCTGAGAGGAGGAGGCCTAGAGAGGTCTTTATTTAGGGGCATTGACTGCGTCCGCTGCTTTTGTCCTTTTACGGATTATCCAGCGGCGTCGAGGCCCCCAGTTCTTGGGGTTTATGTGGATGAGGAGGAAGCAGCAGCGGCAGCGGCAACTGCCGCTTCTCCTGTATCGGCAGCAGCAGCAGCTGCTGCAGAGCTCGCAAGAGTTGCAGCGGGAAAACTGCTGCAGCAGTGGGGGCCTCGAGCATGGACAGATCCTAGGGCCAGGCGTCAGCTCCTGCTGCCTGGGGCTGGAGGCATTGTGGTCTGCAGCAACAAGTTATTACTGCGCTGCAGCACGCTGACTGGAGTGTGCAGCAGCACCAAACACTTGCCTGCTGCAGCTACCTGCTGCTGCTTTGCCTCGCAGACACCCAAGGGGCCGCTGTTGGTGGTTGGCAGCTTGGACGGGTGCCTTCGGGTCTTCGAGGGAAGAACCCTACGACTCGTCAAAACTCTGGAGACAACGGCTGTTGCTGCAGCTGCAGAAACTGCTCTTTGTGTGCCTTACGGGCTCTCGAGCGCTTCTGCTGTAAAGCAGCTTAATCCCCCTTATTGCGGTTTATCCACGGCGGCACCTGCACAGGAGAGCGGAACGAGACAAATGCGTACAATCAGGTCACCGTGTGATTCAACAGTCTCTGGGACTGCTGTTTCATCTTCGTATTGTTCTGCTGCCACTGCTGAACGCAGTTTGCAGCGAACACCTATATGCTTGTTGCTCGTCGGGAATAACGCCCTGCTGGCCGGACTCGGGGGTGGCGTCGCTGCGGCATTTTTTCTAGAGAACTGCCGCCTTGCTGCAATATACCGGCTGCCCCCGTCTGTTCGCTACTTCCTGCAGCAGCAGCAACTGCGACTGCAACAGCAAAAGCAACGACACACGTCTCCAGCGAGCGCAGAGACACTGCAGCAGGTGCAGCTGCAGCACTGTCGTGAACAGGCCGCGAAGAAGTGGCAGGGGGTGCTTGCCAAGCTGCAGCATCCTCACGCAAGCGGAGACGGCAGTGACAGCGTTCGGGAAATGCAGCTGGCATTAGAGGCTCAGCTGCCTGTTTGCTGCCTGTTCGCTGCAGAAGCAGAACGCTTTGTGGTGATGGCCGTGCATCCAGAAGGCTGGAGAGACATACCGCCTTTGTGTAGTAAAAACGGCACCAGCAGCAACAAAAGCAGTTGCACAATGCAGCGGTGGTGTCGAAGCTCGATACATGCTGCATACTACAGAGTTCCTCCTCCAGTTGCTGCTTCAACAATTACTGCTGGTGCAAAGCCATGGGGCGGGTGCTTCAGCAGCAACTCGAATGCAGCGAATTCTCACCAGCCGCGTGCAGCAACGGAAACTGCAACAGATGCAACAGCAGCACATACAGCAGAAATAGCAGCAGAGTCCGAGTCTTCAGCTTCCGTTGCCTCGTGGCCGCAGCTGGTTTTCCATCAACACACCGGTGCCTGCCTAGGGACGCTATGGGGAAGTACCTCCCGCACACTTGCGGTAGGCCTAGGAAGGCTCCCTATAAAGCTGCACGGGAGGGAGCAGCATCAGCAGCACCAACCGCAGCAACAACTGTGCTGCATGGCGGTAACCACCACACACGTCCACTTCTGGCAGCAGCAAGGTGCTCCATGCAGCAGGCGACGCCTACCCCAAAACCGCAGCACGCAGCGCTCTTGTAGACAGCAGCAGCAAGAAGTCAACGGCGCTACATCTCCTGCCTGTTTGGTGGATGATGCAGGCCATCTAACAGACGCAACAGCAGCAGGTTCGGCAACAGCGAAAGCAGCAGCCTCCGGTACTGCAGCGCATCTCGAGCAGCAGCAGCTACTCCACGAAAAACGGCAGGGGGACGCCACCGTCTGCCCTTCTTTCCTGTGCGGGTGCCGGGCGTCGGACTGCCAGCTCGCCGCTGCAACTGCAGCAGTAACTGCCCAAGCAGCAAAACAGACAGCAGCGGCAAAACCTCAAACGGTTGCAGATGTAGGCTCCCCCGCCGCTGCAGCAGTTGTAGCAGGGGCAGGAACAGGGGAAGGTGGCTGCGTTGGCGGTGTCTGGTGGTCCCTTCTTGCCAGCTTCTCTTTGCCCCTTATTTTGTCACAGCAACAGCAGCAGGAAGAGAGCTCGTTAGCCGACGCACAGCTTGACTGGGGATCTCGACTAATTGCGCTGCTACCCAGTCGCAGCATCAGCTGTTGCTTGTTGTCGTGGCGCATTGGGGAGGGTGGCTTGGAGCTGCTGCCACTTCGCTGGGTGCAGGTGATCCACATTGCTGCTTCTGCGGTATCCCTTGCTGCAGCCGCCGCTATTTCACTTGCCCCTGGCGCAGCAGACGAGTTCTGATTGCAATGTTCTGCTCAGGTTGCTTCGACTGGAGGGTCTCTTCGGAAGCCCATTCTGCAGCGTCTTTGGTAGGATGGTGGATTCTGGTGCTGCCGCTGCTGCCACGAGATGCATTCTTGGTTGCTGGCGCTGCCCTTTATAGTGTTACAGCTATCGGTGGCGCTGTCGCGGCCGCTGCTCGCGTTGCACATATACTTAGACAAGTTGATGCTTCACCTTTCTTCGTATTATATGTGCCCTGTAAGGTGCTCCAGGTTTTGTTGTTCTCCTATTTCGTTGCAACGCAGGTACAACCGAGGGCTCCTGGCCGCCTCTGCAGAAGACGGAAATGTTCGCTTGTTGTTTCACGCGGACCGTAACACGCAGGAGGAGCAGCAAGAGGACGTGCCTTAAGGGGTGTTCATAACCTTGCCTTTCCCCCTCGTTTTGAACACGCAACGACGACCTAGGTGAACGAAGTCCGTAGCTCTTTACTTACCTAGCTGGGGCAGAGCTCACCTCCACCCGCCAGGCTACCCTGTTAGAAGGAGCAGCTGCGAACGCTGTTGCTTTAGGTGCTGGGTTCACCTCGAGTCTCTTTTTTTAAGGATTGAGTTTTGCTTGCCGTCTCTCAGATGCGTTGCTGCTTTGGCTGCACCTAGTCAGCTAGCGTTTCAGCACTGCACGCCTGGTGGTTGATTAGATAGCGAGCAAACTCGCCTACTTCACTCCTTAACCGGAGAGGCGCAGCAACTGCTGCAGCATCCAAAGCCAGCTGCACCTGCTGTAAACATTTGCTGTTCCACCAAAGCACATCGTGGAATTATTAATATAAGTACATCGCTGTTAGGTGTCACTGTATCAGTAGCGGCTGGTGGGTATTCACAGTCTCTGTCGGGAAGAAGGAGGATGCAGTAAAACTTGCAGATAGCTACAGCAAAGCGCTCAGCTGCAGCCGCTGTTTCAGTGGCCTTGCAGCGCTTCTGCTGCAGCTGGTCCTACTGCTTTACCGCTGACGTTGCCATGCCAGGAGCACGGCTGCGCAGATGTTCGCTGTTCAACACACGATACTTTTTCTCGTGCTTCAGTGCAGCTGTTTTCCGCCTGTGTGGCATCGACGGCAGGGTGAGCAGATGTACCTTTAAACTGCAGTCGGAGAGAGCAAACGCTAGTGGGGCTTGCAGCAGTTTGAATGCTTGAGACCAAGCTCGGTACAATTGAGAGAGCGGAAAACGAAAAAATGGCGCCACAGACGGGCGGCAAGGAGGCATTGCTGTACGATGCCTCGGCCGCAATTGCGGAGGGGCAGTGCAGTCTCAGCAGAGAACGAAGTAGAGGTGAAGGAGGATGGATGAGATGACAGGAGGCAAGGAAAGGCACCTCGCTAGCAAGCAGACAATCTGCACAGAGCAGATGCGAACAATGCCGAAAACCTAGTGATCATTCAGGCCACCGGCGACAGGTAACGAAAGCCAAACGGCAACCAAGGGAAAGTAAAGGGCAGATTGGTGGGCTGCAATAGGCAGGCAGGCATAGAGTTTCAGTGGTCCGTGAAGTCCTCATCGGACTCGGCCGTCGGCTCTGATGTCTCCTCATCTCTCGCCCAGTCAGAGTCTCGGGGATCCTCTCCCTTGCGCACCCCAAACCGTCTGCGCTTCCTTCGGCGCCACGTGGGCGGAGAACTGTTTTGTTGTTGTTGTTGCTGCTGCAGGAGGTGTTTGCGTCTCCGATTTCTACGATCCACGTGCGCAGGTGCAAAGGCCTCAGCCCATGTCAATTCACTGACACAGCAAACTGCTGCATTCACCATCTCCTTTATAAGGCTCGCCCTGGTGTCTCCGTTCCCCTCTGCGGTCTTTGCCGCTACTGATTCTGTAGCCGATGCTCCTGTTTCTGTTGAATCCCCTTTGGAGACGATGCTTACCCACAGCCTCCCCAGTTTTGCCACAGCATGTCGCTGCGAGCGAGCGGCTGCAGCAAACAACCGCCACGCAGCTTTTTCCTCTGGAATTGTGGGAGGCAACGGCGCGTTGCCGCACTTGCGGCGAATTGACACAGGGCTCTTTTTCGATGCTGTTGCTGCTGCAGTTGCAGACGATCCAGCGGTAGTTGCAGCCGCAGCCAAAGATTCACAGTCCGGCACACCACCTCTACGCGGCAACGGAATGTTGCTGCTGCTGCTGCTCCTGCTGCTGCTGCTGCTCCGACGGCTACGCTGCCGAACAAGCGGCCGACCTCTCTTCTGTTGCTGTTGTTGCTGCTGCTGTTTGGCACCGGGACAACCGTCGCCGCATCCGTGGCTTTCTAAGTCCTCTGGCACAGCAGCACCACAAGCTGGCGATGCTGTGTCGCTTTCGCCTTCATCTGCATCCTGCAAGTGGAAACCCTCCAGAATAGCAGCCCTTAGATGTGAAGCAAAGCACCCACAGAAAGCAGCGTTTAGAGCAGCCACTTGGTGGTGCTGCTGCTTCTGTTGCAGTTGCTGCTGCTGTTGGTGGATTGCATGCAGCATGGTGTCAACAGAGGCGCCACAGTCAACAATTACCCCTCGGAGAGCTGCTACTACATCTGCCGCCTCAGAGGGCTTGTGAATTATCGACAGCAGCACATCGGAAACAAGCCTTAAGTGTAGCAGAGCAGCAAACACAGCAGGAAGCAGCGGCAGCAAACCTATGGGGGTTTGCTGCAGCCACGGGGCAATGGCTGCATCTGCCGCAACAGCAGCTAGAGAAGTTGGCAAGCTGCCTATCCATGCAGCGAGGCGTTCGTTGGTTCCCTTTTCAGCTGCTACTGCTGCGCCGGCAGTTGCTGCTGCAGGCGGGAGACGGGCGGCAAGACCCGCAAGTGACTCAACACTGCTGAATCGCCTCAGTTGAGCGACAAGTCCTAACTGAACGTCCGAAGGTGAACCCTGCATAGCAGCAGCAAACACAGTGATCGGCGAAAACTGTCAAACGCGTCTACAGTGGCGAGAGGCGAAAGAAACCATAAACGTGACAGCCGAGGACGGCACCAGCAGCAGTAGCAGCAGACGCGGCATACTCTGGTGCTTCCCCTTGCTCCCTTAGTGAAAAATGCAACAAATGCAGATACAGCGGCTGTGTCCACTGGGTCAAATGGAGAAAGCATTAGCGCAGTAAAAGGCGCTGCTCCCTCCTCTTGCAGCTGCAGGAACTTCGAGCAGCTGGTGCCGCTGCCAGAAGCCTTGGATAGCCGTTCTGCTGCTGTTGTGTCTGGTGCTGGGCGATGTATGCACAACATCAGCGAGTTGTCCAGACACTCCTGCATCCGGCCTGCAGCAGAGGCCGCACCAGCGCCGCCTAGTGCTTCTTGAAGCAACAGAGAAGCAGCACGAGCCACAGTCCTGCTGCTGCAAAACAGGAGCGCAGCTGCTTGAGGTACCATCTCGCTGGGATAGATTAGCCCGAGCCTGATAACCACAACATGTACAAGTAGTCGCTTGGTTTTGTGTATGTATATAGACGGGCGAACAAACCGACCGACAGAAAAGCACATGGGCGAAGGTACGCACACAACCACAGACAAGCAATGCACACAAACGAGCACAAAGACACATGAACAGGCAAGCAGCCATAGAAGCTCAGCCAAGCACGCCCACACATGTTCATGCACGCACACGCTTACAAACGAGCATGCCCATCAGTGCGTATGGGCAAAGCAATGGTTGTTGGCGCTGCTAGCGCAAAACGATTTGGAGACGCATGAGAATGATGAGCGTGATCAAGAGACGTACAGAAGCTGCAAATGCAGTGGCTTTGGGCAGGTGCCAGTGACTCACTGTTGCAAGGTCCTGGCGAGGAGGATGATGAGTGTGGCGGTGCCGCAGCTTACTCGCGCCCACGGTTGCTGCTTCTGTAGTAACTGCAGCTGCTGCTGCCTAGGAAGAAGCAAGTCCATCATAGGCCTGACGTACAGCGCTATAGAGTGCAAGTAGTCGCATACACTTGGCTGTGAAATTGCTGCTGGAACTGTGGAGCCGTGGGTATCTGAAGAGCGTTCCGTGCCAGCCCCCAGCCCCTGACGCAGATTTGCTGTTATTGCTGCGGCTGCTGCCGCTGCTGCTGTTGCTGTGGAAGATGCCATCAGAGAGGCTGTGCGAGTATTCGAGGGAGGAGTACGCTGGCTCTGCTGTTGCTGTTGTTGTTGTTGCCGGTGAAGCTTGATGCGCGTGTCTGATCGGCGCGACGGAACACTGGTGCTCTGAAGACCCCTACCCCCTCCGCTCGCTGCTCCTGCTGCTGCCTTTGCTGCCGTTGCTGTTGCAGGTGCTCCTGGAGGCGTGCTATCTCGCTGCAGGCCTTTGATGAGCCCATACAACGCCTGAAGAGCGGCAGGCAAATCGAGCGCAGATGCGTTGGCCGTCCACTCTTCTTGCTTGTGCTGCTGGATCCCACACAATTTCTCCGTCTCAGCTTCTGCTGCTTTTATGGCTGCATGAAGACGTGCACCCAGTCGCGGGCTCTTTAGGAAGGAAGGAGACGCTCGCACGAAACAGCAAACGGAACGCCAAGCGACAGCCGTCATGCCTCCGTGCTGTTGCAGCAGAAGAAGTGCGTCGCACAGCAGATGAAATATACACTGCTGCAAATCAAAGGCGCCATCTCCTGCAGCCGCTGCAGCCGCTGCTGCAGACTTGCTGTCCGTTGCGTGCGCAGCTACCCGCCGCATTAGCAATGCCATGGGAACATCCGATAGCAACGAAGCAGCACCTGAAAGGAGCAGCAGAAGAGACCTTCATTCCAACATGCAGCAGTGATGAACAAAGGGTTTCGCTTGCAGGGACCAACTGCACGAAAAAACGCAAGCCAGCCACCGAATCACCTCCCTGACGACTTCTCACCTGGTAAGGAAGCTGAGACCCACTGCGGATCTGCTGACACAGTAGCAGCACCAAAAGTGTTTGCACCTGTGGCACAGCGTTTGATGGGTACTCCAATTCCCAAGCCGGCAGCCAAACACGCCACTGCCCACGATGCGAACTGCAGTGCCTGAAGCATCGGCACGACGCCGTCTCTCTGTTGTAGCTTCTGGTCCTGCTGAGGCTCCTCTTGCTGGTGCGGCTCTCGATGTGGGTGAATGCGATCTTTTATGGAGTAAATGAGCGCCAGACTGACAGCAAGAAGGTCGAGGAGGCTATCACGCACCCCGTCCTGCTGTAGTTGCAACGACACCCGGCACAACATCGTCGTCCCTGCCTGCAGCACGAGCGGGTCTGTTTCTAGAAGCAGCAGCACAGCCGGCACACAGAGCAGCATTTCTTGCTGCACGTGGTAGGAAGCTCCCCGAATATGATTTGCTGCAGCTGCGAGAAGCTCGATCTCCCCTAACCAAGACCGGCTGCTACTCATGCCTTGCTGAAGCAGCGTCGCGTTATCCCTCAGCAAAACAGCGACGTGGGGAACAAACTGGAGCAGTCCACGAGGACAGAATAGCCCAAGCTCCTGGGCCAGATGCAGGAGAGATGCCCCTGCAGCAGTAGGGTCCAGGAGGGAGTCTTGCTGCGCCAGCTGCTGATGCTGCTCTTGGTCTTGCTCAGAGTGGTCATTGTGCTGCTGCTGCTGCTGTGCGGGTACACCACAGCAACAGTTCAGATACTCACTCAGGCAAGCATCCAGAAGCGTTGCGGCAAGCTCCTCCAGTGATTGCGGCTGCTGCACCTGTTGGTGAAGTTGCTGCTGCATCCGAGGCAGCAGAAGGAGCACCAAAGAGGTATCCTCCAGGTGTTCCCGTGCCGCAGCAACTAAGCTAGCCAGAAGCCTGACTGCCTTTGGCAGATCCAGGGAACTGCATGCGTTTACCGACCCCTGTGGCGCTGGTGCCGCTAGAGGCGACCCGCCGTAGCTATGAAAGCCCGAGGTCCTCCGTTTTTGGGGTGTATGCGTTGCTGTAGTAGAAGCAGCTACATCGCGCACTTCTGAACTACCCGCCGCATCACCTTTCTCGGAGGATTTCGGAGCAAGGAATCGAACAACTTCAGCTGCAAGTGCTGCCGTAACAAATGCCTTGGTTGGGGGGTGATCAGGAGCAGCTGCAAGGGCCTCCAGCAGCAGAGAGCGGCAGCAGCGCGCTGTCTCTCCCAGTGGGGCAGCAGCAGCACAACCTCGCGCCACGCGCAAGGCCTGCTGCCTAACAGAGGGGGCTGTCTCCTGCAACACTACGTAGCGGAGGAACCGCAACAATCCTCCGATTTCCTCGAGCCAAGGGGAGACAGCAACTTCGACTTGCTTATTTGGGTGCGCGCCACCCAGCTGTTGGTGGCTGTTGTGTTGCAAGGGTGGTGCTACAGCGTCCCGCTGCTGCTGCTTCAGTGCAGTGTCGAGCAGGGCCAAGGCGCGCTCGCGTACACCAGGGGACGGGTCTGCAAGTGCCTGAGGCAAGAGGATGGCGATGCCGCTGTTGTCGCTGCTGCTGGCTTGCAACAAAGATGGCCGCCACGTCGCGGACGCGTGCAACACAGAAAGAGCCGCTCTCCTGAAGAATGCACAGGAAAAGTAGAGGCAAATATATAATTAATAGCAGCGGAGGCGAAGAGGAGAGTAGGCTTCGAGAAGCAACAAATGCACACTCCCTACCTTACTGATAAGCGGGCATCCATTGCAGAAACCCTAACTGCATGCAGCAGCAAATCCCCAATATGCTGCAGCGCCGACAGAGCGAGCGACCTCCAGATAGAGGCGACCAACTGCTGTTGTTGCTGGTGCTGCCAAGGGCTATTGATGTCAGGGCCTGCTGCAGGAGAAGCAGCGGTAGAGCTCAGGGGCAGCAGCCCTACATCTCCCGCCGCCGCCGCCTCCCACTCAATATCTACTACGAGCTGCAACATGAGGCTTCTGCTTGTGTCAGCCCTTCTGGATTTGTTCCTGTTCTCCTTGAGGTCACCTGTTTTTCCGTCTCCTGTAATACACTTTTTGTTTGTGCTGGTTTTGTTGCTGCTGCCGCCAAGCAGCAGCAGGAGGCAGGCCATAGCTGCCCTGGAGTGCTGCTGAAGCAGACGTCTGTGAGATATTCGCATGGCGCTTGCCGCAGAGCTTGCTGCTGAGGCGTTTGCGGCAGCAGCTGCCGCAGCCGGGTTCTGCACTCGGCATGTTTCGTCCTCTGCAGAATGTGCTGCTGACACAGCTGGTGTTCTGCTGCTACAATTGGAGTTTGCTTGAATGAGGAGGATGCACCGGAGGGTGAGGGGTTCATCAAGCACGCTGAGGAGCAGCGAGCTGTCTGCTACGCCTTCTGCAGCAGCAGCTGCTGCTGCTGCTGCTTTTCCTGCGCTTCTGGCGGGGCCTGCAGCAGCAACTAACGGCCATGCGGAGGGGCGAAGTCTACTTATTGCCTCGTGTAAAGACACCGCGACAGATCGACGCAGCTCGCAGCCGGCACAGACCCAAGGCTCGGCGGAGTTGCCTGCCGCTCCTTCGTACCCCTTAACAGAAGCACAATCGCAGCAAGCATTTCTTTGCTGCTTGACGTGCTTTGCAGGTGATGACGCTGTGCTGCTGTGAGCAAACGGCGCACGCCGCGAATGCAGCTGTTGCTGCTCCGGCTGCTGTCGCACCGTCTGCGTAGGGCCTCTCGAGACGCTTCCGGGGCCGCTCGCAGTTGCTCCAGCTGTTGTATCCACCTGCTCATCTTCTGATAGCTGTTGGCGCTGCTGCTGCTCCTCCTGTAGAACAGGAATGGCGGGAACTGGCAGCTTCTCGGCAAAGACAGCAGGTGCTAGAGCCGAGAGAAGGGACAGCAATGCTGTTTGCTGTTGCTGTTGCTGCGCGTGGTCAGCTGCAGCTTCCGGACGCAGAAGGCGCGCTAAGATGGTGAAACCCACCGTGCGGAGCAACAGCAGAGAGGCTGGGTGAGAGGGAGATCGAGTTAGCTGCAGCAGACGACGGGAGAAACGGGGGCGCAACACACAAACACCGCTGTAGATAAATAGAAGGCTTCTCTCCTGCTGGAAGCATGTTGTGGGCTAAACTGTGGAGCAGCAGCAGCAGTTGCAGCTCGACACACACCCAGCAACACCTACCAAGGAGAGATCGGCAATGAGACGCCGCACGGCTCGGAGACAGCCGGGAGAGGATCGCAATGAGGGCAGCAAAAACTGCTGTTGCGGATGCTGCTTTCCTGACAGCTCCTCACTGATTGCCAAGGTGATTAAACGACGAGCGATGTACTTTGCTGTGGCCTCTGCTGCCCCTGCTGCTCCCTCCACTCGGTTCGAAACATGCTTTTTCTGCTTCTCGAGCCACGCACAGGGTGCCTCTCCCAACGAGGACTCTTGGAGGTGTCTGTACACTTCACTGTGCAGGCACACTGCCTGCAGTAGACGCAGCAGCATCAGCGTCACGGGATGAGCTACTGTTACTGCAGCGTCGTGTGGCACCTGTTGTGGTCCAACGACGTCTTCGCCTTCCTCCTCCATTGCAGCAGCTGCTGCCGCAGCAGCCGCAGCTGCATGCTTCCCGCCTCCTTTCTGGTTGCAAGTCTCGTCTGCAGAAGCGGCGAATTGCTGCAGCAGCCCATCAATTACTGGCTCGCGCAGCTGCGGGACGAACTGGAACAGCTGTACGAGCGGACAAATTGGAAGCGCAAAAGCAACACAGGAACTCATGCAGCAATCGATGGACTTGGAAACAATGAGACGCATGGGTGTGAGCTCCTCAATACTACTACTATACTTTAATACTAGCGAAGCATCGGGAAGCAGCGCATCGCTTATCTACGGACAGCGCGATGGCGCGGCGTGGGGAGCTGTAGTATATATACCTTCGACAGCTCCTTACCAGCAGTAGTAGGCCCTCTGCTGAGCGCAGCAGAGACGCGGCAGCAACAGAAAAGGCGGGAAATGCGCGGACACCCCAAATGCAGCACAAACCGGCAGCAAGAAGATGGAAACTTTCCAAACTGAAGGTCTTGGGATGCTGCAGGGACACGGCGACGCTCCAAAGATAGCGAATCCCCTCCAGCAGGCGTTGTAACCCAGCAACAACATCAGCAACTGAGGTTCCTTGTCCGCCGAAGTTGCAACACTCGTCAGCATTGCCGTCTACAGCAAGCACATACATAGCAGCGCAGGAGCCTTACACAAACAGCAACCCGAACGGCATCCAGCAGCTACTAAGCTGATGGTGCTTCTGCAGCAGCCCCCGCCGCTGCACAGAGGTAACGGCTACGTCGAGCACAACTAGCCCCCATCTACAGCAGCAGGCACGCAGCCACCAGCAGCAGCATCAGCGACTAGCGGACTATTCTGTCGCGAAAAGAGTGGTATTAGGGTGTCCCTGCAGTGCATCTTGAAGCAAGCAGCCGCTCTGGAGACCAACGAGACGTCTTCTTCGTGGTGCTGCAGCTGCTGTTGGTGGTCTTTCAGTTTCATGTCCACCTCTTCTGATGGGTCAACTCCTAATGATAGCAGAGCAGCTTCCGCATGGAGTGCAACGGCAACGCAGCCGCACAAGGATGAAAATGTGCTGTTGCTGCTGTTGCTTGTGCTACTGCAAGGACACACAGGAACTGCACCCGTTTCAATGCTTACCACCTGCACATGGCAGGTGCCATCTTCCCTCATGCCGCGCCGTTTTTGTCAGCTAATCTTCCTGCAGCAGCTCGCATGACAGCTGATGGGGCTGCTCCAGAAAGAACTCACCTCATGCGCTTCATCACCACAGGGCGTCGGCCGCGGTTGTCGTTGAGTTCCGGAGTTTTCATGGCGGACATCAGCACCCGCTGCGGGAACTGCCGCTGCTGGTGCTGCTGCTTTTGCTGCTGCTTCTCGTGGTTCCAGGACAGCAGGTGCTGCGCACAAGCCATGCCAACAGCCAGAACGCTGCAGAGGCCGCTGACTGCCTCATTGTGGCCAACGGCCGTTTGCAGCAGGGCACTCTGCTGCTCCTGCTCTTGCTTCAGCCTCTGCAGCAGCGGATGCGCTGCTGTAAGTTGCGCAACAAGAGAAGCGGAGGCATCAGCAGGAGGAGGATGGGAGGAATTGGAGGCACTGCTGCACCATTCCTGCAGTAGCGCCAGCAGTAGCTGCAATTGCTGTTGATCGAACTGTTCTCCGTCCGCTGCGCCTGCTATTGAGGCGGTTCTGCCCCTTGCCTTTGGCATGCCGTTGCACTGCAATGCTGCAGATGCTGCTATGGTTGCACGGCTTGCCGCCGCGGCCCCTCGAGACCCATGGGAGAGGCAGACGGGATGGTGAGAGTCAGCAGATGGATTGGCTGCCTCTTCCGCAGGCATTGCTAAGACTGTTGCAGCAGGCTTACCTGCGGCAAGGGTTGCCGATATAACCTTCCGTGTTGTACGTTGTTTTGCGTGTTGCCCCTTAGGCTGGTCTCTTTGAGGGTCTCGATGAACCTTGCGCTGCCTCAGCTGCTGCAGTGGAGGGAGGTTCTCATCTCCGCTGCTGCAGCAGCTGCTGCTGATACTGCTACTGTTTTCGCAATTGATTTCACCGGTTTGTGCTTGCCTACTGCAAAGAAGGTCAGGTCCAGGGGGTTCCCCCCTGAGCCTGCTGCAGCGCCGGCGACATTTCGCTGTTGCGTCCATTGCTGTTGCGGTTGAAGGCGCTGTTGCGGCTGGTGCTTTTACCGTGTCCGTTTCTGTCTCCGTGTCGGGCACGCTTCTATAGCTGTACAAGTGCATGTTTTTCTTCAGCGGCTTGTTGCAATGCTGGTGCTTTGGCCGTTGCTGCATGTGCTGATGGAGGTTCTCTTGATGCGTCTTTTGGCCCTGCTCCTGCAGCTGCACCCCTTGGTCCTCGCTTGCGTTGCTGCTGACAGCCTGGGATTGAGGCGTCATTGGGTGTAGCTGTTGCTCTTGTTGCGACTGCTGCGGCGACTGGACAGGCAAGGAGGCAGGCCCAGGGGAAGGCCGCACTGTAGTGTGTGTCTGTGCTGGAATCAACAGGCGTTGCTCATGCGACATATCCACACTATCTGCTGCACAGCCCGTCATTTGCTGCGTCGGCTGCTCTTCCTCCTCTGTGTCTGCTCCAGCGTGCACTACTTCTTGTTGCTGAGAAAGCCAACCCCTAGGCAACCGGGTTGACTCATCTTGCTGCTGCTGATGAACCAGCTCCTTTTGCTTTGGCCGTTGGGGTAGCTGCTGCTGCATCTGCGAGTGCAGCATTGGCTGCTGTTGCATCTGCTTTTGGCGGTGTAATAACCCCTGCTGATGTTGAGGCGATGGATGCTGCCGCTCCTGAGGAAACGACTGCTGCTGCTCGGTTTGAGGCGGAAGCAATACTTGCGGCTCTCCAGGGAGCTGTAACAGCTGCAACGGCTGCTTCTGGAGGCATTGTTGCTTCTGCAGCCTCATCTGGTGCTTAACAAGCGAAGTTAGCCGCTGCCTCTCATGCTGAAGCCTCTTTACCTCCTGCTGCACTTTTTGCTGTTGCTGCTGCTCTTGTTGGCTAGCACCCGAGAGTAGCTTTGAGTACATGCCCAAGGGTGTCTGCAGTAGCTGCTGCTGCTGCTGCTCAGGTTCACGATCGACCCTAAACAGCTGGCGGCGTAGCGACATGTAACACTGCTGCTTCTGATTCCGCAGCAATAGAAGCAGTAAACCGGGTTGCTTGTCGAGCAACCCCAGCAGCTGCGGGTCCTGCATGAGAAGCCACCGGAGCTCAGGCTGTTGCTGCAGTAGCTGTTCGAGTTGCTGTACCTGCAGCAACAGCTGTTGCTGCTCCTGTAGCTGCCGCATCCCCCAGCAGCGAATTGCAGGTGCGTTGAGTTGCTGCACTGCTGCTTCCAGCTTCTGTCCCCCTATTAACTGAGACACCACCGCAGCACCTGCAGCAGGCTCTGACTCCCATGAGTCGGCGTAGGCGGGTTTATCCCCTGTAGCATCTGCTGCAGCTAGATAAGCAGCATGCTGCCTCGCAATGCGCATGGTCGCATCTGCACCTAAAGTATCATCTGCTTCGGCAGCAGAACACCCCTCGGTGTTGTTCACTGGCACTCCTGCGGCACCGTTTCCTGTTATTGCCGGTGTTGTTGGTGCTGCTGCATAAGGAGCTGACCGCTGCATCAGCAGCTGTCGATGTACCAAATGAACTGCGAGATCTAACTGTTCAGGCGACCGTATTCCACCTAGCTGCAGCAGTAGCTGCTGCTGTTGCAAGAGGCATTGCTGCTGCGTTAGCAGCGATTGCTCCTGTCGCTGTTGCTTCGCTTGCTGTTGTTCTTTTGCTACATGCTGTAGCTCGCTAGCCTTCTCTTGTACTTTCGCCCCGCAGAAATTACTCGCCACCTGCGAGGGAGCAGACGACGATGGAAGCTGCAACTTTTGTTGTTGCTGCGCCATTGGCTGGGCCTGCTGGTGTGGCTGGCCTTGTTGCTGTAGCTTCTGGAGCTGTCGAAGTGCGGGCCGTGCCAGCTCCCCATTGTGGGTGTGTATAGAGAGATGTTTGTACGGTTGCTGTTGCTGCTGATTGCACACATTTCGAAGCCGTTGGACACTCGCCTGCTGCAGCACGAAGCGGCGGTGTAACTGCTGAAGCAGAAGTACATGCTCCTGCAACTGCTGCAACTGGGGCTGCTTCCCCCGACGTTGGTGCATGACATCCGAACAAGCGAGTGAGGACCACGGTACCCCCAAGAGAGTGTGGGCACGGGTTGGGGCCCCCTCGGGTTGGCACGGGGACCAAGGGCCTCCACTGTCACGACGGCTGAAAACAGAGAAGAAAACCCTTATTTCAAAGCGAGAAAAACGACGAAAAGACAGCGGGCAGCCGGAATGGGCCACGGGGTGCTGCCTGTACACCAAGTGAAGGTCACTGGGCGGAAGAGTCCAATCCTCAAGAAGCCAAATGGGAGCAATGAAACACCATACAAAAAAGACAAAAAGAAGACGACTATTGATTACGATCAAGCACGTACTTTGATAAGGTGATATTCGGCAGCAACGGACTGCCGACAATCCCTCTCCCTCTCGCCCGAGACCACCGACCCCACAGCCCCTAGAACCACCACCTGCTCCACATGAGGGATGGTCTGTTCTCTTTCTAGAGTAAGAAATAAAGTAATTTCATGCAACACGCTCACATAAGTCCATTTTATTAGGTGACAGTTGCAGAATTTGCGTTCCCGCAAAACTTTGGCCTCCTCTGCGCTCACAAGCCTGCTGGCAATATGATATTTATACACATTATGAATGCGTTAGGCCTGCATTGCCTCACTCACACACACAGAGCCATAGGATCAGTGGCCAATCTTGAAACCTCTGGACCGTGTGGTGCTATTTCGTCTAGATAGCTTGCCTGGCAGCTGCCAGTGCGTGTAGCAGTCTATCCGATGATGGTTACACGGTCCAGGTTCTTATCCGAAAGTTTTTGAGAGCTAAAATGGAGTCAAAGTACCGAAGATGATTGCAAATACAGTCTCCAGGTGTCCTTAGCTTAACTGCCCAAACGCAAGGAACCCCAAGAGAAGGGGAGAATAGCGTGAATTGCGAAGCTACTTCATGGAACTCAAGGTAAACGGAAGCCCCACATAGAAACACAATCAACCTTTTTTCGCTGTATACACAAGGATATCGGCCACATGTTGAGAATCTTCGCTTGCGTATTACCTCTCCTCTAGGGCCCGGTAAGGGTTCATGCGCCCACATGCAAGAAAGTGTGCCCGAAGCTAAGGCACCCCTACTTGGCTTTAGTACAAAATCGACAAGGAAGCACACATTTCTAGTAGCAGTATAAAGTGCTTGTGCAACCCTCACAGAAGGTGTACTTCTGTTTGCATAGGAGCTGTTTTGCAACATGAGCTGGAACAAGGCTGTTCGCAGCCCAAAGCAGGACACTTCCTGTGCCGCAGCCGTTTACCTCGCTGTGCCAGGGACGCCGGGGTAGTGTCGAGAGAACCCAGCAGCTTTAGCCGAACCCCGGCAATTCTTGACACTTTTTGGATTGCATCGAAGGCTTGCTATACTTTGCCTATCCGAGAAAGACTGCAGTTCCTCAAAGCACAAAGATAAATACTAGCTATTCCTCACGGCTTCACTGCCAGAGTCGCCGATAAAAGAAAGATGTTGACTTACTGTTCGGTGCGTGAATGAGCAGGTTTGGGTGTATGTGCTCCGGTGGTTTCCATATTCCAGATTATGGGATCTTCTACAACTTGGTAGTGCGATGGACGTGAGTTTAGTGTATGTAGTGCTCCCTACAAATTCCACTCCACTCGGAAAGGAGACTCCAAGAACTCTCGCCCAAGTTGCTCCCATTTGGGCTGTTCTTCCGGTGCTAAATAGGTTTATTGTCTCGAAAGTGTGGTATTCGTAAAGCCGTTGGGGCGGCTTGCATTCATTTTTCCGTCGTTTCCGAATGCGCTTCTGCAATGCCTTGCAGCCTCTTCTTTCCATTTCTGATACGATAATTATTCGTTTCTCCTTACTTCAGATGATGAAACTGCTGTTGGGAAAGCAGCGAGCTGCACTTTCTCAGTGCATGTCTACACATGAATATCAATGTTTGGGTAACCACAAAACATATGCACCCTCTATTGAGTCATCTACGCAAGCCTACTACTAGGTTGTGAAGAACGGCGCACTGTAGAACTGCATACTATGGTAGTTAGACGTGTTCCGACCCTCCTGATGGCTGTCCTACTATTGTCGGTTATCTCTATTGGAGGCACGGTGTCTAGGAGCAACGAACAGGCAAATCAGCTGACTTTTTTCCATGTAGGTCCAGTTATCAGACGTACTTTACATGCGTTGAGCAGAAAGGAACGCAGCTTTAACAGAACTCCCGTAGTTCTCGACATCCCTTGGATAAGGTCGGATATCTGCATTCGCACAGATTTGGCTCGAGGCGGATCTACAGGTGCTGGTAGAACCTCTTTGGTCCCACAACTCTCCCGCGCTCTGCATGGACGACCAAGAATCCTGTTGCTGCTACCCTGGGGAGAGCTGCTTATGGTTTTGATTGGCCAGATCTCATGCTCCCTTGGTGCCTCTGCAGCTTCGAATTCTGCGATCGCGTTTGGATGCCAGCCAGTAGAGAAATGTATAAAGAGCAACACAACGGCAGCCGGCTTATAGAACATTCACAATGGCCTAAAATATCCTTGAGCAGCTTATTTTAAAACAGAGGGACACCATCCACCCTGGCCTTTCCAAATACCTCTCTTCTTCTTAACATAGGGCGACCTAGGAACATATCGTTCGTTGTTTTATGAGTTAATACTTCGTCGTCCTGCCGTTTTCACCCTTTTGCCCCTACGTTCCCTTTACGCGGTTCAGCATGCTCAATACTGGCGCACTGAAGAATGCTACGAACAACTGATACCAACATTCCAAATACCTTGGGACTTCTGCTACCACGGCCACATACTTCGTGACGTAGCCATACGGTAAGCTTCCCGAGTTCTGACATGACATGCTCGATTGCACAGCAGGGGGGACGAATATATGCCGCAGCGCATTCCATACAGAGGACATGCCCAGGAAAGGAGGCACCTTGCCCTCTATTATTAGGGAAGGCACGACATTAGTGGCCTTACCTAATCAAGATGCCAGTAGCAATTGCAGCAATCCTGTTCGGTTTTGAATGCAAGCGTACCCTTCCAACAAAGAAAAGAATGATTCATCTGCCCCCTCCCCCCAGACCCGAATTTCATCGTATTTGCACTGGCGGTAGAGGCGGACGCATTCTTAACGAGTCGCATTCGCTGTAAAAGCATTTCAAGCTGGAAAGGATGATGAGCCTGCTATGCTATTTATACGAGAAGGTGGCCTGCTAGTGGTCTGGGGGGCACTTCCCCGTTTACGCCTAGTACAAATGCGAGAGGGAGCCAAACATCTGTGGGAAAGCCTATACAAACTGTTATTAAAATTCTCGTTACTCTGACTTTTGGATGGAGCCTCTTCACGGGTTGTTAGTGCTGCGCAGCAGGCAGCGCACCTGCGTTTGTGAGCTCAGCCGCTTGTGCCGTCCCATATACAGTCATGCAGTGCTATTTAGTGTAAGGAGTAGCAGGAGACAAGACAATTAGTACCTCCCCTCCATCCGAAGATTATCGCCCCAGTTTTCATCAATTGCCGGCACAGCGACACAAGAGATTCGCCGGTCGTGCTGGGTTTAGCACACTCTGCCATGTTGCCGAGCCTGTCGGAAGTGGCCAGCCGAACCCCTACTCCGATCTAATACACCAAAGGTAGGCAAGCAAAAGCTCTAAACAACTGTCTACAGGTTCTGTACATACAGACACGAAGGCTAGCTTGCGATACCACGAGGGATCACCATATACCTGAATATGTATCAAGGCGCGTTGCCACTAACGGCATGCTACCTCCTCTCGCGCAGCTGCATCAGCCTGAATTGCTAAGCTTAGGACACCTGGAGACTGGGGGCTAAGCTGAGTTGCATCCCACGAACTTCGAACCCTAGTATTGTGCCCCAATTGCAGCTCAACACCGTCCTGTGATGCCCGCGAGAGGTGTTATAACAGCTGGGAATAGTCAGCCACTCACGAGCACCCCATGCTTCTAGGTAAATTCACAAGCGAGCACGCACATGAACCTTTTGTTAAGTGGGCGAACACTGGACGCAGCTATCACCCACTTACTTGGCCCTCACTATCCGGCCTGCGAGCGACATGCCCACCACCCTATAACCGGCCGCTGTGTCTGTCTACGGCTGAAATACATGCCACTGGGCACAAATTAACCGGCTGGTTCAGCAGCTTGCATGGGAAGGAGAGCATCCGCACTTCTGTCGTGCTATTCTACCTAAGCTTAGCTGACGAGTTTCCCAGCTGTCAAGCCCTCAGCAACTTTGACTATGTAGTGGATAAGCACTCTGCACCTCAAGCAAAGGGCAAATTGGGCCTACACACACTGCAGTGCGTTGATCAGTTACAAAACCTCAAGTTCCCCAGAATGGCGCATATTGACAGGGGAACCAACAGTTTGCATGCAGTGTCTGCTGCCCGACCACTCCAACAGCACACCTGACCGGCAACAACAAGCGCACAAGCCAGCAGAAGACACAATCAACACACTGCAACTTTCAAGCCAGAAACTGCTCAAACGTCAGAAGTCCCCGCCTCATCCTTAACTGGTGGTGATGCTGGCTGCGGGGCGACGACGGCCAGGGTACTGCAGCTCATGGAGCAGCGGAAGAAGCTGTAAAAACGCAAATACTGAACGAGCTTTTCCATCCTGGAAGTATGTAAATATGAAGCAACTCGAAGTTCTCTAAGAATCATGCAGCGGCAGCAGCAGCCAAGAGGCTGCAGCAGCAGCAGCAGCAGCAGCGGCACCGCATGGGCTGCTGCAGCCGGAACATCATCATCTGGTGCTGCGTGCAGCAGTCCATCTGCCCCAGGGCCTTTGCATGTTAATTGCTTCCTTTCTTTCTCCTTAGCTTGGGGGTTGTGGCAGCATCAGCAGCACCAGCAGTAGTGGAGCAGCAATAGGAGCAGCGGCGGCAGCAGCAGCAGCAGCTTCCGCGTAGGTCGCAGGAGTGAGCTCTTCCGAGGAGGGGTTCCGGATTTAAACGAAGTGTCTATATACTTGAAAGAACAGACCCGCTCCCTCAGTAGCGTATTCTTGTCCTTGACTTCGTGGCCCGGGGTACCAGGAGGAGCAGCAGCAGCGGCAGCAGCAGCGGCGGCGGCGGCAGCATTCCGTCACCTCCATTCTCCCACAGACCAGATTAACTTTTGGCTCACTCGCCTTTGCTTGTGTTGCTGCTCGTGGCTGTTTAGGCGCTGCATCCTCACCAGAGTCAGGAGCAGCAGAAGGCAGCAGCAGCAGCAGCAGCGGCGGCAGCAGCAGGAGCAAGATGACGGCTGAGGTCTTTGCCCGCAACGGCTTTGATATGGCTGGCGCTGCAGCGGCGATTGCCAGCAGTAGTAGCGGAGCTCCGAAGCGGCTGCAGCAACGTATAGCAGAGGAGCTGCGAGTGTCTTACCTGACCCCCAGCGGTGGGGCTAATGACGGCAGCAGCAGCAGTAACGGCCACCACGGCAGCAGCAGTGGCGGCGGCAAGACCGAAGACGATGCTGACGATGCGCAGATCCTTGCCGAGTATATTTTGCACTTACTCCTGCGCGAGAAGGCACCCACGGACCGTCTTCTGGAGGAGCTAAAGGAGTTCCTAGGGCAGCCAGTGAGCGGGCTTGCTGTTGCTGTGTGTTCTAGCTGCGGCAACTGCGCAGGCAGCTGCGCAGGCAGCTGCCGCGGGTGCTGATGGGTGGATGCGTTTCCCGCAGCCCCTGTTATTGCATCTGCTGATGTGTTGAGGCCTTCCTGTGATCGGTCTTCTTGTCGGCTTCGGCGTTACCTATATCTCCGCCAGCTCATAGCCACTCTGGTTGCTGCAGTTGCTGAAGCTGCCGTTTCTCTGGGGCGTTTTTGCAGGCTGATGACTTCACTCGCTGGCTTCAGCGGGAGCTGCAGCAACAAAGTGCTGCCTGCAGCAGCAGCAGCAGCGGGAGACCCCGCAGCTGCAGCAGGTCAAAGCATCTGAGCAGCAGCAGCAGCAAGCATGGCAGCAGCAGCAGTGCGAAACATTCAAACGCGAGCGACGGAACGTCGCGGGGTAGCGGCAGCAGCAGCAGCAGCAAACAGGGCAGCAGCAGCAGGCATGGTAGCAGCAGCAGCAGTAGTCACAGATACAGCAGCACCCAACATGAAGCATCTCGGGGGGAGGGTCGAGGATCTCGATGCGACAGTGGGGCACGACACAAGTCATAGCAGCAGCAGTAGTAGTAGAAACCGCAGTGGCGACGGATGTGGCTGCTGCACCGGCAGCAGCAGTGCATCTTTGTTGTTTGTAGGTAAAGAAAGCATGTGGTGCAATGTCATGTGCTGCAGCGATATCCCGCCGCCTCATCCTGATGCGTGCCGCAGAGCAGGCCGTAAGTCAGCAAGGGTAACAGCTGCAGCAGCAGAGAGCAGGTGCTGTGACTGTCCCCTTGTCGTGCCCTTTGTGCGATGGACGAGTTCGCGTGTCTCGTTGATTCGTTTTCCGCTGCAGCAGCGTCATCATTCATGAGGTGTGCGTCCGTGTGTCTCGTTTCTTCTGGGAACTGTAACTCAATTGATTTGCCTTACCTGTTTGTCTCGTGCCGTTTCTTGCCTTCTACTATCGTTCTGCATTGGTCTTCGGCGCTCTCTCCCAGCCACTTTTTGTCTCCTGTTGGCCTGTGAATTTTCTTCCTTTTCCCTTGGCCTTGGGCCTCAAGCATGTAGAGAGAGGTGCATGGATACACTGCCTGCCTGCATCTCGCAAGCTGCAGAGGAGCCGCCCAGTGTCACTGCGCCTCTCTGAGGTCTCCTGTGTTTCTATATCTCTCTTGTGTTTCAGGCTGTCAGCAGCCGGAGTGGCACGTCCGTGCGCAGCGGCCGGTCTCACCGGTCTCCACCGCGAAGTCGCCGTAGCAGAAGCCGCAGCAGGAGCCGCAGCAGCAGCAACGGAAGCAAAACGCCACCCATGTCGCGTTCCATTTATCTTATGGGCAGCAGCAACAGCAAGAGGAACACGCCTTCCCCTTCTTCGGGTCCTGTCTGGGTCGCTTCTTCAGCGCATGCACAGCAGCAGCAGCAGCCACAGACTCCTGGCGTTGCAGCTGCCGGAGACGTCTTCCGGTCTCAGGCGCAGCCCACAGCGTATGAGGTACAGCAAATGAAGCAACAGCAGCAGCTCATGCATCAGCAGCAACTGTTGCAGCAACATCAACAGCAACAACTGCTGCAGCAGCAGCAGCAGCAACTGCTGCAACAGCAACAGCAGCAGCAGCTGCCGTTGGTGCCTGTCGCAGCAACGGCTCCAGCGGATATGTCCGCCCCCGATACTGCGATGCAGCGCGGCCCGAAGGCGATATTAAAGTGAGGAGGAGTTCAGCAGTTACACCTTGCCGCAGGGGCTGTCCTCTTTGTGCTGCTGTTTATATTTTGACTTTGTTCCCTGCACCTTCTACCGATTATTATTTTACATTCCCATCTGTTTTCAACTCCTAGGGGCCAGCTGAAGTCGACGAGGCACTGTCCTCTCCCGTATTTGTGCCGCGTCGTTTCTCATTGGTGTTCCGTGGCCTCCTCGTGAACTTGCGGATTCACCTGGTGCCGAATTTGCTTCTGTTGCTGCTACTGTTGCTACTGTGTCCGCAGGCCTAACCCCCGGTTTGTGGAGGCGTTCCTGGCGGCTGAGCACGTGGCTGGAGGAGACGGTCCCTTTCCGTTGCATGCAGCCTCTGCTGCTGCTGCTGCTGCTGCCACTGCATCACACTCCCTGCTGCAGCAGCCGCATCCTCAACAGAGGATGCCGGTGCAGCAGCAGCCTCCGCCGCAACAACAGCAGCACTACACCAGCTTGGCTGGAGCGGGGGTTCCTCAGGCGAAGGCGAGTTTTGTCAACTACTAATGTTCTCTCTTTCCTGCTTGCTCTGTCTTGTCTGTGTGTGTTTGCATGTTTGCCTGTGTGCGTGTGTTTGCGTGTTCCCGTTTCCCCTTTCCTTGTACGGCGGTCTGTTTCTTGAGGACCCCCCGCTACCTCCTGCTCCATGTCTACGAACGCACTGTTTTTGTTTGCTGCTACTCATCAGCATTTCTGTTTCTGCAGCGTCTTTGGGTAGTTCGCCTGTTGGTTGTAGTTGGTTGTTGATGGTGCTACTGTTGCTGTTTCAGGTGCGGCGTCGCTGTTTGCGGTGGCCAGACTGTCCGTTTGGGGCCAAATGTAACTACATTCACCCGGCTATTCGCTGTGCTAACTTTCCGCGGTGTCCTTTCGGGTCTTCGTGCTTTTACTTGCACCCCCCAGTGAAGTGCCGCTACGGGCAGAACTGCCAGAACCCCAGCTGCAACTTTCTTCATCCTGAGAGACCTGTCAGTGGCTTTTAAGCATTCCTTGCACGCACAGCATATCAGATTCTCGCCTTTTGAGTATCTCCCCTTATTCCCCCCACGCCCTTTGTAGGCACCCATTCATTCGCTCCCACTTTCCTCCATGTGTCTTCGTGTCTCGCCTCTTCCTCACCACAGGTTGCATGGTGTGCTCGCCTCTCTGTCCTGTCTGCTTCTGGGATGCTTCAGGGGTGGATGGGAGAGTTGGGAGAAGACGGACTCTTTAGAAACAAAGTCTGGACAAAGGACAGTGGTATGTGCTTTGCGCTACCGCTGTTGATGCTGTTGATGCTGTATCTGATGCTGGTGGTGGTGCTGCTGCTGCGGAAATTGTAGATCCGATCCCATGGGCCTTCAGTAGAAAGCTTTCATATGTTCTACGTTGTGTGCCATTTGCATTGTGGCATTCAGAGACTGCTGCACCGGCAGCAGCAGCAGCAGCACCGAATCCAGGTGGAGGCGCGTCAACGGCGCAGCAAAATGCTGCTGTTGCTGCCTTAAGCTTCACGCTTCCGTCGACCCCGCCGTCGCTGAAGAGGAGACAGGCAGCACCGGAGCAGCAGGAAATGGCGGCTTTGACCCTACCACCTGCAGCAGGGGATACAGCTGCTGCTACACCAGCTACAGGGGGTCCTGATGCTGCTGCGGCGGCACCACCAGCTGCTGTTACTGCCGCCGCTGCTGGTGCTCCCGTGGACGGGGCGGATGGAGGAGACATTGAACTCGATGGAGACGCACCGGAGGCAGCGGCTATGGCAGAGGATGTTGCGGCCTCAGCCTAATTTCGACAGCAGCAGTAACAGCGGCATTGCAGCAGCGTATCTCGGGTGTCTGGAGGCGATGGGCTGCACTGCAGCTGAAGGGACATATCGGAACCGTACATGTGCTTTCTTTGCCGCAGGCACGCGGGGCTGGGAAGCTCTGCGATCACCGTATTAATTTCTTTGTTGCTCCCACTTGTGTGTGGCGTAAAGGGCTTTCAGTTGTCGCTGCACTGCCAGCTGCAGCTGCAGCTGCGGTTGCAGCAGGGGAGAGCGGGGCCCCCCCCTCGAATCGACTACAGGGGCCCTCGGACAACAGTGGAGGAAGGCTCAAAGGGCTTAGGGGCACAGGTGCCCCGCCCCCCTCTGAAGAGCCTACTCCAGCACTTAAGGTGTAGCAGCAACGGCGGCAATGCCGCCATCCGAGGCATAAGACACTACCTATTGCTTTTGGTTTGCTGCTGCAGCAACTAGGCGTGCTGCTGCGGCGACACTGTCGCCGCTGCAGCAGCAGGGCGGGTGTTGGTGGAGCAGTAGCGGCGTTACTGTTGCCTTTGCAGCATTAACGTGACTTCTGCTGCAGCATGAGCAAGATCTAAACTTTTGCCAAGGCAGTAGCAGCATAGGGCTATATAGCAGTACAGTCAATAATAGCCAGTCCACAGCCCAAGTGTATGGCCATTACCACTGCTGCTGCAGCAACGCAGCAGCAATGGCAGTCGCACTTTTACTTAGGGCCGGCTTCGGGTTTGGGGTAGTTATTAACGAACAACATTGCGAGGGAAGGCGATCAGGGTTGACGCCTGACGGTCGCAACACTGGCTCCAGCAGCTGCTCATGCGGCAGCAGCAACACCAAATTGCTGCTGCTGGCGACCCCACGAGCTCCACTGAGGCACCAGGAGGGGTGGGGACCGCAGTAAAACGTTTCCAGTGGAAGTACAAACAGCCAGGCAAACAGAACGCGGCAACTGCGGCACAGTCTAGAGAGCAACGAAGCCAGGCTAGAGCCGCCGGGGCAACTACAATAGTCGGTACAGATTTGCGATTAGCATAGAGAAAATGCCAGAGGCAATATAGTTCCCAGATAATCTAAAGACGTTTAGGACAGCCAGCCAGGCGATATAAGAGGAGCTACGCCGACGACGCCCTAAAAAAGGCGGACCGCCTGAGGCAGCTGAAGGGCCCACTCCCCCAACGGGGGCGCCTGGTTGCTGCTGACGATAATGTCATACCTGCAAGGCAACAGCAGCAGCAAGAAAATACGTGCTTCAAGCACCACCGACAGAAGCCGCGCTAAGGGATGGGAACAAGACAGCTCAACTTGTGAATGCCCATGTGAATGCCCTGCTGGCTTCTCTTTGACGGTGCTTCCTGCACTCTGCAAGAGCCACTATCTGTCTTCGTACACTGTGAGGTTGTTCTTCCTGCCTGCCTACGTCGCCTTAGAAAGAGTCCTTACCCATAGAGCTGGTGGCTGACGCTCGGTGGCGGGAGATGAAATTGTCGCGCCGTTGCCATTTCAACGACCGCAAACAAAATGTGTCTAAGGGCTCTCTCCACTTCCTGTTGCTGCTTCACATCTTTCGGTAAGTAATCTGCAAAAAAGGGGTGCTCCTGTTGTTGCCGTTGCTGCTGTTGCAGTTGCGGCTGTAGGCGCAGGGCATGCTGCTTCCCACATGCGGCAGTTCCTGCAGTTGCAGCTTCATTTGTAGCTGTTGTTGCCAAGATGCATGATAGTTTGCCTCCCATGTGTCCGCCTTGACAACACTGCGTCGTCCTGCAGCAGCATGTGCTGTTTCGCAAACCGCCTTTGGTTGCTCCCTCGATGCTGCTGCTAACGCAGCAGCTGCTGCAGTTATGCATGCACCAGCAGATTGAGACAGGCAGCAGCCACCGTTCGAACGAGACTCTCTCTACAGAAGACGAAAGGAAACCAAAGGCCTTTGGGCGTTGTATATACAATACAACAGAAACATTGTACTCAGTCTTCTGTTGTTGCCGATGCGAGTTAGCATCGCTCTCCACGAATCCTGCGTGACAAATCAACATGGAAGGATTGACTTCCACAACAGCAGAACCGGCACAACAGAAGAGCAACAGCAGAAACCGCAAAACAGCAGAAACTAAAACAGTACCAACAGCAGGAACTGCGACGACCGTAATTGTCGCCGCAGAGAAGGCTGCAGCAGCAGTGGAGGGTTTTCCACCAGGTTACGTTGTATACTCGTGCGAGCCAAATATTTTGGTGCCTGGTAGTAGTAAAAATACCTATGAATGCTCGCAGTTTCTTTTCAACTTCTTCACTTAGCTGTGGAGCATCGCTCAGGCGGAGGTAGATTAGTGACAAGGGAGCAGAGGCATGAGCCTGAAGGCGCAAGCTGGACGGATCCGTGCCCTCCGCAAGTCCACCAATGCACGCACAGCCACGGCTTCCCCTACCGCTACCTATACAGATACTACTGGAGAAAGAGCTCGTGTTCGCCGGCAAGTGATTTTGGGGAAGGTCGCCGCCGCCTTGCTGGCTTTCATGTCTCTCTGGTGCATCCTTCTGCAGCATTTTTTCTTGCGTCTCTCTGCTCTCCATAAGCCAGGAAGTCTGCTGATAGTCCCACTTCTGCGAATGAAACTGGCTGTTGTACTTCTTACTACTACTACTACTACTGCTGCTGCTGCTCCTGTCTGCGGACGGGGAGGACCGCTTAGAAGAAACAGCCACAGTGATGTCTCCGTTTTTGTTATCCACCCCATCCTGAAAGAAGAGCTGCACTGCAGCAGCAGAGACTGCTGCTTTTTTTGCATGCGTCTGCAGCCTCTCGTTGCAAGCAAAGGAATGAGTGGGCTGAGGAGCCTTCTGCGGTTGCCTCTCCATTGGTAGACGGGAAGATCTATGAGAAGACAAGTTCTGTGGAAGGCGCAACATCAAAATTGTGTGGACAACGCAGCGGAGGGAAGCCCCCAGGAGGCGGAGGGGCACGTGGACCGAATCTAACGGTATTTCAACGCAGTTCGTCTGCATTGTATGGACGACAAATGAGCAAATCTTTAAAAACGCACCTAAGGTTGATAAGAGATGCAAGAATTGAGTAGGAAAGGACAGCTTTCTGCGGAGGATTGGCGCCAGCGGACGTGGTGGAGGGGCCCCAAGGCTATCCTCAGGGTCACCCAAAGACCTGTAACCAGCGACTGCGGTGTCTCTCTGTGTCTTGCATTACTGTGTCCGATCACTCTTCTAAATAAAAGGATAAAAGCATATTTTATGTTTCGAAATAAAAGCAAAGGCATTCGGCAGCCAACACTCCCTTCAGATTCTTGGTGCATGCAACCGTTGCAGCGGTCTGACCACTGGGCTTGCATATGCCTCCAATGGGTCTGTATGCAAAAAAATTGCCTGCATTCTTACAGTTGTTTCTTACTTTTGCAAAACTATTCATGTACATCCCGATCAAATGGGGGTATGGGTGCCGGATGCTGCGCTCCACCACCACACCGAACTACGGAAGCTGCCTCTGCTCTGCCTCTTAAGTAGCAACACAAAACCCCAGCCCACTCCCTTACTGCAGTGCCTGCTCATGCTTAAAGGCACGTAGGAGGATCCATCAGCATTTTCGGGAACGTGAGCCATCAGTGCAAAAACCGTCAACGCTATTCCCTGATAACCTTGGGTGCGGACGCGGTGCAGAGACACACACACTACTTTCCTGTAGCCACCTGTTTCTTCGCCGAACAAGAGTCCAACGAGTATGTACCACCCGAACGCAGCGTTAGAATACACCACACACGTTGTCTCTTCCGTCAGTGTCGGTGGCGCGCGAGTTCGGCTGAGGATCGTCAGAAGATTGAAAGTGTGTGCTTCTGGACCCGGAACTTGAAACACTAAAGTTGGTCTTGCTCTCTAGACTTTCGATTATTCCGTTGTTTTCTTGTGACCCTTGCAGGGTCTCCTGAATATCTTCTGCACATATTTGTCTGTTGGACAGCCAGGCTAGTTAGTTGCATATCCTTTGGACATATTTGTCTGTTGGGCAGCTGGACAGCCTGGCTAGGAGTAAAGAGTCTGCTAAGTGCGCGGACCTGAAGCAAGGCACGGGACACAGTGGGGTTATTTTGGCATTTGCCTAGTGGGCACAACTGCATGACGCCGCCGTCCCGAGTCGCTACTCGTAAAACTTCAGTTTTTTCGCGTTCGCGCATGCTACTCAGAAGACGCGGTAATATAGTGATTGGTAAAAGACGTCTTCATTTTTGCATATGCATGAGCTAAGGTTGCCACCTGGAAGATAGCCCAAGAGGCTCTCTTCGAGGTGGTATCCGGACCAACTTCGGGTTCGACTACGTGCTGCAACTAAAAGAAAGGCTGCCACCCCAAGAGGCTCTCTTCGAGGAGGCATCCGGACCAACTTCGGGTCCGAGCAGGTGTTGCAACTAAAAGAAGTGGCTTCAACTAAAAGAAATGGCTTTTCCTGAAAGAGAATTACTAACCCAACCAACAGCGTGAAGATGCACCGACGCCGGGCGTGCAGCCAGGTGTATGAATCTCCAGCTGAATGTGCGGCGACGGTCCATCATCAGTTCTTCAAACTTCCATCCACTTTGCGGTAGTCAACGTACGCCTCCAGATCCATTTGAAGTACCTGCGTTCCGCAATAACGTCAAGAAGAGACAATGACGGGGCAGCTGTAGCAGCAGGTTGACGTAGCCGTAGCCCAGGAGCGGTGCTTGAGGCACAGCTGCAGAGACTGGTGAAGAGATGACATGCCAAGAAGAGGGGATACCGGCTAATTGGCCCTACCGAGGTGGCCACAATGAAGGGCTGCTTCTCGCAGTAAACAGACTCGCGTACGTAGACGGCACAGGTGCTGGAAGGGAGGTAAATGCGGACAGAGTGCGGCCGGCTATCCTTGGCCTCTGTCGCTGGATGCTGTGTTCTTGGGGCGAGGCGCCCAAACCCCCCAAACCGCCTTTCATCGCTGTCCAGGAACAGCCGCATAGGCTCGTTGTACATACACCCCACATGGAAGCCTTCATAACTCTGTAGACACGTCCGCATACAACACAGGGTAGCAGCTCACTAGCATCACCTCAGGAATAGGTGTCATTACATGCGACCACAAAGCGCCTAAAGGGCTAAACCAGCAGACTAGCAGAAACTGCTGTTGGTTTCCCGTACGAGTGCCAGCCGTCAAGCGGTGCTCACGTTGTGGGGGTGGAAGTTGAATGCAAACAGGCATGGTCCCCGCTCTAGGACAACCACTTGGGCTTCCTCATCGCACTTGACGACGTACAGATGGGCGGCTGACTGCCAGTTGAAAACACTTTCCCAGTGGTTAAGGCAGCAATCAAATAGCTGAAGCAACCAAAAGGGCTCATAAGGCATTCTGGTGACCAAAAGGATGAAAAGAATAGGGAAAAAGATGAGTGCACAGCAAATAAAACCCTGGCTCTACCTTTTTCTGTCATATACTCTGAGTTGTATGCGAGAGTTCTGCGGGCGGGCGGCTGCTAGTGTTGCGTGCGTGGAAAGAAGGTAGGAAACACGGAAGAGGCGGAACAGCAGCAGAAGCAGGGACAGACGAAAGAAAAGTGCCTGACCTCGCACTGGGTGAATTTAAGGGCTGGGCTGTCCGCGAGGTTCCACCGCCGGAAGGCCTTTGCCATAGAAAAATGGTTCGCAGGACGCGGAAGGTCTAGGCCGTCAGGATGCGCGAACTCGTTCCCCATGAAGTTCATGCGCCCGTCAGCCAAGCCCGACCCAAGCAAGCGATACAACCGCCACAGCGCCAAGCCGCTGAGCACGTGCGGGTCGCAGTCCTCCACGGACATGTGCTCATACATCGCCTGAAGAAACAAAGCCACAGACAGTCGCACAAATGACACCATGGCTATATACCAAGAAGGAGAAGGGGGCAAGCCAAGAGCACGAGGTGGCTATGAACAGGAGAGACGTGGCTTGTATAACACTAATATGGAGACAACGGAAAGTAAGATGGGCCCAGAGACCAGCCACCGCATCTCCGAGACCTTCAGGCAACCGATTTGAAATGTAGAAGCCAAGGAAACAACTGCCAAGACAGGTAGCAGGAAGAAACACACGAAGCAAAGAAGACAGTCTCACCGGGCCTATAAGGGCAAATGCAAGTGTGTCGTCCCCTTCGCTACTGTAGCTCCAGTTGGGAGGGGTGTCGTGTTTATTGCACTGCTCGTAGTAGATCTCCCGGGTCTGCTGCGCTATAGAATCCCAGCTGAAGCTGAAGGCCGCCGTCACGCGACCTCGAGAACCCATCCACCGCGCATGCTCAAAGTTTTTCAGGATCTCGCAACAGCCCCAGGCGATACTCCCAGGGGTGGGGTCCTGCAGTGCCAGCGCAGCCGGGGACATATGCGGGAGATCGATGTGAGCGAAAGGAAACAGAAAAGAGGGACCAGATTAAGCGAGATGCAGTGCAATACACCGCTTTTCCAATGAAAACTAGGGGAGGGAGTTGCTGGCTGAGCCTGCCCATTGCATTTCCAAAGCACGGAACGTGCCATCCCGTCTGCTATTACCATCACTCCTTGGGTCTGCGTTAATTCCCTCTATGTGCGATCGCATGCTTTTTTCTTTCCACGAAGCCGTCAAGATCGCGTTTCATCGACACAGATGCACCAGGGCTACGAGAGAAACAAAAGGCAAGGTAAAGGGGGAATCGTGGATAGGCCACTAACCACAAGAACACCCGTGATGTTTGGATTGACAAAGTCCCTGGGCCCCCCGCTGTTCGTTGCAACGACAGGTTTCGAGGCACTCCACGCTTCAAGAACGACTATGCCAAAGGGCTCGTTTCTTGAAGGCACCACCACAGCGTCGCAGGACTTGAAGAGCGCATGCAAAGCCCCGCCGCCCATCTTCCCCACAAACCGCACTGAGCGAACACATAGACGCAAAGGGAGACAGGCCGTCTCCAGAGCAGGCTTCATCAGCCAAGCAGCACAGTGAGAGCCTGCTGACTGGGGACAGACACTGCTCAAACGCCTCGATAACAGCCTGCATCAAGAGAGAGCACGAGGAACAGTGCAGCGACTCCAGAGCAAAAGTGAAGCATGATTATACCAGAGTGGGTGACGCCAAGTTGAGCTGCGCGTCCCTTAAGGCTCTCCATCATGTGACCGTCCCCCACGAAGACGAACTTGGCATCCCCTCTGAACTTGTGGATGAATGGAACTGCCTCCAGCAGAAGGTCGGGGCCCTTCTGAACGACCATTCGGCCTGTGCACCACAATGATAGTCAAGTGTTAGTTGTCTCCTCCTGACGCAGCAGCTGCTGCAAAAGATGCAGCGGTAGCAACCGTATTAACACGACCGCGGAGATTGCCTGGCCCCCCGGAAACTTCAGGTAAACGGGAACACCGTACACACGAGCAGATAAGCCCTGTCCCCATCCCGCCACAAGCACTAGACGCATCGCATTTGCTGCATTCTGCATGGATCTGAAGCGCTGACGGAAAAAAAGGGAAGGACGGAAGATATATGCAGTGAGTCTGAGGAGGCTCATCGTACCCACGAACAAGAACATGGGGTCAAGGGCCCCCACCCCGTATGTATGCTTGACTGCCCCAGGGTCTACCTCGCCATCGAACTTGTTGCAGTTAATGCCGTTGTAAATGACAGTCATTTTAGCTGGGTGTACTCCGTACTGAGCCCTCACTTCCTCTGCCAGCACTCCGCTTACGCATATCACGCGGTCAGCTAGGTGACACGCCTCAGCTGTAGATCAAACGATGGGGCAACAGAATGCAACAAAACCAGCACTGGTTGCTTGCACGGTGTCTGTTGTTGTCTCACGAAGACAGTCACAGGCATCTCACTCCATCCTTCACTCCTATTTACACGCAGACAGTCATCCAGACGCACGCATGCACAGGGACCAGCGCTTCCGAGTTTTGCAACCGGACCGTATAGAAAACATGCACAATGTTTAATTTGTCGTGATATCTGACCCTCGATGTCTCGAATGCGCTTCGATACGCCTCCATAGTTGTTGTTGCCGCAACGGCCAAATTCAGTAGAGTGCATCGTGAGGATAGCAGTCCTACCCTGCAGGCATCAGGCAATGCCAGGTTGTACACACACGTCAAACATAGACCGAATTAACATTCGCTTAAAGGTCTACTCAAAATAAACGAACGGCTCCTCTTAACATAGCTTTTAGTGCAATGCTGCGGGTCCAAAGTGAGGGCTTCTCGAGTGCCTGGGCGCCGGTCGGAAGAACTAACGACTTGCCATTTGCTTGGCCCTAATGAGGGCCCTGCCTGCGAGCCAATCGTGTGCGTGGCAAATTTCGAACTCCGTTCCCATTGCCTCTTCAACGCTTAGCATACACGCGATGAAGCTTTCGCACATGTTTTGGATCTCCACCACAAAGTCTCGGTCTAAGTCAAATGTGCACTCGTGGTACATCACGCCATAGTGCTCCGAGCAGCCGCCACAGGACTCCATGGCGCGCACAAACACATGCACCTCGTGGCCTTGTCGAGAAAGCCCCGCTGCCAGCTCTGTCACATGCGGTGCTACACCTCCAACGGCATGCGTGTGCAAAGATTCCCAAGCAAACAACGCTATCTTCAACCGCCTGCAACAGTAGCAGAGGAAACAGCAGCAGCAGAGTTGAGAGAGCACGAGCAGAATCAACGGAAGCACAGGTGCGTCAACGACTTCTCAGTTGACGCACGCCAAACGGCTTATAATACGGTCCGTGGGGCACAGAAGCTTCCCAAGAGCCAGCTAGTTGGGTGGGTAGTCTGCTGGATAAGTAGAGAGTGATGCTGCCCAAATTAGTTTGTTCACGGACCACCAGACAATCAAACAACTGTGCAGCTCATTAGGCAACTAGAGAAGGGCGACGATGAAACCAGGCTTATATAGCTGAGCAAATACGACTCCAAAGAGCAATGATTGGGAACTGAATACTCAGCTCACCGCCTACAAAACCTGGTGGTGTCCGCGTCTTCTACCGATACAATCACCTTTTCCGTGTTTGGCTTGCTGGCAAGGGCCCAAAGAACTTGGGCAGTCATCCAGCGTCCTTGCCGGTGTCCTGACTGGCGAATGAGGCGGCGGAGGCTTTGGCTGAGGGAGCTGTCCAGTCGATAGTCGAAGCCCAGCCCTCCCTGAGAGATGGGCCGGCACAGGGTGGGGTAGCCTGTGCATTCCTGCGCTATGGAGAGGCGCTGGTCGGCTGGCAGTAGCGCGGTGAGCAGGGAATTCGCGAGGGACAGGTACAACACGCCAGAGGCGCAGAAGTCCCGGCTAAGATATGCGGAGTAGTCGTATAGGTCCGGCTGGCGGAGCACGCTGCGCTGGTCGTACAGCATCCAAGGCACGCCTTCCAGTCGGAAGCCATCGAGCCTGTGAGCAGATCAGCAGTCCAAGACGAGGGAAGGGAAAATAACGCAAGCAAAGAGCCACGAGAGAACCGTACGAAAGGCGCGATAAACCCACAAAGCACCAGCTTTACCAACGCACAAAGACGGCACCGACGTAGAAGGCAAACAGGTTTGATTCAGAGACCATCGCTGCTGTATTGAAAAAGCGCAGGAGCAGATCTACATACTGACCCCTGCATGCCCATCTGCGGCAGGGCAAAACTCGGGATAAACTGAAAAGCAGAGGAAACACACAGAAGGTTTAGTGACCTACTGAAATTCGGTAATCCAATATGTAATATTCGATAGTAGAAAGCGTACAACTTCGGTCTTTGAGAAGTCAAAGACCTTGGCCTCCTCTACAACTCCTGAAGGGCCACTGACGAAGTAGCTGTTATCGCCTCCATCTATACAACCCAAGCCATCCATTACGTTCTTGGAAGAGTGCGCGTGACAAAGGCTTATCAAAACCCTCAGGCCCAGCGCATGCGCTTTGTCCACCAGGGCTTTAAATTCCTCCACTGTCCCCAGACGGCTGCTGACTGCAAAGTGATTCGTCACGTAGACTCCGAAACTAGCAAAATCTGCATGCTCTACCACGTCCAGAAGCTGTCCACACACCGCAGATGGAGAACGAAGGCAAAGCAATTCAGATCAGAACGCAGTCTCCCACGCTGGCATAGTGACACAGCTCCACGAAACACCTATGGACATTCAGTGCGCTGCAACACCAACACGCGTTGTTGCATGCGAACTTCGTGAAAAGCACACGGAACAGCGGATGACTTTTTCAGTTTGGGGTCTGGACCTCTGATTGTAAAGCGCAACAGGAAAGATTGTGAGGGCGGCGCGCACGGGGCACACGCCGACAGAAGCTAGATCCAGAGTTGTAGCGGGGGCCGCAGAAGCAAGTGCCTCCAAGAGTTACAGAAGGAGCAGTACCAGGAACAAGTAAAGGTAGGGGCAGCGCAACGGCAGATAAAAGCCTTGTAATTCCGTTAGCCCACTAGTATAGTGTTGTATCCCAGGTTTCTGATGCGCGGCAACAGCGTCTGCGTGAACTCCACGAAGGTACCGACTCGACCCTCCTCTCCACTAGAGCTGCCAATGTGAGCCTCATATATGGCCGGCGCGAAGTCGTCTGGCAATCGGGGCCTTGGAAACCGAAAGACATGCCGTTCCTACCGCGACAGCAAAGCCGCAGAATATCCTCAGCAGTCCTCTCAACACTCGCATTACAGGGGGTCAGAGATATGCACAGGATTCGCTTTTTTTCGAACGAGAGCAGTACAAGCAAATGCTTTGAGAAAGTTATGGCTGCATTCAGCATCAACAGGTCGTAGGCCAGGCCCCCTCATACTGCAAACGGCCTTCAGAAGAGGAGATAACGGGGAGGAGTGATTCACAACTCCCCGCCTGGCAGCAGCAGGTGCACCTGCTTCGTGAAGCACAGCTTCAATAAGCAAAGACGTAGACCCCATCAGTTCCGACTATGTACAGAAGCTCGATAAAACATAGCCAAAGAACCTCAACACAACACAGTTACACTACCTCACAGACACCTACGTTGTCAGGTGGATTCCACAAAACTGCGTTGAAGAGGCCGGAGTCCTCACTGCGCCAGACCACTCGGGACCAGCTGGGCACTCTGTCTATAGGATCACCTTCTCGAGGCACCACCAACACCCGCAGCCGGCAGCTGCACAGACATCGCGTCCCACAATCCACGACTCAGCCTGCAGTAACTCGTTGGCCAGTCACCTAACCGACACTGCGCCAGCTTGAATGTTGATCCTCAACACCCACCATATCCAGCCCACCGCGATATACATTCATTGCTAAGAGAAGACCATGTGAGCTCTCAGACAGGCTCGCTGGCTTGCCAGCTAGCTAGCTAGAAAGAAAACACAATCCTGGCACCAAGTGTCGTTGCCAGGAGGAGAAACTGGGGCACGCATCAATTCCAGTTTCCTGCTCTGGCCTGCCATTAGCTGCTCTGATGGTGTGATAGGGACGGTAAGGAAGCGATGAAGCCCACCGATGAGAGAGGGCAGGAGACCCATCGGGATTGTCAGGTATGAAGATAGACCAGACGGAGCTTGGCGGGTCGCCAGGTCGTTGTTCAGCTGCCATGTCGAGCTTCGTGCCCTTCAGGGCTCCCAACGAGGCCTCAAAAAAGAATGGCGCAACCCCGCAGCGCTCCCGTTGAAGAGGGTGCGCAGCGCGATCCCAATTGTTGAAGTCTCCAAAGAGATACACTGCCTTGGCGTTAGGCAGCCACTCTCGGTACCTGTACCCTGGCACGCTACAGCCGACACAACACAACCATGACATGCACAACTATCCTGTGGGCTTAATGCTGCAAAGAGAGAGAGAGAGCCAACATATGACACAGCCCCGAAATGCCTCCATTACCGTCTCTACCTAAGTGCGCAGGACACGAACGACAGTGGCCTGAGGAGGCTGCCTGCCGAACAGTCGCTTCGGTTCAAACAGAGTAACGCAACAGCTCCTCTAGTAGTGGAGTCAGAAGTAGAAAAGAGCCAGAACAAAACGCAGGGATAAATTCATAGAGAGCTCATGCAGGGAGAGCTCGCCTGTCTACTACGGCGCGCTGCAGACCGAAGAGCTTGTGGCCCTCCGCGAATGCTTCGAGGCTTCCAAAAGAGTCCTTAATTGCTGCAAGTGTCTCTGTGAGCGTCAGGAATCGCTGGCGGAGTTGGGGGACGAACTCCTGGAGCTTGGGGTCCAACTGAACCACGGCGCTGCCATCCAGCTGCGAGGCCCAGTCACATGTGTCGCGGGGAGCACGCAGCGGGGTGAACGCCGGCTGCAGGCTCACACAGACCGCAGGGGAGACGGCTCGTGAGTAGCGCACAACAAAAAACTCTGCCAAACACAAGGAGGAGGCATGCTTTCTGCGGCAGAAACAGGCACATGCAGAGTAAACGGCGACATCCCCTGCTGCTTCAAAGAAGAGCTAACGCAACAGCAAAGGGTTAATGTGGTCAACAGAGGTACACGCAACAGCTCCACCGTGACTTCCTCGTTTAGCCACTGTATGTACTGTTTCCTCGTGTGTCCATGCATCTGCACCCGCCTTGACCGCTGCGTGTGTCTGTTTGCTTGCCCCTACTACCATAACAAAAGCTGCACTGGTCTCCTGTTGCTCTCTATCCCCGCCTATACTTTAATCTTCTAGCCTCCTCCACCTCACCACTTCAAGGCCCACGGGCGGACCGTAGCAGAGCCCTGTCTGCTCGCGCCGCGTGTGCAAGAGGCCTCTGAAGGTCGAAACTTCTCTCGAGGCCAGAAGCGGAGCCAGAGCCTCCTGCATCTGTCTCCATTCTGGCGAGTCAATGATGAAGCTTCCTTCTTGTTGACTGCAGAGACAGCTAACACCTTCAATTCAACACCTCCAGCCAACAGGCAAGCCGTCAAAGAGACCCCCGGGACGATTTCAACAGCAAACCAACAACAGCAGAAGCAGGCAGCAGTAGCATCCATGAAAAGTTGTAGCACCAAGGCACTGTTGGCCACCTTACTCTCTGAAGTGATAAAAAATTGAGAGACATCTGGGCTCGTCAGCCCTCGCCAGAACGACCACGCTGGCAGCGAGCTCTTGACAGATACTACCCCGTCTCCCTCCTCGCTGTGCCTGCACCCGAAAACACCCTTTGATTACGATCCAACTCAGAAGCAGCTGCAAGGCTGGAGGCGGCAGCGCTGGGTATCGGAGGACCAGTATTTGCAGGAATCGAAACGGTCGTAGCAGAATTAGCATCCGATCGTGGGGCTTAGTGATGTTGCTCTTGGACGCTTGTCTGAGTGTATCTCTGTACCTTGAACTGGTCGGTGACGGGAACGCGGAGACAGCCTTGATAGGCGTGCTCATGGAGGATGTCTCGCAGTCTCTCTGTGTCTCCAAAGATGTCAAGTGTACCAGGAAGCGTCCCCTCGGGGGTCTTTCCGTTGGCTTGCACAGTCTTCTTGGAGGCAGACGAGACACCACCTTTCCGCAGGGTCACTTTGTGCTCGATGACGAGGGTGTCGTCGAGGGCAAGAGGCACGAGGGCCCCAGCCATGACAACCCTGCGGCACCTCAGCCGTACAGCTGCAGCATTAGCTTCCGTCTGCCCCTCCCAACCCATCGACTCCTTAGTCGCGATCTCATTCACCGCCAGCTGCAAGAAGCTCTCCAGCTGACATACAAATGGGGTTTCCTCCTCGTCCCCGTCCCTGCTGGTGCTCATTGTGCTACTACCGTGAGTGAGGGCGTCGCTGTCTCCCCCTTGAAACCCAGCAGACACCCGTGCCTGCACCTGAGACCCGCAACCAGCCCCAGCTCCGGTGCCCAGCAGCAAGGAGGAAACACCTCCTTCTATTAGACGAAACCTCACAGTTGAAGGATGCCTTCGCAGATACTCCTTGCTACCAACGGATGAGGACTTCGGGTTTCCGCACCCGCCACCGCTGTTGCTGCCGTCGTTGCTGCTGCTGTCGTTGCTGGTGCCATTCGTGCTGCTGCTGCTGCTGTTGTTACCGTTACTGTCGCTTGGCCCTGCAACGCCTGCTGCTGCATCCGCTGAAATGAAGGGACGCTGAAGCTGCTCGATTTGCTGCAGAAACCGCTCAGAAACAGCAGAGCTGTCGTGCTCTCGCAGCAGGTGTAGCTGGGTCCCCCTCACCTGGTCTGCGTAATCAATGAAGCGCTCGACCAGCCTCTGCTGCTCGGCCTGAAGAGAAGACGCCCCAGAAACAGCAGAAGCAGCAATAGTGCACAATGGGCACCAAGGTACACTTCACATACAAACTCCGCAGCAGGCGACAGGTACCAGATACAGAGAGGGGAAACAACCAGTCGACCCTCAAGCACAAGGACGTGGGGAGAGGGCAAATTACACAAATTCCGGCAGATGTCTGGGTCGCTAATTCCAAACAATGCAAAAAAGAAGACACGCTTCATTCTTTCTGGCCTGACACCAAGCTGTCACTAATGGCCGCCTTTTGGGCTGCCTTCGCAGCAGAAAAGCGAAAGGGAGACACAGCGTCCTGCAGCACTTCGTAAAGGGGGGCCCTGGGCAGGGCCAACTCTAGGGTCCTCTGTATCCCCCCTACTCACGACAGGCACCGCAAAGAGGGCGTCGGCTGCAGTGAGCCTGTCGGCTCGCTCTGGAGGCACGCGGAGGAAAGAAGAAGACGGGATCTTTGTAATGTACTGCTGTCGCTCTTCGTCCTGGCGCCTTCCCGCCCTTGTAGCCTCTGACTCAGCGCCATAAAGCCCTAAGGAGGCAAAACCCCCAGTTCCTATGGGCCCCGTCATTAGGCCTCAGGCGAGTAGGGCGTGTAAGCAGGCAACAGGGGGTAGCTCCAGCCAGACAGGGGGCACTGGCTATCGTTGCTGGCGCTTCCGTCCCTACGGTGTAGGCGAAAAAGCAACAGTTTAAGGCCCCTCCTTAATTCTGGAGGCTGAGAGACGTATTGAGCCCTGAAGGGAACGGATGGCTGCTGCAGCCGACAACGTATGCTGCAGAGGTGGCGAAACAGGGACAGGCGGACAACCGCGGGCAGCGTTCGTATCCGCGGCCCCCTGGAGAAGCAGCAGCAGCAGCAAAGGGACAGTCTTGATACAACGGAGACACAGGAACTGCAAAGGAGACAGAGAGTATACAGTGTGGATGCAGGCAGAGCAGCGGCGCGGCAACCGATGCCGGCGCGGCACAAAGAAAGGTGCCCGCGGCCCCACAGAGGCAGCTGAATACGAGTTATTGAGGCAACCAGCTCCTTAAATCCTATTCAACTCATTCCAAGTTCAAGTGGCTTCTCCTCGAATATTCTACTTCCTGTCTTCGCGCTAGCTTCCCACAGCACACGCCGAGACAGCCCGCAGCACGAGCGCATGCCCAGGAGCTGTTCTCCTTTCTGCTGCTGCTGTAACCGCAGGTTAAGGTTCATTTGACGGAAATAGAAGCAATGTGCAGCTGTTAAGAATTGAGCGTTCCTCTTTATCCTTAGCTCTGCTTCCTTTGGGCTCCCTAACACCACCAACTGCGCGCCCGACAAACCGTTCCACGGCAGCGAACGGGCCGGGCCGCTCCCTTTCAACAGCCGGGGCAGAGGGTAAGTTTAGAGCTTCCTTGGAATTACACGTCTACACAAGCGTGAATTTCTGCTTTGTAAACAGACAACCAAGTCCAGGAAAGCGGCCATATTGGCCACTCCGATATGTGGCGCACAGCGGTCACTTCGGGGGAGCTTGCTTCTGAATGCCACCGTTAGGAGGAACGGATCGAAAGCGTTTTCGAAAAAGACTGTCCAGTGCTTGATAGTAGTGAAGCGCTAGTGGAGACTTAAGAAAAGGTAGTGTCTTGAATGGACTAATTCGTATATCCCCTGTCAGCAGCCGCGCCCCTAGAAGAAACGAAAGGAAACGGTTATGTGCCCCGTCAAGCTAACGAGAGTATTCTGAATTAACAGGGAAACTTCTGAGACTTGAATCAGTTGACTACGCTGGCCTGTCTCTTCTAGAAGCTCTTTCAATCATTGTAACAATACCGCAGTGTTGCTGTGCCAAGTACAATGCACTCCACTGCTCTTCTTTCGGCACAATGGCTCAAACTGGGATAGTTGACTTGGACCTGTAGAGTCTATACATGAATCAAATGTTAATGCAGCTGTGGCTCTACTAGTCCAGTCCGAAATTTTCACAATGTAAAATGCAAGGTACATTATGTTAAGTGGTTTCACCTGGTGCAACTCGTCGCGCAGCTGCTAGCGCTGCTATTGCTGTCATACGCCGCCGACACTGGCTCGATTCTCCTCACAGAGAAGACAGTACAGGCTCCCTGCACTCTAAGAGTGACCCAGGATGAGGCTAATAAGACGACTGGGAGAACAGGGAACAGCAATTTTGCATCTGTTGAAGTGGCTCCTCCTGTGACATCCTGGAAATGTCCGTCGGTACGGCGACTGAGTTGCTCAGGGGCAGCGGAGTGTTGTCTCTATGGAGCAGGCCCAGTTGAACTGGACACAAATACAGTTGGCATACAGTGAAAGCTTTAAGAATGAGGGGATAGCCAAAGCCTGCACTCTTAACTCTGCGCGCTGGGAAGCAGACCATCAAGACTGCCTCCTCCTGCTCCTTGCGTTGGTGTGCCACTACTGTAGATGGTTCCCCGTGTCTCCCTCTTTTGTCTTGGTAAATGTACCTCTGTCGCTCTCTGCACGTCTGCCTCTGCCAAACTTTCCTGCCCTTGGTATGTTAGCTCTGTCCTTTAGGCCGCGGGAATTCGGCACTCTCAGTATTCAGCCTCCCTCACTTTGTTTTGGTGCAGCATCATCGTTGCCTCACGTCCCCATTATGATGGAATTGAAGGCTTTTGCTGCTCGCCAAGCTTTTCCTTATTCACCGTGTGCCCGGAAACACTCTAAGAAGTTATAACCCCTCAGGACCCCTGAATACGCTAGAACCCTTTGTTATACCTACATTTGTTGGTGATGCAGAGTGTATCTTTGAACGCTGAATCAAATGGAGAGGAAAGGACTTTTCTCCGCTGGTCGAGCTGCAAAGCCACCGAGCGTGTGCCCGTTTGGCGATTATACTCCGTTACTCTACCTACATCGCCGTTTCTGTCCTTCCACCCACACGTATAGCTATCTGCATCTCCCTCTAAGCTTGTGTTAGTTCGCCTGTCTGACCGCTTTGTGTGTGTTACCCTCTACTGCCAACTGGCTGCTTTCATCTCCTTACCCGTCTCTGGACTATCAGAACCCATATTCTGCCTCGGCCTATACTGGTACTCTTTCAAACATATATTGTTGATGTATTGCAGCTCGCCATATATATATATATATATATATA